TCCAGGGACTCCAGGATCATGACCTGAGCCGAAGGCAGTTGCTTAACCAACTGAGCCACCCAGGCGCCCCTCAAATAAATAAGTCTTTAAACAAAACCAAACCCAATTATCACCTCCACATAGGGTTGTAGTGTTGGTGATACAAATAAAAGCACCTATTACAAAAATGGCATTTTGTAGATGTTTAATAAATATCATCTGAAGATATGAACCCCAATTTTTAGATTTAATTAAAACCTGAACTTGTGTTGCAATTATTCTCCCATATACTTTTAAATCTTCAATAAGGGGCGCCTGGGTGGCTCAGTTGGTTAAGCGACTGCCTTTGGCTCAGGTCATGATCCTGGAGTCCCTGGATCGAGTCCTGCATCGGGCTCCCTGCTCGGCGGGGAGTCTGCTTCTCCCTCTGACCCTCCTCCCTCTCATGCTCTCTGTCTCTCATTCTCTCTCTCTCTCAAATAAATAAATAAATAAAATCTTTGAAAAAAAAAATCTTCAATAGGAAAAATAATAAAAAATAAATCTTCAATAGAAAGCTGTAGTTGGGAAAAAAGTCATTTTTCTCAGTTACTTTTATACCTCCTTACTCAGTTTATTCAGGAATTCTGGAGTCAGTAAAGGAGATGGGAGAGAAAATTAGAATTAATGCATATAAAAAACACAGTATGTTATCTGATTTTACAAATAACAGTTATGCAATAAATGTTCTTTCTTTTCCCACCCATTCCCCTCAAACCATTCATTACTACTTCATGCCTTCTCTAATTTCACAACTATTATTCTTGGTTCTCACTGAGCTAGATCAGGAAGGTCTCATTTTTTTCTGTACAAAAAAAATCTCATCTCCCAGATTTCAATCCCTTTAGTCTCTAGGCTTTTGGTTAGGCCTTGCTGTCAGCTATAATGCTGAGATTATCCAATCATTTTCTTGAAACGACATTTCAAAAGTCTCAGTAAGACTCACACTCGGATTTGACGAATAGGTCCATATTTCCCAAATATATCATACATTTCTTCAGCTGTGATTTTGTATGGCAAATTTCTTATATACAAAATCCGATTTACTTCAGGTGGAAGTCGAATCTAAAATGAGAAATATATACTATTATTGTAATCAGGGGCAGGAGTGCTACCACTACCATTATGAGAAAAAAAATTTCTCATAATAAATTCTCACAGTAAAAACAAACAAAAAACCCCCACATAATAGCAAGAATAAGAAATATTTAAAAAAATTATAATCTGATGTTCCTGAAAATGACATGCTTTTCAGAAAAGCAACTGGGCACGAGGAGGACTATTAGTAGTAACTAGTAAGGGGCTACTATAAAAACCCAGGCTTCCAGTCACTGCAGTTAAACAAGGATCTCCAACCTCATTTAAAAGTCCTCAATGCCTCAGACATATATGGGAAAGAACAAAGGGAAGTGTTCCTGTTTCCTAGACAATAAAACTACTATTGATGACTCTTATCTGGTCTTTTCAAGAACCTGTTGAATCAACAATATCTTCTCTCTCTTGAATTTATAGTCTTTCCTTCATCATTGGCTTCTATTCCTTAGGTGAGCAGCTGTTTAAGTCCTGACAATTGTCATGCAAAACAGAATAGTCATTTGTATCCCTCTTCCTTCATTCAAGAAATATTTACTGAGCACCTTCTTCATGCACCTATCAGGCTAGGTATTAGGATTACACAGTGAAGGGAAAAAGCAAGGTTTCTGCCTTCCCTGAACTTATCAGCTCTCTACTTACTATCCTATTTTGCTTTTCTCTTTTCTTTCAGTAAAGCATCTGGAAAGATAGTCTATACTCACTTATCTCATATTCTTTACTTCACTGACACTCATCAACCTACCACAACCCAGCTTCCACCCCAGCACTGATGAAAATACTTTTATGCTAAGACCTTTTTAAAAAAAATCTTATAAAAAGGGTGTCTGGGTGGCTCGGTCGTTAAGTGTCTGCCTTTGGGGGGCGCCTGGGTGGCTCAGATGGTTAAGCATCTGCCTTCAGCTCAGGTCATGATCCCAGAGTCCTGGGATCAAGCCCCACATCGGGCTCCTGGCTCAGCCGGGAGTCTGCTTCTCCCTCTCCCTCTGCCTCTCCCACTGCTCATGCTCTCTCTCTCTATCTCTGTGTCTCAAATGAATAAATAAAATCTTTAAAAAAAAAAAAAAAGTGTCTGCCTTTGGCTCAGGTTATGATCCCGGGGTCATGGGATTAAGCCCTGCATCCAGCTCCCTGCTCAGCGGGAAGCCTGCTTCTCCCTCTCCCACTCCCCCTGCTTGTGTTCCCTCTCTTGCTGTGTCTCTCTGTCAAACAAATAAATAAAAATCTTTAAAGAAGAAAAAAAATCTTATAAAAAGATTTAACAAATCTTACAAAAGGGGTGGCGAGGGGCAGAGGGAGAGAATCTCAAGCCGTCTCCGTGCTGAGCACGGAGCCCAACATGGGGCTGGAGATCAAGACCTGAGCTGAAACCAAGAGTTGGACACTTAACCGACTGAGTCACCCAGGCACCTAACATTAAGACCTTTAACTGCAGTATTCAATTATCATCACACTTAACTTCTAAGGCTTCTGACACTGTTGACTATTCTTGACACTTTATTTCCTTGGCTTGCTCCTACCTCTCTGGCTAGTTCTTCTCACTCTTGCCATTAAAATATCCTCTTCTACAGAGTTTTACTTTTAGACTCCTTTTTGACCCTTTGTATACTCTCCTTAATTCTACGCCCTCTTTCATCTCTTAACCACACACATGGTTCCCACAGTAAGTTGATGACTCAAATATATATCTCCCATCTAGAGTTCACTCCTGTGTTCTTATTAACATATTCAATTACATACTGGATACTAATTTGCTCAATAACTATTAAACTCTCAGCTTTTTAAGGCATTAAGCTAAGTGTTGTATAAAAGGAAAAAGAGGATACTTAATCCCTCCCCTCAAACTAGTGCTGACAAATGGTCAACAAGTAAGTACAATAAAGTTTTAGATTTAAGATTTCAAACTGAGTTCAAATAGACAACACTTCCAATTATAATACACTTCTCTCATTAATCTGCTTTCTCACTCTGTAAGACACTGTATCACACTTTCTCTTCTTAAACCTTACCACCACCACTCCCTCCACCATCTGAGTTGGGCTGTAACCTTTTCCCTGCCTATCCCAGGAGTTGATCTTGCCTCTTGCTTATTGAAGAAAGTATATATGACCGAATGGTAAGTACCTTATATTCATGTCACTAAACCCAACAATCTAAATTCATCCATATCCACCCCCTCTCCCTCTCATTATTGTCTCCTCCAAACCTTCACTCCTGAACTTACCTCATCCTTCTCCCACATCATCAATTTCTCACACTTTATCAGATCATTCTCACTGACATACAAATACACCTTATACCACACATCTTAAAACAGGAAAAAGTCAACTATCATCCAATCTCTGTACTCCCTATTTACATGAAAACTTGTGGAAAGAGCTGTCTCAATTTTCTTAACTTCCATCCTCTTTTCATCCCACTGCAACCAAGTTTTCATCCACTGAATGATCATCAATGTGACCAAAATTCTGCATCTCACCATGTCCAATTTTCTGTCTTCATCAACCTATATCTCTCTGCCTTACAGTTGACCTAACCTCTTTTTCTTGAGAGTTTTTCTTAGGTTTCTATAATACCCCATTCTCTAACATTAGAATATAAACAGAAGGGCTTTTTGTTTTACTCACTGTTGTATCCCCAATACGTAGACTAGTGTCAGGCACACAGTAGGTATTCAGTAAATTTAACTTCTGAATTGTTTCCTATCTCTCAATTCTGGTACATAGGTGTTCAAAAATACTAAGACATTAATGAAGGATCCAAAAAGCCCCGTGACTTGAGGAGAATCCCAGACTCTGGTTGCCTGTCAAGTATTAGGTTACTTTTTGGGGACTCGTCTGTGCTACTGATTTTAGGGCGGAGAAGATCCTGTCGCCAAGTCCTAGGTGCAGATCAAACAACAAAGACTGTAGGGCCAACACTATCACTGACACCAGAATAAGAGATCGAGGGAACTCTCAAAAGGGGTGGAGACGGAACTGTGGCTCAAGAAGCATATCCGTAACGATGGGGCCAGGATGGAACTCCAAGTGATAACAGTAAATTCTGGACTACTATGGCCTGGGGAACCCAAAAGGGGCAAAATACACAGCTCCACACCGTTAAGAAAGTCCAGGAGGGAGGTCCCCCCCTCTTCCGCAGAAGGCCCCGATACTCACGTTCGCCCTCTTCGCCGCTTGCATCGCCATCTTGGTGGGCTGATAAGGTTACCGCAGCAAACACTGGAATTCCTCCGGACACCTCCGGAGCTCGCTCTACCGGACCGCAACACCGCGTCAAGGCCAGGCCATCAACATCCAACCTCCGCCGGAAGCTTTACAACACGCCGGATTATCGCCGTCTCACGCTCAGACGTGCTGACGTAATACCCCCTTTCGAAAAGACTCCGGGGCAAAACGAACACGAGACGAAAAACAGACCGGAACGATGAAAGGTGAGCATTCGAGACACTTTTATGAGCTGCGCACCGGAAAGGGCGGGACCTGGGCTTAAGAAGGGGCGGTGTTCCGGTCGGGCGGCCCTGAGCAAAGGAAGCTGGACAGAGGGGGCGGGCCTAGGAGAGCCGGACGAGGTGGGGCTGCGCCCAGGTGAGTTGCGGGAGGGGGCGGGGCCTGGCCTCTTCGAGGTGCGCGTCGCGGGAGCCGGGGCGCTGATGGGTGGGCCCGGGCCTATGGTGCTGCGCAGAGGGGAGCTAAGGGAGTTGTGGCACGTCGTGTGGTGGCCGACGCTGTTCCCGTACCCGGAACCCTCGGCTCTGGAGCAGCCCGAGTTGAGCGCCCACTGTTCGGGCGTTTGCTGTAATCCCTACGATGGCGGCGGTCGAGACACCCACTCCACTCCCGCCCTGGCGGCCTCAGTCCGCGGTCTGGGGCCGCCACAGTGAGAGGGCAACCCTTCGAATCTGCTCTTTATTTTCTCAGATCGGCTTTACACGGATCAGTAGGCGAGGCTAGGGGCGGGCCAGTGGGTTCAGGGTGGCCTGGAGTAACACGCGATCTCTTTCCTGCGTGCTATGGACTTTTATCCATTTTGTCCTAGGAAAGCCTTCTCCTTCATTGCGGTAGTTCCAGGACGATTTTGCCCACGTTCCTGTTACTCTCCATGTATGCATGGGCCTCTTGAATTGCAGCCACGGGGTAGACTCTGTCCAACACCGGGAGTAGACGTTGGGGGCTCTCCGTGGAGAAGTTGGGCAGGATTTGTTTTGTGAAAGCCTCCACCAGCCTTTGCTTGTACTTAAGATAAAAGGAGATCATCAGTCTAGATGGAGACTTCACCTTGCCGCTCCCCATCCTGCTAATTATTAGCCTTTGTGCTCTCTGAAGTGTAGACGCCATCTGAAAATGCACATATGGGGTACCTAACCCCTTCCCTACCAGCACGTATGTGCACGCCCCCAAATGTATAACCTCTCTTCTGTACCAGAGAAAAGACTGAATCCTGTACTAAAATATTAGTGGTACTGACAACAGGGCTTAAAGCAGGCGGCGGCCACAGACAGGACTTCTACAGGCTCAGTTCAAAAGGGATGTTAAGCTCTGCTATCGCACAGGTGTGAAACCCTAGGTTGGGAAACATTCTCCAGTCTGGCACCTGCTAGAGTACCACAAAACGATTCAGTAACAATCTGTTGAAGGTAGAGCCTTAACTAACCTTATTCACCTTTCTTATCACACTGAGAAGAGTTCAGCCTTTGAAAGACAACATCTTGGCACTATGAAAAATATATTTCCTAGTATTGTCAATGCTTTGTTCATTCTGTTAGAAAGTTTGTATGTGAAGTGTTAGCTACCTTCTTTCCAAGATGTTGAGACTTCTGTTGACCACTTACTAATTGAGTTCTGTGAAAATGGCTACTTATTTATCCATGGGGGTGTGGGGGGAGCAGGTTTCTACATAGGCTCTCTAACATATGATGTGTCAGGTCTTCCTTTCTTGGAGCTACGTAAATGCACCACACTTTTGTGGGTAATAATTACATCACAAGTTTTCTTTCACTCATCATTCACCTTTTTGTCCCTAGATCTCAGCAGAGTGGTGATGAGACTTCCTCGTTTAAAAAGTAGCTTTGAAAATAGAGGTCCGCTGACGTCAGTTCCTCCCATCAGACCATAGAGAATCCAGCGACCGTCAAGAGCCAGGCAGCTGACGTTTTTCTCCCAGTAGGATCCACCTATGCAGTCTAGAATAAGGTTGACTCCAGCACCTTTCACATGAAACACAGATTTGTAAAGCTCATCAGACACAGAAGGCTTTGTGCAAAGTGATTCCACGGTATATTTGTGAATATATGGGTATATATATAGGTGCAAGTGGTAAATCTATAGGTTGGAACTAGAAACACTGCTCATAGAAACACTGTTGTAGGGCGCCTGGGTGGCTTAGTTGGTTAAGCAACTGCCTTCGGCTCGGGTCATGATCCTGGAGTCCCTGGATCGAGTCCTGCATCGGGCTCCCTGCTCGGCAGGGAGTCTGTTTCTCCCTCTGACCCTCCCCCCTCTCATGTGCTCTCTCATTCTCTCTCAAATAAATAAATAAAAGATCTTAAAAAAAAAACAACACTGCTGTAGATGGAGTTTAGGTAGCTGAACTCTATCATACATGTGTGCTATAGTTCATCTTTTTTTTTTTAAGATTTTTTATTTGTTTATTCATGAGAGAGAGAGAGAGGCAGAGGGAGAAGCAGGCTCCCAAGGAGCAGGAAGCCCGTTGCGGGACTCGATCCCAGGACCCTGAGATCATGACCTGAGCTGAAGGCAGACGCTTAACCATCTGAGCCACCCAGGCGCCCAACTGTAGTTCATCTTTTATGATTCCTAGCCACAGCAAGAGGGAAATGGGGCAACACCATGACCTGGTATCTCTCTTGTTCCCCACGTTAAGTACAGAACCCACTGGCACCCAGGCACGAATGAGAACAGAACAGGGGAGAGCCACCCAGTCTACTGGGCAGGCGCATTCGCATCTAAATTATAGCGTCTGCACTGGGTTATCTGAATCGTAGTTTTACAAGCTTTGGTTTCATGTCTCCTTTTTAACTCCTGTGGAAAAATAGAAAGGGTGAGCCAAAAATATACAGATTTGGCTTTGGAATACAGAGGCTCACCCATTTAGAGAGCTACCATCCTAACCCTACTATGATCACACTAAGCTCCTATTAACTCATTCCAGAGTGACTTGGAAGAATGGCTCCTGGATAATTCTAGTCCAACTCTCTGTGATTCATCCGGTTTCTAAAAAGTGTCTAATGTTATCACTTACAAGAATGCACACAGAAACATGTTAGTCCTAAACACTGCCTGCCTGTCTCCAGAGATCAAACGCCAGGGTGCTAGAATTTGGCTGGGCAGCTGCTGTGCATTTAGCAGAGGCAAACCAGATCCAGAGCACTGGCAAACTTCAGGCTGGTGAGGATTTGACTGAATCATCTCCGAAATTCCTGTTGGGCTGCAGGAGCTATTGTTTACCTTTGGTGAATTTCAGTGTTGCTTCAGAAAAATCCTCTTCTTTGTAATTGAATCCTGCAGCTGCTCCAAGCTTTTCTGCCATCTGAAGCTTGTGCTGGGAGCCAGCTGTGACTAGAGGAATAGCTCCAGCCATCCGGGTGAGTTGGATGGCAGCTGTGCCCACACCACTCGATCCTGCATGGATTAGCACAAAGTCTCCAGCCTGAACGTTTCCTGCGGCACAAAGTACAGGAACCCTTGTCTTTACTTTGCAAGTGCTACACATTCCGCATGCAGGCATATTCTACCATATGCACCTGGCCCCGGACCACAAAATGCCAAATCTCTTGCTCTCTTAAGAGAACATGACAGCTCTTTTTTGTTTTACTGCCTCTTGTCGAAGTGGGAAACAACCTTTTGAAACAGTCGTTAGCAGCCACATCCATAATCTCTTTTACTTACGAAATAATCCCGAGACGCACATCTCTGACATATACCTTAATAAGAATTAACTATCATTCCCACTGTCAGTCACCACCTGAAGCCAGTTCTTCTTCAGTCTGAAACTGGTCTCCAACTGGTCTCAATGATCCAAGCACCACACACAACCACCAGGCTCCTCTTCCTAAAATGGAGCTTTCATTATGTCACTTTCTCCTCAAAATATAAAGTGGTTCTCACTCGGTTTTTGCATCAAGTCCAGGCAACGTGCCATTCAAGGCCACTAAAACCCAGTACCAGTCTCATCTTTCACAGATGATCATCATCATCCTTCACTCTGAGTGGAACAGCTGATTTCACCTTGACACTCTCTTAAGCCACCTTGGCCTGCCTTCTGTCACATCTCAACTTTACCCACCCTTCAAGTCCTTCTCTTCCAGAAAGCCCTCTCTGACCACCTGTGCCCACACTAATTGTTCCCATTTTGGTTTTTTTTTTTTTTTTAAAGATTTTATTTATTCATTTGACAGAGAACACGAGTGGGAGGGAGGGGTAAAGGGAGAAGCCGACTCCCCACTGAGTAGGGAGCCCGATGCAGGGTGCAGGGCTCGATCCCAGGACCGGGGGATCATGACCCGAGCCAAAGGCAGATGCTTAACCGACTGAGCCACCCAGGCACTGCCCCCCGCATCTTGAGTTTCTGTTGTAGAGACAAGGCCATCTTCTGAACTCTATGGTTGTCTAATTCCTGTACATGCCTTGTTTTCCCAGGTTTACTGCACTCCCTGACAGCAGGGACCTGGTCTTTTTAGGTCCCCCCGCCCCATTAGCTCTTAGCTGGCTTCAGGGGGATTGAGAAGGAATAAAAGTTGATTGACTGGTCCCTTCTACCGCACTAGGGCTCACAAAGAGAAGCTCAGCAGGACTTTGAGCTGCTGGGACTACTGGTGGGTCTACAGTGTGAAGATATACACAGGTCTTCTATCCAGTGCTTTCCAGGCTTTCCAACTGCTAACCATGATTTTCAGCCTCAACATCAGGCCATTGCTAACATGGTATGAGGAGGACCTGATACTATCGGTAGTACATTAGGGCGAGGCGCTGGGGTTGGGTGTGGCTCAGTGGCCAGGCCAAAGCTGCGCCAGAGGACTGCTGGGTTTTGAGGTGGCTGAGTCATGAAGTAACTGAACCACACTGTATGGAGTGAGCATGGGGGGCCTCCTCACCCAAGAGATGTAACAGCTGGAAGGCGGTAAGCCAGGCCTCCGGGATGGCTGCAGCCTGGGACAGGGTCAGTCCTGCTGGGATGGGCATGAGGAACTCTTCAGGGACAGTGACATACTGAGCCTGTCCCCCACCGGGCAGCAGAACCATGGCTGGGTCCCCAATCTTCCAGTGCCCCCGGCAGGCAGGCCCCACCTCTGCTATGTGTCCAGATGCTTCCAGGCCCAAAATGCTGCTGGCCCCTGGGGGTGGGGCATACTGGCCTTGTCTCTGCAGAAAGAGGGGTGCACTAAGTGGTGAGCATGATCAGAAATGTGTGTGTCACCATCCCTGGCCCCCTTCCAATAGTCCCTCTTTTTCTCAGAAAAATTGGGATAATGTCAGGTTTTGTAAGTCAGGAAAAGACAGGAGAAGTAATTCAAATAAGGTAACTGGTAGGGTCCTTAGCTATTTACTTTATCTAAATGTTTTGTTTTACAAATGGAGAAACTGAGACCAGCACAGAGAAACGCCTTGTCTGAAGTCACAAAGTAAATCAGTAGCAGGACTAGGAACAAAACCATGGACTCCTTAATGATAGTTCTCATATATTAAGTGCCAGGCTTTGGACTCATTGCAATCCTCAGAACCTCTGACTGGAGGCTTCAGAGCAGAGGGGCTGAACCAAGAGTGTGCCCTAGAACCATCTGAGGAGCTTTTTCAAAGTACACATGCCTGGGTTCTGGTCATGTTTATTTATTTATTTATTTTTCTAAAGATTTTATTTATTTGACAGAGAGAGACACAGCTAGAGAGGGAACACAAGCAGGGGGAGTGGGAGAGGGAGAAGCAGGCTTCCTGCGGAGCAGGGAGCCCGATGCGGGGCTCGATCCCAGGACCCTGAGGTCATGACCTGAGCCGAAGGCAGACGCTTAACGACTGAGCCACCCAGGCACCCCTGGTCATGTTTATTTTTGAAAAGTGCCCCAGGGGCGCCTGGGTGGCTCAGTTGGTTGGACTGCCTCTCCCTCTGCTGCTCCCCTTGTGTACGCTCTCTCTCTCAAATAAATGAATAAATAAAAATAAAATCTTTAAGAAAAAGTGCCCCAGGTGATTCTGGCACTCACTTCTCAGTTACCCCAATCAATGCAGCTGGCTCAGTTTAGCGTTTCAAACAGCAGAAAAAAAGAAGATTCCTAGAGTACAGTCACTCCCCTGCCAGCTCCAGGAGCCTGTGTGGAAAGAATGCAGACTTTGTATCTACAAAGCCCTGGATTTGAATTACAGCTGCCCGGATTACTAGTGTTGTGGCCTTGGGCATATTGCTTAACCTCTGACTCTATTTCTTTATCTGGGTAATGCGAATGGTAAGCAGGGTTGCCTGAGAAGTCAATGAGATAGAGCAAGGCCTAACACACAACCCCCTGAACAAATGGTAGTTCCCATCTCCTTATCTGGAAGCCTGAGCAGATGATGGATTAACACAGGGTAGATGCTGCTTTGTAAATATCCCTGTATATTGTCTTAGAACCCCCAGCACACATTCTGCAGACACATCTTGATGAAAGTTACAGGCAGTGCCCTAGGTCATTCCTTCATCGGTCTGGTGAATGTTTATCGAAGGCCCTGGAGTCCCACCCTGCCCCAGCCACTGCCTGACCCCCGGGTACCTGGAGTAAGTCGGCCCGGTTCAGGGCGCTGGCCGCCACCTTCAGGAGGACTTCACCCTCTACTGGGCTGGGCTTGGCCACCTCCGTCAAGTAAAGGTTTTCTGGTCCTCCCGGCTTGTCGAAGTGCACAGCTAACATGTTCTCCGAGGACACTGTAGAAGCAAGGGAGGGAGCCCGAGGCCCTTTGCGGAGCGCAGCGCCCCCTGCCGGCCAGCAGCTTCCCTTTCGGTCTCCACGAGGTCTGACCCCCGCCGCGCCCCGCCCTCCTTCCCGCGAGGTCCCTGCAGCCTCCAGAGAGATCTCTCGCAGAGAACACAAGTTAGGACCGGGGGAAGTGGGGACACCGTCCCGGCTGGGGTGCAGCGGTGGAGCTGCGCTCCCTCTGAGCTGGAACCCCCCACAGGCCCGGGTGTGAGTTCCTGGAGACTTACTGGGGCCCCGCTCTCCGCTGCTCCCCGCCTCGGGTCCCTGGAGGAGAACGCCGAAGCCCAAGACGGCCTCGGCTGCGAGCACGAAGGACGGCCAGGGCTGGGTCTGACCCGAACCTACGCTCCACTTCCTTTTCCTCCTTCCCCTTTTAAGACGCAAAGTTAGTGACAGCGAATCAGGTTCTTTTTTTTTTTTTTTTTTTTTTTGAGCCTGGGAAACTGATCTTTCTTCGGGTTGGCAGATGTTCCAGCCCTCACTGGCGAGAAGAGAGAACTTCCTCTCTCTAGGGACCTAGAGAGTTTATTCATTTATTTGACAGAGACACAGCAAGAGAGGGAACACAAGCAGGGAGAGTGGGAGAGGGAGAAGCAGGCTTCCTGCTTGAGCAGGGAGAGCCCGATGCGGGGCTCGATCCCAGGACCCCGGGATCATGACCTGAGCCGAAGGCAGACGCTTAACGACTGAGCCACCCAAGCGCCCCTAGACTTGAGCTCTTGACCGGCAATGGTCCATTTTCCCGCCAGGCTTTTAACTCATTGAGGCTGTAAGGCTGGTATGGGTGGGCAAGCAGGGTGCTGCTGAGAGAAAAGAGAGGAGCAATAGGTGAAAGGGGGAAGGTAAAAACTGTCCTGGAATCCTTACCACTTCTGCTCTTCCTCCTGGGGTTGAGGAAGCAGCGCGTGGAAGATGCTGTCCAGTGAGGCAATTTTGACTGGTTAAAGCTGTATGAATAGGCTACATCAGGGTTTCTCAAATTTGGCACTGTTGACACTTTGGGGTTTTTTAAATTTTTTTTAATTTTTAAAGATTTTCATTTATTGAAAGAGCATGAGCAGGGGGGAGGGGCAGCAACAGAGGGAGAAGCAGACTCCCCGCTGAGCGGGGAGCCCGATGTGGGGATTGATCCCAGGACCCTGAGATCATGTGCCCAAGGCAGATGCTTAACCAATGAGCCACCCAGGTACCCCACTATTGACACTTTGGATTAGATAATTCTTTATTCTGAAAGACTGCCCTGTGCATCATTGTGCAGTGTTTAACATCATTCCTGGTCTCCACCCACTAGATAGCACTAGCACCCTCATCCAGTCATGACAATAAAAAATGCCTCCAGGCATCCCCTGGAGGGGCAAAATTGCCCCCTCCCCTCCCCCCCCCCCGTTAAGCAGCACTGGGTTAGAAGAATACACAAAAATATGTGCTTGTACAAAACAAGATGAGTAACATGTTTTTGTAGTACCTTATAATTTACCACCTCTTTACATGCATTCTCATTTGGTCTTCATAACACTTTACTGAAAAGGAACTGAGATGTAGAAAGATTAATTTGATTTAAAGGGCACATAGCTAGTGAGTGCCGAGTCAAGAATCCAAATTCACATCTCCTGGGTCCTGGTGATGAGGGAGCAGCAGGTTAGCTGAGGACAAAGCACAAGCTGACACCCTAAAACCTCTACACCCCCACCACTCCTGGGTTGGATCTGTGTGACATTCCTCCAGGAATCTCCCGACTATCTTAATGTCAATGCCTTGCTAGAGGGGAAAACAACCTTAACTTGACAATGGCAAGGCCTCCAGTATCTTGTAGGTCCTCTTTAGCATATGAAAGTTCTTTTGAAAACCTCCCTTTTCCTTACCTCCCCCAACTCCCAAGTATATAATCAGCCACCCCTCACAACTCCGGGGCAGCAGCTCTTTCTGCCCACAGATACTGTCCCCGTGCTTTAATAAAACCACCACTTTGGGGTGCCTGGGTGGCTCAGTCGTTAAGCGTCTGCCTTCGGCTCAGGTCATGGTCCCGGGGTCCTGGGATCGAATCCCGCATCGGGCTCCCAGCTCAGCGGGAAGCCTGCTTCTCCTTCTCCCACTCCCCCTGCTTGTGTCCCCTCTCTCGCTGTGTCTCTCTCTGTCGAATAAATGAATAAAATCTTTAAAAAAAAACCCACCACTTTGCACCACAGAAGTCTCAAGAATTCTTTCTTGGCTGTCAGCTCCAGACCTCACCCTGATGTGGGAAACAAAGGCAGAAGAAAAATGATTAAATTTTCTTACTACCTACAGCCCATTGACAAGTCCTTGAAACAGGCAGAGTGACATTCCTCTAAGGACTCAACTGCCTCAATGTTAATACTTTGCTAAGAGCAAAAGGCAATCCTAGCCCAACCCCTCCCCTCCAGGATCCTGTGAATCTACCTTAACATACAAAAATTCATTTTTAAGAAATTTCCTTTATCTCGGGACGCCTGGGTGGCTCACTCGTTTGGGCATCTGCCTTGGGCTCAGGTCATGATCCTAGGGGTCTTGGGATCAAGCCCTGCATCGGGCTCCCTGCTCAGCCGAGAGCCTGCTTCTCCCTCTCCCTCTACTGCTCCCGGTGCTTGTACTCTCTCTCTCTGTCAAATAAAATCTTAAAAAAAAAGAAGAAATTTCCTTTATCTCTAAGCCCCCCAAAATACTGCTTGGCACCCCCCCCAAAGCATATGGCCGACCGATACACATCTGAAGGGCCTCATGATTAAGGTTTTATTAGATGGTAATAAATGACCTTTTCCCAAAAGTAGCTAGCCCCCTTAAGGTGGTGGAAACCTTGTTTCCAAATTCCTTAGAGACGCTATCCCTAACCCCCTCCCAACCTGAAAGTATATAACGGGCCACTCCTCATGACCCTGGTGCAGCTCTTTCTACCCATGGGTCCTGTACCCGTGCTTTAATAAAACCACCTTTTTGCACCAAAGATGTCTCAAGAACTCTTTTTTGGCCATCGGCTTCGAACCCTAACATTCTTTCCTACATCAACCCCACCAAACCTCACCTACATTCCAAAACTCCATCACTGGTCCAGGGCTCTTTCTACTATAGCAGGCTGCCTTGCATAACAGTCTCTATTAATTGCAAAATCCCCTTTATTTCTTTATCTGCATCCCTCTGCTGAGTACACCTCTTGCAAGAAGGTTATCCAAATTATATATTTTTATTTTTTATTTTAATTTTTAAAAAGATTTTATTTATGTTAGAGAGAGCGAGGGAGCACACAAGCCGTGGAGGGGGTGGTGCTGAATGAGAGGGAGAAGCAGACTCGCTGCTGGGCAGGGAGCCTGACACGGGGGGCTCGGGGCTCAATCCCAGGGCCCTGAGATCATGACCTGAGCTGAAGGCAGATGCTTAACCTACTGAGCCACGCACATGCCCCCAAATAATATATATATATATATATATATATATATATATTTTAAAGATTTTATTTATTTATTCATGAGAGACAGAGAGAGAGAAAGGCAGAGGGAGAAGCAGGCTCCCAAGGAGCAGGGAGCCCGATGCGGGACTCAATCCCAGGACCCTGGGATCATGACCTGAGCCGAAGGCAGACGCTCAACCATCTGAGCCACCCAGGCACCCCCCAAATAATATATTTTTATAAAGCCTCTGTTTTACAAAAATGCCTGTCAGCCACTGGCCCTCCTCTTGCCATCTATATCAAATGGCCAAGAAATATATGAAAAATAGTAGTAAGTATATTACCAGTTGTCAGAAAGTATTCTAACAATGGTAACAGTGAAAACATAGTGTTTGTTCTATAGAAATAAGAAACGCCAATATGTAAGGATATATGAATGGAAATGTTTCTTGCAGCATTGATCATAGTGACAGAAATCTAGAAACAAAATAAATCCCATTACTAGGGGAATGCCTGGATAAATGATAAATACCATGCATCCATTTGAAAAGTGCCTTAGGGCGCCTGGGTGGCTCAGTCGGTTGGGCGGCTGCCTTCGGCTCAGGTCATGATCCCAGGATCCTGGGATCGAGTCCCACATCGGGCTCCCTGCTCTGCGGGGAGCCTGCTTCTCAACCTCTCCCACTCCCCCTGCTTGTGTTCCTGCTCTCGCTATGTCTCTCTCTGTCAAATAAATAAATAAAATCTTTAAAAAAAAAAAAAAGAAGAAAAGTGCCTTAGAGTTACATCAGTTGACACAGATGGATCTCTGTGACACATTTATTAAATGAAAATAACATTTTGTTAAAACAATGACAAATCATCCCTATATGCATATACTTGGCTCTATACACATGTATATGGTCATGTGTATATGACCATAATCATATGATATATGAAACAGGCAGAGTGGCATTCCTCTAGAGACTCAAGTGCCTCGATGTTAATACTTTGCTTAGGGCAAAAGGCAATCCTAGCCTGATCCCTCATACTCATATAGTCATATGAGCATGGGTAAAGATATAGAATCTTTTTATTCTATATTCTATATAGTTATTTTTATATGTTATTTTAGGTTACCCGGGAGAGGATGATGTTATGGGAAGCAGGGAACAAAATAAAAAAGGAAAAGAACTTTTAAGCACTTTATACATAGAGCTATGTGAAAGAAATGAAATATTTAAAATTAAGGAAAAAAATGAGGTAGATTGCTACACTAAGGGTCTCACCGAACCGTATCTCCCTGTAACCACACCCCTCCGTACTGTATGTAGTTCCCTTTTGCTCTGACTTTGGGTTTGACCATGTGACTTGCTTTCTCCAAGGGAACAATGCAAGTGTTTACTTGTTGAACTTGCCCTCTTTTGCTACTGAGAACTTTTTTGCCATCATGTGAAGAAGGTTGAGCTACTCTACTAGAGAATGAGACTTTATGGAATAGTGACAAGCTGTGTCAACTGAGGTTCCCTGGACCAAGTGGGCCCAGGTGGTCAGCTTACTATAGCCACATTAATGACCCCTGGTGAGATCAGCAGAACTGCCTGACTTATCCTAGACCAAATGACTGCCATATTTTGGGCTGCCCTATGGAGAAACTTATGTCAAGGAAGTGATGTCTCTGGTTAAGACTTAACAAAGACCTGAGGCCTGCCAAGAGCCACATGAGTGAGCCTGGAAGCAGAGTGTCCCCCAGTCTAGCCTCAAGATGACTGTAGCCTTCTGAGACCCTAAGATCCTAGCTGGAAGACTCAACTAAATTGCTCCCAGGTTCCTGGCCCATAGAAACTGGGAGATAATAAATGTTTGCTGTGGGGTGCCTGGGTGGCTCAGTTGGTTAAGGGACTGCCTTCAGCTCAGGTCATGATCCCAGGGTTCTGGGATCAACCCCTCATCAGGCTCCCTCCTCCTCAGGGAGCCTGCTTCTCCCTCTCCCTCTGCCTGCCACTCCCCCTGCTTGTGCTCTCTCTGTCAAATAAATAAATAAAATCTTTTAAAAAAAAATTAATGTTTGCTGTTTTAGGCCACGAGTTTTGGGGCAGTTTGTTATGCAATAATAGGTAACTAATACAAGAGAGAAAAGAGGAGGAAAAGATTATGGAAGAGGAGGAAGTAGGACAAGGGACAAAGGGTTGAGCCAGGGAGTAAGATCAATTTGGCTTTTCCTTCAAATGTCTCCCTGCAGAAACATGTACATCCATGCCCTGCATGGCCTTCAGCAACTCCTCAGAGAAGTCCTCCTTATAATCAAACCTGCTATGGCACCCAGCTTCTAGGCCATCTCAATTTTCTTCTTGGGGCTCGTGGTCACCAGGGAGATGGCTCAGAACAGTCTGGTCAACTGAATGGCAGCTGTGCCCACATCCCCAGTGCTGGGAGGGATGAGCACTGTCACCCCTCTTGTATACCTCCTGTGGCAACAATCCAAGTTAGAATACCCCAAGCCAGCAAAGGCACAGGAGAGGGAAGGTATAGGGTTAGCTTTGGAAAGATAAACTATCTAGTGCACTGAGGGTATAATGAGAGACAAGCCAAGGGTCATGTTGGGCCTGGGTCACAGAAGTGTGAGGAGCCCTCCAGAGTTTCAAAGCTCCGGGAGCCTTGATCAGGGCTGGGTTTGTGTGACTCAATCCAGCAGACAAAGAGAGGGTTCAGGGTCAGAACTGCTCCAAAGGGTTGTCCTGAGCCAAGAGTCTAGGGAGCTCCTGGGACAGACAGCAGCCAAGACAGATGTCTGGGCTACTCTGATCCCTCTTTGTATAAGATAAACAGAACGAGAGTGTCTCCTCCACTGCCTGTGAGGGACCCAGCAGAAGGACTGAAGGGCATTTTCCTTATATCAGGCTTTTATTTTTTTTTTAAGATTTTATTATTTTTTTAAATTTTATTTATTTATTTCAGAGAGAGAGGGAGCACAAGCAGGGGGAATGGCAGGCAGAGGGAAAAGCAGGCTTCCTACAGAGCAGAGGGAGCCGGTTGTGGGACTTGATCCCAGGACCCCAGGATTGCGACCTGAGCCAAAGGCAGTCGCTTAACCAACTGAGCCACCCAGGTGCCCCTATATCAGGCTTTTTTTTTTTTTTTTTTTAAGATTTTATTTATTTATTTGACAGAGACACAGTGAGAGAGGGAACACAAGCAGGGGGAGTGGGAGAGGGAGAAGCAGGCTTCCCGCGGAGCAGGGAACCCGACGCAGGGCTCGATCCCAGCACCCTGGGATCCTGACCTGAGCCGAAGGCAGACACTTAACGACTGAGCCACCCAGGCGCCCCTATATCAGGCTTTTAAATGTATCAAGGAGAATCTAGATTTCAGAGCAATTTGATATTTATGATCATCCACTAAAAATGTGCAAAACAGTTCTTCAACAGTTGGAAGTTTTTCTTTTTCTTTTTTTTTTTTTTTAATATTTTATTTATTTATTTGAGAGAGAGAGAGAGAAACAGCATGAGAGGAGAGCGGGTCAGAGGGAGAAGCAGGCTCCCCGCTGAGCTGGGAGCCCGATGTGGGACTCGATCCCAGGACTCTGGGATAATGACCTGAGCCGAAGGCAGTCGCTTAACCAACTGAGCCACCCAGGCGCCCTAACAGTTGGAAGTTTTTAAATGTCATTCTTCTTCTAGTACTCATATTGTCATTCTGTTTTTCTCATAAAATTATATACTGCTGTATTTTATGCTTTATTGATCATTCTTATCTGGAACAAAAATGTGTACAAAAACTGACTCTAATTTAAAAAGTTATTTCCTGTGACCACAGGGCTCTAAATGTTCAGTTTCTTTTTTTTTTTTTTTTTAAGATTTTATTTATTTATTTGAGAGAGAGAGACACAGCGAGAGAGGGAACACAAACAGGGGGAGTAGAAGAGGGAGAAGCAGGTTTCCTGCAGAGCAGGGAGCCTGATGCGGGGCTCGATCCCAGGACCCTGGGATCATGACCTGAGCCGAAGGCAGACGCTTAACGACTGAGCCACCCAGGCGCCCCTAAATGTTCAGTTTCATCTGGATTTTATTATCATTACAATATTCTTGATCCACAATTGATCAAAACATTATTTTGAATTTTATATTATTTTATATTATTTTAAAATAAATTATATATTATAATATATAATTTATATATTATAAAATATTATATTTTATATTATTTATTTTAAATATTAATAATTATTGAACATGAAAAGTAAGATTTTATTGGAAAGATAGCTCTTAATGACCATTGGTGGGGTTGAATTTTTCCAAGTAATTATGTCTGTGGATGAATATTCCTCATTGCTAGAATGAGACTGGAATCAACATTAATTCTCTTCCTATTTTTCATTTTTATAGACAAGCTCTGAGGAACCTAATTTACATAAATTAGATGGGGAAAGAAAAATTTCATTATAGGAATGTCAGCCAATTCTCTGAATACCTCTGTGTTATATGATTAAAAACTATATAATGATCTATCATCAAAAATTATTTTCAGGGTGCCTGGGTGGCTGAGTTAGTTAAACGTCTGTCTTTGGCTTAGATCATGATCTCAGGATCCTGGGATTGAGCCCCGCATCGGACTCCCTGCTCCACGAGAAGCCTGCTTCTCCCTCTCCCTGAAGCTTGTGCTCTCTCTCTCGCTATCTCTCTCTCTCTCTCAAATAAATAAATAAAATCTTAAAAAAAAATTATTTTCAATGATCTATTAGCTGGCAACTTAATTAGGTCTTTCTTCAGTTTTGTTGAAAGCAAAGACTTGGGAATCACTCAACCTGTTAAGGATTTGTTATCCAGCCGTTAAGTGTCGTTAGGGTCTTAGCTTCTGGGATCATAAAAGCTTCATGAAGATTTATCAAATGATTATCAATTATATCTGCTATTTTTTCACTTAGAGACACCTTGTTTAAATTGATATACTCACAAAGGATTCAGAAAGTAAAAATGTTAATTTCAATACACTTTTGCTAAGACAATTTTTAAAAATCAAGTCCTTCTACCTTATCATATACTTCAAATATATTTTCATTAACATCTGGAAGCTGCAGACTTAATTATGAAAAACATCTGTGACATTCTTATTGGCAAAGCCAGTCCTCATTGTTAAATAATCAGCCAAATAAAATTACTTCCTATCAGAGAAGGTTTCTCATTTTTCAATCCAAGTAATCATGTTAATACAGGGGTGCCTGGGTGGCTCAGTCGTTAAGCGTCTGCCTCTGGCTCAGGTCATGATCCCAGGGTCCTGGGATTGAGCCCCGCATCGGGGCGGGGGACCTGCTTCTCCCTCTCCCACATCCCCTGCTTGTGTTCCCTCTCTCACTGTGTCTCTCTCTGTCAAATAAATAAATAAAATCTTAAAAAAAAATCATGTTAATACATGTCCTATGACAATCATCTTGCTTCTGAATTTTAAGAAATATAGATAGGTAAGACATAGACCCTTCCTCTCCAAGACAAATGATATAAAGATTTTCACTATTTCTCACTAATGCTCCTTTTACTTTATTCTCATGGATCTCTCCTTCATATATGATGTAATTTTTGACAACAGAGGATGGATTTTAAAACATTAAAAAATATTTAAGAGTTTTCCTTTCCTCACACACTGCAGGTTTTGCACTCCAAGCCAAGCATCGCAGTAAGATTGGGGCTGGATGAGAGTACACCTTTCTTTTGTATCCTGGGGGAAGGGAGCTTGGGGAGGGGAGGTGGGAAGCAAAGCTGACAGGACTCCTCAGTCTCAGCAGCTTTAGGCAAGTACATATGGAAATTGAAGATCTGGGAAAAAAATCAATCGCTTCAATCCATTCGCACCTGTGTGTCCGTTCTAAAGTCTTTGTGGACCACCAGGACACAAATCTCCCTCATTTGGAGACCCCTGATGTTTCAGATGATCATCGGGTCCCTGGGCAACTCTGCAGGAATTCAGTGGCTACCACCAAAGGGTCACTTTTGTGGATCTCTCTGAATAGCTGGATATAGTTGGAACTTTGTGATGAGAATTATAGGAAGTAACTGGACAGATGTGCATAGGGGGGCTCCAGACAGAGGGGCATTTGCCTTGAGGGGGTTTATAAAAAGGGCCCCATGAGGCTCCCAGCAGTGCAGTGGGTATGTGTCCAGGAAAGGCTGGCTGACCAGCTGGTGAGCAGGCAAGAGGCTTCATGATGGCCTATAGCACTTTAGAGATTACTTTAGAGTCAGACCTTCTGCCTTAGAGGCTCAAAACCCAGCTTGACAGCATGTGGAGAGTGAGTATATAATCCACATGACTAAGTTATAAAGTCTAGATGTCAATGTGCTTATTTACAAGGAGAAACCATTTGCATGAGGACTGATGCCAAAATCTATAGGCAGATCTACATGGAAAGCCCCAGATAGCATGTTTTTGGAATTCAGAAAATTATACCTTGTTGCTTGGTAATGTCAAAAACTGCAAGAGGTCTAAGACTTGATGACAGTGGTGTAAAGTGTTCCCTTTTCAGAGACACCTGAGAGTGTACCAACCAGGTTGGCCTGGAGTTGCCACTAAGGGAAAGAAAGATGTATCATGCCCAGAAATGATCAGGGTGGAATCCTGAATTTTCAAAATAGGTTCTATAGCTCCCCACCCTTATTGTCCTGATCATCCCACAGGAGGTGACCAAGAGGAGATGAACCTTTTCTGGAGAAGGTTGCATTCATTAACCATACTAAGTTGTGTGGACTAGGAGGAAGTCAAGGAGATAAAGTCAAAAATCTTGAGTTGAGGGGCACCTGGGTGGCTCAGTCGTTAAGCGTCTGCCTTCGGCTCAGGTCATGATCCCAGGGTCCTGGGATCAAGCCCTGCATCGGGCTCCCTGCTCAGTGGGAAGCCTGCTTCTCTCTCTCCCACTCCCCCTGCTTGTGTTCCCTCTCTCACTGTGTCTCTCTGTCAAATAAATAAATAAAATCTTTAAAAAAAAAAAATCTTCTTGAGTTGATTCTTAAAAAAATTCTTTTGAGTTGACTTTTGAAAGGTCTTCCCAATGTTCAACAAATCAGATGTCTGCAGATGGTGGGGAGTGTGGAATGTCCAATAAATACCTTGATTAGTGGCCCAAAGTGTGGCCTTTGTGTTGCCCTTCTCCCCAAGTCCTACAGGGGTGATGTGGACCAGATGGATGTCACACATGTAGTGAGCTGCATTACAGCTCTGAGTTCAGGGAACTTACCTCTTTTATAGCAAGCAGTAAGAAAGTTTGCTCTTTGTTCTGAAGGGAGGCATTACTTCGTTGTTCAAGGTTGCTTTCTGCAAAATCACCCTGAGAAATGGTCTGGATGAAGAGTTGTTAGAGCCTTGCATTCTTGGCATACCCAGCAAGATGCATGGGAGTGCAAGACACTCATGGGGGAGTCTCTCAACAGATATGCCCTGGGCAGTGATCAGGTTGGTCACACTCATGTCAATGGCCAACATTTAAAAAAACAAACAAAAAAAACAAGTAAAGCTTATCAAAGAATTCCAATTAAAGAAGAGGATCTCTTGAAATAAGAAAAATTGCTCCCTTAACTCATTCTTCCTTTTTAGTATCTTCTTCCTAGTGTTTTCAACCACAAAATAAGGCATGACTTTTTCTTTAGGATCTATTTCCTAAAATAATAAAAGCTGTCTTTCATAGTCCTCTGATGACTTAATTTCCTTTTCTTCTTAGATATTCTCCTGAAAGGAAACAGAACATGGTTATTATGTGAGCAACAAATTATCACCACAACATGCTTCATTATATTTATTCCACAGACATTGGGAGTGACTACCACATGCTAGATACTGGAGATACAAGGATGACTGGATAGTTAAGACCCAGTCCCTGCTCTCAAAGATATATATATCTCCTAGAATTTTTTTTTAAAGATTTTATTTATTTATTTGACAGAGAGAGACACAGCGAGAGAGGGAACACAAGCAGGGGAAGTGGGAGAGGGAGAAGCAGGCTTCCTGTGGAGCATGGAGCCTGATGGGGGGCTCGATCCCAGGACCCTGAGGTCATGACCTGAGCCAAATGCAGACACTCAATGCCTGAGCCACCCAGGCACCCCTCTCCTAGAATCTTTCATAATAAAACATTTTTAAATAGTCAAAATTCTTTATTTCCCAAATTTTCTGTAATTATCATGTAGAATTTTTTGACAGAGAAAAATATAATTATGAGAAAAACAAGTGAAGGAAACAGAAGTAATGAGACAAGTAACTGGCTCCTAAGTAGGTTTCAGCCTCAAACATCCCTCATGAGAATCCAACCACTTCCAAGATTAGCCTAGCCCTTCTTCGAACGTGGGATTTTAGTAGCATGAGTCCAGCTATCTCCTTCAAACTAGTACACATTCTTTGGAGTCTTTTGTGGTCCTAAACAAGAATCTCAACCTTTACTGCCAGCCACAGAATCTACTTTACAGTGGTCAGGCAACTTCCCTGGTCTCCACAGGAGACTAGGGGAATTAGCCCTGGGCCCTAGCTGATAGGATAGAACCTGGCCTCTTGACAGCCTAATTGCCCATTTTCCTAGCCTCATTTTCTGTATACCTTTAATTAGATAATTAGCCCCACTCTACAGGTCTCCATTTTGTCTTCCTGCTCCAGCCCTAGTCTACTGAAACCGAACCTCCCTCAAATTTTGACACCTGCTCAGAAAAGGTCCTTGGTATTGCAATTGCCTATTTCTCCCGGATTGGAATTCACTCCTATTAGATGCTTCAAAGTTGTGTCCTGTCCAGGCTCCATCCTGGTTACTCTTAGAATACCTCATTGCCAGCTACATAGCATGGTTTATGACACTCCATGACAGGAAACTGTAACAACTGGGAAGGTCTGTGCATACATACATTTGTGTGTGTATGTGTGTATTTTTTCTGTACTTAATTTCTCAGTTAATTTTTTAAGATTCATTTCTCTTGGGGGACCTGGGTGGCTCAGTCGTTAAGCGTCTGCCTTCTGCTCAGGTCACGATCCCAGAGTCCTGGGATTGAGCCCCGCATCGGGCTCCCTGCTCAGCGGGAGGCCTGCTTCTCCCTCTCCCACTCCCCCTGCTTGTGTTCCCTCTCTCGCTGTGTCTCTCTCTGTCATATAAATAAAATCTTTAAAAAAAAAAAAAGATTCATTTCTCTGGAGCCTTCCCTGATTCTGCTAGGCAGAGGTCACTCATTTGTTTGTTCATCGAACATGTATTAATTGCCTACTCAACAGAAGACACTGTCTTAGGTACTGGAGATAGGAGATTAAGACACAATTCTTATCTTCTAGGGGCTCACAATCCAGGTAAACAAAGAACTCTAGTGGCTCTAATAATAAAAAAGAACTCTAATAATAAAGGTATGCATAAAATACGTAGCATAGTGGAGAGGAGCTCAAGATCTCCCTTGTGTCTTCAGTGATGATTGAGAATTTGACAACTAGGGGCTCCTGGGTGGCTCAGTCGATTAAGCATTTGCTTTCGGCTCAGGTCGTGATCTCAGGGTCCTGGGATCGAATCCCTCATCAGGCTCCCTGCTCAGCAGGGAGTCTGCTTCTCCTTCTATCTTTCCCCCCTGCTCATGATCTCTCTCTCTCTCTCTCTCTCTCAAATAAATAAATAAAATCTTAAAAAAAAAAAAGAATTTGACAACTGGATGTGAAAGGGCAGGGACAGAAAGCACTATTTCGGGCAGACAGGACAGCATGTATAGAGGAATGGAAGGTAGAGACTATATCTGTTTACAGTTTTGATTTTCTTGCTTATTAGGATAGTATAGCACACGTGGTAGATCATCACTGAATATGTGTTGAAAGAATGAAAGAACAGATGCTTTCCTCAGTAGTAGTAGAGGCTTCTACTCTCTCAAAGGAGTGTTTAAGCAACTCCAGCAATTTTTTCTTTTTTTTAGGAATTTAAGTTTACATTAAAAAATCTAAACACAAACATAATTTATCGTTCATTAAACTCAACTTTCATAGATATAATTTCCCATTTAGTCCTACATTAGATCTTCATTAAAAAACATAAAGACATGGAAGGGGAATGCAGTAGACCCCAAAAAGGTAACTGCCAGGCTCAGTAATTTCTTTTCCTGTAAAGGGTCCTTTACATAGGGTGACTCCCCAGCAGCTATATTTCTGTTTGTTTGTTTTTTATTTTTTTTATTTTTTACCCTGCTGCTTCCTCACCCCTAGCCCCTCAATAGCTGACTGATAAAGAGGTAAACCATATGACCCAAGGCTTGTCAGATCAGGGTCTTTTTTTTTTTCTTAAGATTTTATTTATTTATTTGACCGGGAGAGAGACAGCGAGAGAGGGAACAAGCAGGGGAGTGGGAGAGGGAGAAGCAGGCTTCTTGCTGAGCAGGGTGCCTGACACGGGGCTCGATTCCAGGACCCTGGGATCATGACCTTAAGCTGATGCTTAACGACTGAGCCACCCAGGTGCCCCCAAATCAGGGTCTTAAAAGAAATTAAGAGGGGTGCCTGGGTGGCTCAGTCGTTAAGCATCTGCCTTCAGCTCAGGTCATGATCCCAGGGTCTGGGATCGAGCCCCACATTGGGCTCCCTGCTCCACGGGAAGCCCGCTTCTCCCTCTCCCACTCCCCCTGCTTGTGTTCCCTCTCTTGCTGTATCTCTCTCTGTCAAATAAATAAAATCTTTAAAAAGTAAAAAAAAAAAAAAAAGAAAGAAACTAAGAGGCAGGATGTGAGACTTGGCCATGATACCAGCCAGGAATGGAGGCTTTGCAATGGGACAGAACAAAGCTGACCATCTTAGAAACAGAGACTAGAGAAGCATTCTAGCAGTATTCTTGTCCCTGGAGTCCATTTTCACTGTGGCTCAGTTGCACTCCCTTGTTCCAGTGAATCTATAAGTAACCCCAGTATCCTTTTAATAAATTCCTCTCTTCTGCCCTAGGTGGTTTGTATTGGCTCTCAGTTACTGGGAGTCAGAAGGTCTGACTACCATAGGGAACAAAAACAGGCATGGGGAGACAAACTTACCCAGCTTCTCTGTGGCTTCCACACAAACACTAGGATACATGCCTTCAGTGTAAGTTGCCACCAGAAGATACAGATGGGTCTTCACAACAACCACACCAGTGTTTTCCTGGATAAGAGTAAAACAGAATGTCCTTCTTTTGGTTCTAGTCACAGGACTAGCAGTTACACTCCAGCCACAATTTGTGCCATTTCTTTACTTCCATACACTCATATCTAGTTCTGGACTCTTCACTCTTTTCCACTAATTTAGTTGTCTTTGCTCAAAAAATTTCAGACTTGTAATAACAGCATGTGTATTTTGAAAAAGTTCCCCAACTGATTGTAATATACCCCTACCCCATTGAGAACGACTGATTTAATAGGGGCACCTGGGTGGCTCCTGGATGACTCAGTCCATGAAGTGTCTGCCTTGAGCTCAGGTCATGATCCCAGAGTCCTGGGATCGAGCCCTGTGTCAGGCTCCCTGCTCAGTGGGAGTCCAGCAGGAGTCTGCTTCTCCTTCTCCTCCCTGCTCATGCTCTCTCTATCTCTGTGTCTCTCTCTCAAATAAATAAATAAAATCTTTTTAAAAAATGAGAAGGTAATACATTTTGGAATTGGACAGCTTTGGGCTTGAATCCCAGAACCTTCATTTTCTGCTGCATGACTAAGGGAGAGTTATTTAACCTTGTGAACTCTCAGTTTCCTTGGTCCAGTAAAATGAGGCTATTTACTTTATAAGGCAGATGAAGTGTGCTTAACCCATAAGATAGGGCATCCAGTAAATGTGAATTTCATCTCCTTATTTCCTTATAAGCAACAGAGAGCCAAGAGAGGTTTTAAGCAAAAGAATGTTATCTTTTTTTTTTTTTCTTTTTTAAAAGGAGGAGGGTGTAGAGTATGGAGTAGTTAAAAGAGATACTTCAGACAAATTTCAGTTGATAGATTCTGGAATGAATGTTTCTCAACTACGCTCTCTGTACTTTCTTTTACATATGTCTTCTTAGCATTAGACTGCTGTCTCAGATATTGCCACTGTAGTAATGGGCTTAGACGGTTTTACAAATGGGATCAGGAGGGACACAGCAAATTCTTTTTTTTTTTTTAATTTTTTAATTTTTAAAGATTTTATTTATTTATTTGACAGAGAGAGACACAGCGAGAGAGGGAACACAAGCAGGGGGAGTGGGAGAGGGAGAAGCAGGCTTCCCGCAGAGCAGGGAGCCCGATGCAGGACTCGATCCCAGGACCCTGGGATCATGACCTGAGCCGAAGGCAGACGCTTAACGACTGAGCCACCCAGGCGCCCGGACACAGCAAATTCTAATAAAATTCTTTTCTTAAGGTTTTTAACCTAGCTGTCTTCAAATCTTGAACACTCACATTCTTAGCATAAAGAGAATAGTCATCTGCCCGGATACATTTGTAGTCCTTTTCCTTGAAATACAATCCTTCTCTTCTGGTTTGCAAAGGGTTCTTGGCGAATCCATTCACAAGTGTTCGGACATCACCAGGCATTATCTGCAGAAGTTAAATAGAGTAGGAGTGGGCAAACTATGGCAGGCTGGCCAAATTTGGCCCACTGTCTGTTTTTGTAGTCCTGCAAGCTAAGAATAGCTTTTACATTTTTAAGTCATTGGGAAAAAACAATAGAATAATATTTTGTGATATGTAAAAATTGCATGAAATTCACATTTCAGTGTTCATAAATAAAGATTTGTTGGAACATAGTCACACGCATTCTTTTATGTATTGTCTATGCCCGTTTTCCCACTAAAACTGCATAGTAGCTGTGTAGTTGTGACCCAGGCCATATAGCCCAGAAATATTTACTATGAAAATATTTACTATGAAAAAGTTTGAAAATGTTTGTAAAATGTTTGTTAAAGAAAAAGTTTGTTAAAATGCTTATGCCCAAACTTGCTTTTCCTTACACTAAATCCTGGTGATGCTACACACAAGCTTCGTTCTTGGAGTTTGATGAGGGCTGCACTGTCCACATGCTTTGTTCCCAGGAGGGTATCTAACAGTAAGTTCTGCAAATGGCTCATGCTCCCTCAGCTCTGAAAAGGGGAACTACAGTTGAAACGATTCACTCTGACTAGCTTCAAAAAGGCCCGCGAATACAAATCTCCCTAAAACACTTTGGACAGTTTTCAGCGCGTGCACTTTGGAAGTAGTGAAAATAGTGGTCCATCATCTAATACCCACCAATACTCAAAGAGGAAAATAGAATTATAGAAAATCACAGTTCACACAGGAGGTTATTGAATTTGGAAAATCACTGCTCACAATTTTCAAGTTATACCAATGGTTCGCATCAGAATCACCTGAGATTATAAACCAAAACCCAAACACCTGCGGGATGCAGAGCCACTTATCTAAGTAAACAAGGGTAAATGAGATCAGCTGGTCCTTATCCCCCCCCCCCCCCCCGCCCCGCATCAGCGCGAACTACGGGCACTGATACCGAGGACTAAATACACCTTCAGTGCATTTAAAGCGGGCTTTTCCCCACGTTTTCTTGGGCCGTCCTCATAAGGACAACGTCCACAAACACTCGTCCTTAAGGCAGGCGCCCTTTCCGGCCACTCCCTGCGCAGTGGTTTAGCCCACGGGGGGGGGGCGGTTCCCTGAAGAGGGACTGGAGGCGAGGGAGGGGGGTCGTGTTGGCTGGGAAAGCTCACAGAGGGCTTGGGGGAGGGCGATGGCCCAGGCGGGAGCAGAAGGAACAGGACGCTCCGGGAAGGAGCGCTTCGCTGGGCCAAGGGAGGGCTAGCGGAGCAGCCGCCCGTCAACGGACGCGGGGGAAGGCGGGGCGGAAAGGCGACTTGCCTAGCTATTGGCTGAAACATCTGCCCGTCACCGAGAAGCGCTGAGGTTTGGTTCGCTAACCACGACCCGCCCACCAGCGCCCGCACCCTAGGCGCTCAGGTTACTTCTCCGCGGGACTGGGCTCGCGAACAGAGTTGCGCGGGGCTCACCGACGCAGTGTCGGCCGGTAGAATTCTGACTCGTCGTCTGTCGCGGCGCAGGGCTTGTTGGGGGCTGCGTCAAGGAGACACTAGACTGGAACGTTCTGTCATTCCGGGGCGACGGGCCCGAGCTGACGGGGCCGCACTCTCCGGTGGCAGCCGACCACTGCGGGGCCGTGGGCCGAGGGGCCGGGCCCCTCGCGTGCTGCAGGGAGCCCAAGGCCCAGCCAGTCTTGGGAAGGGAGCTGAGGTACCTGTGGCGGTCTGCAGCTTTCCTGCCAGGCCGGGCGGAGCACGCGCTAATCTTGTTGACAAGATGGGAGGGAAGGGACGGGGTGGTGGGTGCTGTAGGTGTGTAACGGGCGCGGGCGCAAGCTCCCCCTCAGAAAACGTGTGTGTGTGTTGGGAGCCCCCTGTGCTGGCGTGTGTGTGTGTTGGGGGTTGCTTTGGGCCTCCTAGAGTTCGAGGACACGCAAATTTTTGTGAAAGCCCCTCCCTCTCTAAGCAGCCCTCCCTCTCTTCTAAGCCCCCTGGGTTGGCGTCGGTAGCCAGAAAGTGGCCGTTCTCCCGAGTCAGAAGATTGCGGCAGTGCGACCCCTAGAGGCCTGGCTGGTAATTGCCACGCCGTCTCGAACGGGCTGTGTTGCAGAAGGACTTGGGAAGCCTGAATTCCGGGGCGACGCTGGGGTCAGTCCAGAGAGAATCTCCCCTGCTTGAAAGAGGCTGGTTCTGAAGACCTCATCAGAAACGATGGTGAACCCTCTTGTTACGGAAAGTGTGGGTGGCTACTAATTCAGAATCGGTTCCACCCCCGTTCGTGGTCGCCAGGATTGATTGTTAAACAGAAGGGAAAGTAGGATTGTGGATTCTCATTACTGAATAAGCTAAACTTTTTTTAGCTTTTCTAGGGGCTCTGTTTTTTTGTGACCACAATGAGAAATTTAGACAGTGATGATCGGGTAACTGACAAGCTTAACAAGCCCAAGACATCGAGAGAATGGTTGGAACCACAGCCACCTTCTTTTATGGAGGTAACAGTAATATGGTGGCATTTTGAAGTTTGTATTTGGGTAGTTGCATTGAGGAGTGGCTTGTGCTGAATATTTTTTCTATGTTTCCTATTTCATTTCTGCTCTTATTTCCATTCATTCTACTAACTTTGTGTTTGCTATTCATTTTCTAGCTTTTTAAGGTGGAATCATAGGCAATTGATTACGTTTTTTTTTTTTTTAAAGATTTTATTTATTTATTTGAGAGAGAGAGAATGAGACAGAGCGAGTACATGAGAGCGGGGAGGGTTAGAGGGAGAAGCAGGCTCCTCGTCGAGCAGGGAGCCCGATGTGGGACTCGATCCCGGGACTCCAGGATCATGACCTGAGCCGAAGGCAGTCGCCCAACCAACTGAGCCACCCAGGCGCCCTGATTACGTTTTCTATATAACAGTTATAAAGTTTGTCCTGAAGCACCTTTAACTCTGTTGTGTTCTTAAAAACTATTGTAATTTTTTTCTAAACAGCTTTATTAAGGTATAACATATGCAATAAACTGCATATATTTGAAGTGTACAGTTTGAAAAATTTTGATGTATGCACACACGAAACCAGCACAATCAAGAGAATGAACATATTCAGTATTCCCAAAGTTTCCTTCTTGTGTCCCTCTTGTCATCCTTCCCTCCTTGCCAACCCTCAAGGCAATCACTGATTTCCTTGCTGTCACTACACTTTTGTTTAGCATTTAAAAAATTTTATACAAATGTAATCTTACAGCATGTATTCCTTTTGTCTGGCTTCTTTCACTCACCATAATTATTTTACAATTCATGTTGTGGCATGTATCAGTACTTCATTCCTTTTTATTTGCTGAGTGCTGTATACCCTAGTTTGTCCATCCTGCTGATGGAAATTTGGGTTCTTTGCATTTTTTGGCTATTACAAATAAAGCTGTTAGGAACAATCATGTACATGTCTTTACATGGACATATGCTTTCATTTCTCTTGGGTTTCTAGTTGTAGAGTGACTGGGTTATATAGTAAGTGAATTTAACTTTTTTATGAAACTGCCAAACTGTTTTCCAAAGGAGTTTGCCTTGTACATACATAGTTCAAGGATCCGCCAGAGATTTGGTCAGTTAATTTGTAAAATTGGTGGCATCTCCTCTACAGCTTTCTCATTTCAGGTATTTCTCCTTTGACTTTCCAGCTCCTATGGTTGCCCTGAACTCTGTCTTCTAAATCTTTTTTTTTTTTTTTTTTAAGTTTATCTTTTTTAGTAATCTCTACACTGGGGCTCAAACTCACAACCCTGAGATCAAGAGTTGCATGCTCTTTTTTTTTTTTTTTTTAAGATTTTAGTTATTTGACCGAGAGACAGCGAGAGAGAGGGAACACAAGCAGCGGGAGTGGGAGAGGGAGAAGCAGGCTTCCCTCTGATCAGGGAGCCCGATGCGGGGCTCGATCCAAGGACCCTGGGACCATGACCTGAGCTGAAGGCAGACGCTTAACGACTGAGCCACCCAGGCGCCCCTCGCATGCTCTTCTGACTGACGAGCCAGGTGCCCCTGTCTTCTAATTCTTGAATTCTGTAAAACTTCATGTTTCTGGGTTTGAGCCCTCACCTTTAGCTCTGATGGAGGCCTGCTCTTAGACAAAAGTCCATAAAAACTGAAAACTTATACCAATGTTATTCTCTTTTTCCAAGGATTGACTACATTCTTGTTTCTCTCTGTTTTTGGTCAGTCTCCAGTGTCTTCAGATTGTTGTTTTTTATATTTTTGTCTAGAATATTAATTCAGTATCATCTTGGTTTTGAGAACAACAGATTGCCAGGAATAGCAACTCTGTGAGGCAGAGAGAACAAAGAAAATGAATCTGGAGTTAGATATATTTGAGGGTTTTTTTTTAAAGATTTTATCCTTTTTTTTTTAAAGATTTTATTTATTTATTTGACAGAGAGATAGCGAGAGCAGGAACACAAGCAGGGGGAGTGGGAGAGGGAGAAACAGGCTTCCTGCCGAGCAGGGAGCCTGATGCGGGGCTCTATCCCAGGACCCTGGGATCATGACTTGAGCCGAAGGCAGACGCTTAACGACTGAGCCACCCGGGTGCCCAAGATTTTATCCATTTATTTGACCCCGAGAGAGAGAGCACAAGCAGGGGGAATGGCAGTCAGAGAAAGAGGGAGAAGCAGGCTCCCCGCACAGTAGGGGGAGCCCGATGTGGGACTCTCTCCCAGGACCCCAGGATCATGACCTGAGCCAAAGGCAGTTGCTCAACCAACTGAACTACCTACGCGCCCCTTTATTTGAGTTTAAATTCTGACTCAGTGCAGGATTTTCTAGGCTTCTAGTTGTTGGTTAACTCCCATGACTCTTAATTTCCTTGGGTGTTAACCATCCTTGGGAAGGTTAGTTCTTGGATTTTGAGATTTTACTCATCTGTTCTGAAAACAAGAGTAGTAGAACTGGGGCCCCTGGGTGGCTCAGTCAATAAGCGTCTGCCTTCAGCTCAGGTCATGATCCCAGGGTCCTGGGATCCAGCCCCTCATCGAGCCCCCCATCGAGCCCCGCATCAGGTTCCCTGCTCCGCAGGAAGCCTGCTTCTCCCTCTCCCACTCCCCCTGCTTGTGTTCCCTCTCTCCTGCCTCTCTCTATCTCTCTGTCAAAAAAAAAAAAAAAGTAGTAGAACCGAAGACAACTACTTCCAATGACTTAATTTTTTTTTTTTTAAAGATTTTATTTATTTATTTGACAGCGAGAGAGGGAACACAAGCAGGGGGAGTGGGAGAAGGAGAAGCAGGCCTCCTGCCCAGCAGGGAGCCCATGCAGGGCTCAATCCCAGGACCCCGGGATCATGACCTGAGCCAAAGGCAGAGGCTTAACCACTGAGCCACCCAGGCGCCCCCAATGACTGTTAATTTGAGAATATTTTGTTTTTGTGTAATTGTGAGAAGATTTCAAAGTCCCATCCCAAATGTCTCTCACTTTGGGAAATTTAAAAAATTTAATCATATTTCCAATGTGGTAAAATATATATAGCATCAAAGTTTACTATTTTTGACGATTTTTAAGTGTACAATTTGTGACATGTTTACAACCGCTTGTATTTTCTGGTGTGTATTTATGGAAGATTTGTTATGTAAGTGGATAAAATTAATGTTATGAACTATTTCCTGAAGATTGTGTTGCTTTAAAATCTGAAAATGTGGCGTGCCTGGGTGGCTCAGTTGGTTAAGTGTCTGACTCTTGATTTCTGCTCAGGTCGTGATCACAGGGTTGTGAGATAAGAGTCCTGCTTGGACTTCACGCTCAGCAGGGAGTCTGCTTGGGATTCTCTCTCTCCACCCTGCCCCTCCCCACCGTGCTTATGTGTGCTCTCTTGCAAATAAATAAATAAATCTTTAAAAAAAAATCTGAAACTGTGACTTGTATATAAATTACTAATATTTGAAGCTATAATGACTAAATGAATTAAAGTAGAATTCACTGATGACTGAATGAATTCAAATAGAGGCCTGAGTCTGTTTTAACTCATAAAGGTAAAAACATGAAATGTGAAAAAAACATGGGTTCTATTTACCATGCGACTCTGGGCAAGTCATTTGACCATGCTGGGAGTCAAAATGTCTGTGATCTGAGTTATTTTTTGTCCTTGAATGAGAGATAGCAAATAGCAGAAAGATTCAAATACCCTTTAAGAAGTACTTGATGAGGGCTCCAGTGTACTTCTCCCTCTGACCCTCCCCCCTCTCGTGCTTTCTCCCACTCACTCACTCTCTCACACATAAAGAAAAAATCTTTCAAAAAAAAAAAAGTACTTGATGATATGAGTTGAAGTAGAAAAATTGTATTTACAGAGAACTTTCCAGGGATATGTCTGTCACATAAAAGCGAGTCCAGATAGTATTAATAATCTGATTTTTAAATTTTTAAATTTTTTTGTTTTAGAGAGAATGGGAGCAGGGAGGGGCAGAGGGAGATAGAGAAGCTGAAGTTGACTCCATACAGAGTGCAGAGCCTGACATGGGGCTCAATCTCAGGACCCTGAGCTCATGACCTGAGCCAAAACTGAGTTGGATGCTTAATTGACTGTGCCACCCAGATGCCCCCATAATTTGATTTTTTTTTAAGATTTTATTTTCAAAATTTCATTTTGTCATTTTAGGCATTAGCTAAAGAAGATATTGATGCAGCTATTCAATCAATATTATATAGAGAAAATCATGTAATTAAGGTAAGAATTGGCTACAGAATGTGTCACAATTAAAAATTAAATTTTGTTTATCCATTTTAGATGTAGTGCATCATCATTTACAAATTTTAGAAAATACAGGAAATAGAATTGAAAATGCTCATTAGCCCCTAGGATTAACCTTAAGCGATCTTTGAGATTGTTTTAATTGACTTCTCTTTTTCTACTTTGTGGGGATTGTTTCATAGATACTTATATGTAGGAGTTTTTCCCCACTTGTTCTTTCATCTAGTAGGGCTTCTGTGGAGTCAGTGTGTATTCTTTTTTTTTTTAATTTATTTTTTTTAAAGATTTTATTTATTTATTTGAGAGAGAGAATGAGATAGAGAGTACATGAGAGGGGGGAGGGTCAGAGGGAGAAGCAGACTCCCTGCTGAGCAGGGAGCCTGATGTGGGACTCGATCCCGGGACTCCAGGATCATGACCTGAGCCGAAGGCAGTTGCTTAACCAACTGAGCCACGCAGGTGCCCGTGTGTGTATTCTTAAGAGCTTTAAGGGCTTTAAGGGCTGTTCCTGGAACACACTGACCAATTATTACTCAGGTATGCATAGGTAAGAAGAAGGCTTTAACTGTAACAGGATGGGCTTAATTATAAGACAAGATGAATGTCCATGTAGAATAAACACTGGAGTGGGTAACTTGTAAAGAAAAATTTTCTTCAGTGTTGTTTAAAAAGGAAAGGGGCTATTCATTAAGAATGGTTGAAGAGTGCTATGACCTGAAGCTAGGGAGGGATAGAGCCTAGAGAAGCTCTCAGTGTTCTTCGTTTATTTATTTATTTTCATTTTGAATTTCATGTTGTTGATTGTGAAATCACATGATTTCATTTGCTAGATGAAAGGTGGATACGTTTTGGATAAGAAGTTTTAGTTTATAGCCTAAATCAGTCATTTTCTTTATGGGCTACTTGCCATTTCATCCAGATTGTGCTAGCTTCTGCCTCTTCACTCTTGTCTTTTTTTTTTTCTCCCTCCATAGAATATACTTCTTTCACATTCTCTCATCCCTTCTCTTCCTAGATAACTCTCTTAAGGCCTATCCCAAATGTCTCCCACTCTAGGAATTAAAAAGAAAAATTTAGTCATTTTTTTCCCATGTGGTAAAATATATATAACATAACTTTGCTATTTTTAACCACTTTTAAGTGTACAATTCAGTGACATTAATTACATTCACATGTTGTACAACCATCATCAATATTTCCAAATAGATGGATGTCATGAAATCATCATTATCTATTTCTATTTCTAAAACTTTTTCATCACCCCAGCCAAAACTTTATACACATTAAGTAATGACTTCCCATCCCCCCTGCCCCAGAGGTCCCTCTAGTAGCCTCTTGTTTATTTTCTGTCTCTGAATTTGCTTATTCTAGATAATTTCATATAAGTGGGATCCTACAATATTTGTCCTTTTGTGTCTGGCTTATTTCACTTAGCATATTATCTTCAAGATTCATCCATTTTGAAGTATGTGTCAGAACTTCATTCCATTTTATGGCTGTCTAATATTCCATTTTCTTTTTTTTTTTTTTTTTTAAGATTTTATTTATTTATTTGTGAGAGAGAGAATGAGAGAGAGCACATGAGAGGGGGGAGGGTCAGAGGGAGAAGCAGACCCCCTGCTGAGCAAGGAGCCCCATGCGGGACTCGATCCCGGGACTCCAGGATCATGACCTGAGCCGAAAGCAGTCGCTTAACCGACTGAGCCACCCAGGCGCCCTAATATTCCATTTTCTGTGTATACCACATTTTGTTGATGGACACTTGGGTTTTCACCTTTTGGTTACTGTGAATAATGGTTCTATGAACATTGATGTACAAGTATCTGAGTCTCTGTATTTTGTATGTGTGTGTGTGTGTATTTTGCTATATTGTCCCTCTATTGTTTTGTATATTTGTTTTGTAGTCTGTCTCTCCAGGGAGAGTAGGCATGTTGTCTAATTTATGTAGTAGTCACTATTTCCAGTAGAGTGTGTGTCACCCAGTAGAAGCCAAATAAATGATTGAATTAATGAATGACTTTGTGTGTTATTCTTAGGAATATAAATGAATTTAAATTTTAGAACAACAAAGCTTTAAAATAATTGCCTTTTCCATCAATGTTTTTTAGGAACTAGATAAGTGTTTACAACATCATGACTTTTTAAAGGCAAGAAGAAAAGAGATGTTACATAAAAGATGGGCTGACCATGTGGCACATCCTCTCCAGAAGAAAATAATAGAAAAAGTTTGTTCATATAAGAAGATTAAAAAAAGGAGACAAGAAGAATTAGATAGTTTTTTAAAACATGTAAATAAAAAGGTACGAAGAGGTCATTTGATACTTGTTTCCGTTGGTTTAAAACTAGGATTACCTTTATAATCATCCAAACAGCCTGCCCCTTCTGACTCTATAAATGTATAATCTCTACTCTGTTACAGTGTATGCTGTGTCCTAAATCCAGGGCATGTGGAAAGGATGGAGGGAAGAGGGTTAGGTCTGGATTTAAATGTGTACATTAGAATCCGTTTTCTTTGCTTTTTAAATGTAATTATTAATTTTATATACCAATTAAATTTGGGCTGTAGATTCAGGATATTTATATGTAGTTCTAGGACTCAGTTATTTACAATGCTATAAAATACTTGTTTTGGCATTTCTAAGAGATCTGAGATGTTTGACTAGTAAGCATGTAAAAACAAATTCCCAAATCTGTTAGTGTTCCAACATTCATTATTCTTGCAAATTTTAAGTAGATTCCTTCTGTCACTATAATAGTTATTACTTGGCTACATTAAGTTTAATTTCAATTTTGGTCTTCCCTTCCCCTTTGCATTTGTTATTAATGCTGTTTTGAAGCAGAAGAATGGAACTGTGTGACTCTTGAATCCTGTTATCCTGTTATGCTCAAAATTAATTGTGTATCTTTTGTTATGTGTAGTTTTATTTCCTTCCTATAGGGAAATGCATTTATAGAACATTATGATCCAAAAGAGTATGATCCTTTTTATATGAGCAAAGAGGACCCAAATTTTCTGAAGGTAGGATAGATTTCTTATTTTTAGTATTATGTGGTTGGTTATTCTGAGTAGCCCTAATATATAAGTAGTTCTTTAGTGATTCCCTAAGAACGCAGTAACATCTTAAGAATAATTTCCCATCTCCATATCTTAGAAAGGAATAAAAAAGCCAAAGTCCAAAGTAAATTAAACCTCTATAAAAATTTGAAAATATTGTATAATAATTGAGTAATAGGTAATATTTAAAAATTTAATAGACTTAAAAATTTGTTACAAATGTAATACATTTTCATGATACATAAAAAATTTTTTTGAGAGAGAGTTGGGGGAGGGGCGGGGGGGAGAGAGAGAGAGAATATCTTAATCAGGTTCCATGCCCAGCATGGAGCCCCACGCAGGGCTCAGTCTCCCGACCCTGAGATCATGCCCTGAACTGAAGTCGAGTTAGACGCTTAACCTACTGAGCCACCCAGGTGCCCCCCCAAATCTTTTTTTTTTTTTTAAGATTTTATTTATTTATTTGAGGGAGAGAGAGGAGAGACAGAGAGCACAAGAGGGAGGAGGGCCAGAGGGAGAAGCAGACTCCCCACCGAGCAGGGAGCCCTATGAGGGACTCAGTCACTCAGTCACGGGACTCCAGGATCATGACCTGAGCTGAAGGCAGTCACCCAACCAACTGAGCCATCCAGGCGCCCCCCCCCCCAGTCTATTTTTAAGTAAAGAATTAAAAAACCACTCACAGGGGCTCCTGGGTGGCTCAGTCGGTTAAGCATCTGCCTTGGGCTCAGGTCATGATCTCAGGGTCCTGGGATGGAGCCCCGAGTGGGGCTCCCTGCTCAGTGGGGATTCTGCTTCTCCGCTCCCTCTGCCTCCTTCCCCCTGCTCATGTTCTTTCTTTCTCTTGCTGTCAAATAAATAAATCTTAAAACCCTCACAATTTCATTACACAGAGTGAACTTACTAACATTTTTCTGTATATTCTTCTGGATAGCCAAGACTTGCTTTCTATATGTGGGTGTATATACACATTTTTATTTTACAAATTGGTGTAACACATTGTTTTATAATCTGCATTTTTTCCTCAGTAGTTCTATGATTTGCTTCTTTCTTTGTCAATAAATGTAAATACATAATTTTAATCATCGCACAGTGTTATGTTAATAACAGCTGGGGTGCCTGGGTGGCTCAGTCGGTTAGGCCTCTGACTCTTGATTTCTTTTTCTTTTTTTTTTTTAAGTTTTATTTATTTGACAGACAGAGACAGTGAGAGAGGGAACACAAGCAGGGGGCGTGGGAGAGGGAGAAGCAGGCTTCCGACTAAGCAGGGAGCCCGATGCGGGGCTCGATCCCAGGACCCCGGGATCATGACCTGAGCCGAAGGCAGACGCTTAGCGACTGAGCCACCCAGGTGCCCCAGACCAATGGGTTTTAATGTAGTTGAGTTTGAATAATTTATTAATACAGTTTCAGATTGCACATCATAACCTTTAAGAAACTACCACTTACTGAATTTGGGTAGAGTGTCTAAGAAGAATATCCACAGTGATCTGGAAAAGCTATTAACACAAGAGCTAACCATGACTGGAGGGCCTTGCTAAGAGATGTATCGGAGTGCCCACATTTCTTTGTAAAATGTTAAATATATATAATGGTTACACTGAAGTAGTTTGTAGATACTTTATTCTTGGTTCTTCTGGCCTAAGAGCCATACATAGATGCTTAAGGTAGACTGAAAAAGACCTGCAATCCTGTCCTCAAAGACATGCTTTTCTTGTAGGTTACCATTCCACCATTTCGTGACCCTTTGAAAAAGGCACAATATGACAAAGATGATGAAAAAAGAACTCTTCTTCAGTGTGAGACTGGTACTCAGTGCCTGATTGTTACGTGATTTCATAACCCAAGAGCAATGGGAGTTGCATTTAAGGGTGCTAATCTAGGTTACTAATCTTCTTGCAGGCAAAATATATACAATGAAAGAATTTAAAGAGATTGAAAAGGCCAAACTGCATTCCAGATTCCCAAGAATTTCTAATTCAAGGCACTTTATGACTCCAAATGAGTGGCTTAAGCTGCCTACAACCTACATAGAAAGTGAATTTTGTAAAAGGAGCAGGTAATGGTTAATGTAATAGAAATTATGGAACCTTTTGGAATTTGAAAACTCTTCTTGACTGGTATAAATTTTACCATAATTCTGATTTTTTTAAAAATTAATTTTTCAATTAGAAATCTGTAATATTTGTTCCTGTTTTTGATGTTTCTTTTTTCTTGGGCACTTTCAAGATTTTCTCTTTGCTTTTTAATAGCTAGATTATGATATGTCTAGGTATTTTGTTTTTTGTTTTTCCCTTTCTTTCTGTTTATCCTGCTTAGGGTGCTCTGAGATTCTTGTATCTGTGGTTTGACATCTTTCATTATTTATTTTGGAAAATATGAGGCCATTATCACTTCAAATATTTCTTATGCCCTATTTTTCTTTTCTTTCTGAGAAATCAGTTATTATTATTATTATTATTATATTTTAAGGTTTTATTTATTTGAGAGAGAGAATGAGAAAGAGAGAGCACATGAGAGGGGGGAGGGCCAGAGGGAGAAGCAGACTCCCTGCCGAGCAGGGAGCCCGATGCGGGACTTGATCCCGGGACTCCAGGATCATGAGCTGAGCTGAAAGCAGTCGCTTAACCAACTGAGCCACCCAGGCGCCCAGAAATCAGTTATTATTATTATTATTTTAAAGATTTTTATTTATTTGACAGAGATAGTGAGAGCAGGAACACAAGTGGGGAGTGGGAGAGGGAGAACTAGGCTTCTCGCTGAGTGGGGAGCCTGATGTGGGGCTCGATCCCAGGACCTGGGATCATGACCTGAGCCAAAGGCAAGCTGCTCAACTGAGTGAGCCACCCAGGCACCCCTATTATTATTATTATTATTATTTTAAAGATTTTATTTATTTATTTATTAGAGAGCGAGCGAGAGAGAAACAGCATGAGAGAGGAGAGGGTCAGAGGGAGAAGCAGGCTCCCCGCCGAGCCAGGAGCCCGATGTGGGACTCGATCCCAGGACCCCGGGATCATGACCTGAGCCGAAGGCAGTCGCTCAACCAACTGAGCCACCCAGGCGCCCAAGATTTTATTTATTTGAGAGAGAGAATGAGAACACGAGAGGGAAGAGGGCAGAGGGAGAAGCAGACCCCCTGCTGAGCAGGGAGCCCGATGTGGGACTCGATCCCTGGACTCCGGGATCATGACCTGAGCCGAAGGCAGTTGCTTAACCAACTGAGCCACCCAGGCGCCCTATTTTTTTTTTTTTTTTAAGATTTTTATTTATTTGAGAGAGAGTACACACAAGAGAGAGCACTAGCAGGGGCAGTGGTGGGGGCAGAGGGAGAGGGTGAAGCAGGCTCCCCGCTGAGCAAGGAGCCCAATGTGGGACTCAATCTCAGGACTCTGGGATCATGACCTGAGCTGAAGGCAGATGCTTGACTGAGCCACTCAGGTGCCCCTGAGACTCCCAATTATATGTATGTTAGACCATTTGATTGTCTCATGGCTCTGTAGCTCTTAGTTTGTTCTTTTGTGTTAAAAATTTTTTTTTTCTAATTATATTTCAGTTGGACAGTTTCTACTAACCTATCTTTAGATTCACTAAGCCTTTCCTCAGCTGTGTCCCATCTCTCTCTCTCTCTTTTAAGATTTTATTTATTTAGAGAGACAGAGATAGCAACAGCACAAGCAGGGAGGAGAGGGAGAAGCAGGTTCCCACTGAGCAGGGAGCCCAATGCGGGGCTCGATCCCAAGACCCTGAGATCGTGACCTGAGCTGAAGGCAGATGCTTAAGTGACTTGAGTCACCCAGGTGCCCCTTTGTCCCATCTCTTCATCAGTCCATCAGAGGAATTCTTTGTCTCTGATGTGATTTTTATTTCCCGCATTACCATTTGATTTTTTTTCACATAGTTTTCACACCTGCTGAAATTCTCCATTTATACAGGTTCACTTTTCCACTAGATTCTCTAACAGATTAGTCATAGTTATCTTAAATTCTCTGATAGTTCCCTTGCTAGGGTCATTTCTGAATGTGGTTCTATTGATTGCTTTCACTCTTGACAATGGGTTATTTTTTGTCTTGCCCACCCCCCCTATGTCTTATAATTTTTTATTAAATGCTAGATATTTGAGGTTATTTTGTCTTGCCTTTTTTTTTTTTTTTTGCATGTCTTGTCATTTTTGATTGAATACCAGGCAATAGAGGTAGAACAGTATAGACTGAGTATGTCTAGAAATAGATATCCTTTTCTTCTGTCAAGCATTAGTGTGGAGAATTGGGTTTATCTAGTCAGAAGTTGAGCTGGGTTTAGGTATTATTATTGCATTGTTATTTTTAGTGCGCTACAGGCTTCAAATGCCTTTAGTGTTGGGCTGCTGTTACCTTGTGCTTAGGGTGGGGCCTGGCATGCCAGAAGGGTTTTCTCAAGCATTCCTTCTTCCCTTTCAGTTTTTGGCTATTTCAGTAAGCCTTTGTCACAGAGGTGTGGGGTGAGTCTCTCCCATGGTCTTGCTTCATCCCCAGAAGTATACTGCTATTGCTTGTTATTGCTAGGCTCATAGCTGGAGCAGAGGAATTTTTTCTGTTTTCCTTTTTTTAAGATTTTTTTATTTATTTGACAGAGAAAGACACAACGAGAGAGGGAACACAAACGGGGAGTGGGAGAGGGAGAAGCAGACTCCCCGCCGAGCAGGGAGCCCGATGCGGGACTCGATCCTGGGACTCCAGGATCATGACCTGAGCTGAAGGCAGTCGCTTAACCAACTGAGCCACCCAGGCGCCCTTTTTCTGTTTTCCTTATCCCACCTCAGTGTTAGGCATGCTCTGTGTGCTTGGGCCTCAGGAATAGCATGTTCTTAGGGTTCCTTTCCCTTCTCCTTGTGGCAGCCAAACTCTTGTGTGGTTGTTCTTGGGTGAGTTTCCTGCCCTTCTTCCAACAGAGGCAGATCTCTGCTTGGTGTAGGTGTAGGATTCTGGACCTGAAGTGGTTTGTCTCTCCCAGTGGGACAGAGGATTTTTACTTCTATCCTTATCCTAATAGCACTGGATCCTTGCCTTGGTCCTGGGTGTACCCCTCTTACTTCTCTATAGGCAGACAGATTTTGCCTTTACTTCTCTTCCAGAAGCAGTATATCTTTGCTTGTTGTCCTGGGGGTTGGGGAAGAATTTACTTCCCTCTTCCCAGCAGCTTAAGGCTTTTGCTTTGTCGTACAGATGGATCCAGGGAAATGGGTGGGGATTTGCATTTGCTTACCTGAAGGTTTTGATCTCTTCCTGTGTGTCTTTGCCACTGATGGGGCCTTTCTGTGGTCTTCTGCTCTATACCCAGTCTTTTTTTGAGGAAAACACTGTTTCCAAGAGTCTATTAAATGCCACTTTAACACTTTCTCTATGAAATATTTCCAGTTGGGACACCTGGCTGGCTCATTTGGTAGAGCATGTGGCTCTTGATCTCAGGGTTTGAGTTTGAGCCCCACGTTGGGTGTAGAGATTGCTTAAATAAATAAATCTAAAAAATCTTAAAATATTTCCAATCCACCTCCTTATACTGGTCAGTTTGGTCCAGTCCCTCTTTTGTCCCATCACTTGACACAAATATACTTTTTTACTTATCATATAGTTTGCAACTGTCTAATTGTGTGTGAAATGAATGAGTGGATGACTAGTCACTGGTTAAGTCTGTGAGACTAGTTTGGAGTGATTTTGTGAAAAGCCTTCAATGCCAGCTTAAAAATTGGGATTTTATCATGTAGGGAATGGGGAGTCATTGAGGATAGTAATGTTGGAAACTTTAATCTGGCATATGCTGTATATGATAGATTAGAGATAAGATAGGACTGGAAGCTGGAGATCATTGAACTTTTTGTAAGGACCTATGTTATGTTGATAAAGGCCTCAGGATGGTGGCAAAAGGAACGGAAGGAGGAGATTGATGTGATAAAACAAAGGAATTTTAGATTTTGGTGGCCAGATTTGGAAGGCCAGGGAAAAGGAAGAGTCAGAGAGGAATTTTTTTTTTTTAAGATTTTATTTATTTATTTATTTATTTATTTATTTATTTATTTATTTATTTTTAAAGATTTTATTTATTTATTTGACAGACACAGCGAGAGAGGGAACACAAGCAGGGGGAGTGGGAGAGGGAGATGCAGGCTTCCTGCTGAGCAGAGAGCCCGATGTGGGGCTCGATCCCAGGACTCTGGGATCATGACCTGAGCCGAAGGCAGACGCTTAATGACTGAGCCACCCAGGAGCCCCAGATTTTATTTATTTGACAGAGTGAGCACAAGTAGGGGGAGCAGCAGAGGCAGAGGGAGAAGCAGGCTCCCCGCCAAGCAGGGAGCCTGATGTAGGACTCGATCCCAGGACCCTGAGATCATGAGCTGAAGGCAGACGCTTAACGACTGAACTACCCAGGTGCCCGGAGAGGAATTCAGTTTTGAGAAATATTATTACATATTAGTTTCCTAAGGCAGTTGTAATACAGTACCACAAACTGGGTATTTTCTCCCAATTCTGGGGGCTGGAAGTATAAAATCAAGAGGTCAACAGTGCCATTTCCTCTATGAAGGCTCTAGGGGAGCCTCCTTCCTTGTCTCTTTCCTAGCTGCTGTTGGCTGCAGGCAATCATCACTCTAATGTCAGCCTCCATTGTCACATGGTCTTCTTCCCTCTGTGTCTGTATCCAATTTCCCTCCTTTTTCTTTTTTTTTTTTAAAGATTTTATTTATTTATTTATTAGAGTGTGCAAGTGGGGTGGGGGGAAGAGCAGAGGGAGAGGGACAAGCAGACTCCATGCTGAGTTTGGAGCTCCATGCAGGGCCTAATCCCACGACCCTGAGATCATGACCTGAGCCAAAATCGAGAGTCAGATGCCCAGATGACTAAACCACCCAGGCGCCCCTCCGATTTCCATCTTATAACATCTATCACTGGATTAGAGCTCACCCTAATCCATTATGACCTCATTTTAACTTGATTACATTTGCAAAAACCTTCTTTCCAAATAAGGTCACAGTCACAGGTCTCAGAGTTTAGGACTTGAACATATTTTTTCTGGGGGACACAATTCAACCCATATTTCAAATTAATTCAGAGACTTATGTATTGAGTTATAATTGCCTTAAAGAACTCAATACAATAGAGAAGATAGCTATTTAAATAGATAATTCCATTACAAATGGCAGACGTGATAATACTGATATGCACAGTTTATTATGGAAGCACAGAGGAGGGACACTTAACCCAGCCTAACAGAAAATACAAAGGTAGGATCCTGGATAGAAATTTAAAAAATGAAAGGGCTCCTGGGTGGCTCAGTTGTTTAAGTGTCTGACTCCTGATTTTGGGTCAGGTCATGATCTCAGGGTCATGAGATCAAGACCTGTGTCGGACTCTATGATGGAGCCTGCTTAAGATTCTCTCCCTCTCCCTCTGCCCCTTCCCCTTCTCCAAAAAAATTTAAAAAATGAAAAGGAGCATCAGTTTCTTGGGATTGAAATTATTCAGTGTTCGGTTTATATAATTTTATTAATTTAAATGATCTCTAGTTTGGGTGAATCCAGGAGAAAACTTCCTGTCTGAAGTTAACAGACATATATGTAGGAATGCAGAGATCAGAGATGGCTACATAGAGGAGGGAATCCGTGTGGTTGCCATCTGGCTTCCATTTTATACCATAGTTTTGGAGACTTTGTTTTTCTGAAGTTCAGCCTTTAATGTTCAATTCTGGTGTATCTGAAATATCTTTTTTTTTTTTAAAGATTTTATTTATTTATTTATTTATTTGGCAGAGAGAGAGACAGCGAGAGAAGGAACACAAGCAGGGGAGTGGGAGAGGGAGAAGCAGACCGACTGAGCAGGGAGCCCCATGCAGGGCTCCATCCCAGGACCCTGGGATCATGACCTGAGACATAGGCAGACGCCTAACGACGGAGTTACCCAGGCACCCCTGAAATATCTTTATTCTTGTTCTTTAAAGATAATTTGCTGAATACAAAATTCTAGGTTGTTATTTATTTTCTCTTAGTGCTTTAAAGATACACTTCTTGTTTTTGGTTTCTGTTTATGAGAAGTCTGCTGTCATTCTGATTTTCATCCTTTCTCTATGGCTGCTTATAAAATCTTTGTCTTTAGCATTCTTTTTTTAAAATTTATTTTATTTTGGGGCGTCTGGGTGGCTCAGTTGTTAACCGTCTGCCTTCGGCTCGGGTCATGATCCCAGGGTCCTGGGATCGAGCCCCGCATCGGGCTCCCTGCTCAGCGGGAAGCCTGTTTCTCCCTCTCCCACTCCCCCTGCTTGTGTTCCCTCTCTCACTGTCTCTCTCTCTATTGAAAAAAAAATCTTTAAAAAAAATTTTATTTTTTTAAAAGATTTTATTTGAAAGCGTGAGTGAGAGCGAGTGAGCACAAGCAGGGGGAGGGGCAAAGGGAGAGGGAGAAGCAGACTCCTCCACTGAGCAGGGAGCCTGATGCGGGGCTTGATCCCAAGACCCCGGGATTACGACCTGAGCTGAAGGCAGATGCTTAACTGACTGAGCCACCCAGGCGCCCGTGTCTTTAGTGTTCTGCACTCTTCCTAGAGATGTTGAGGTATAGATTTCTTTTTATTTAAGCTACTGGTATATATTGTGCTTCCTGGATCTCTGTTCATTTAAAAAAATTTTTTTTTATTATGTTAATCACCATACATTACTTTGTGTTCATTTTTCATCAGTCATGAAAATTCACAGCAATGATCTCTTGATTGCTTTTTCTTCTTTCCATTCTGCTTCTGGGCTCAAATTAGACATATATTAGACCTTATAACTTTTTATTTTTATTTTTTAGAGGGAGAGAGAAGGGGAGGGGCAAACGGAGAGGGAGAGAAAATATTTTTTTTTTTTCAAAGATTTTATTTATTTATTTGAGAGAGAGAGAGAGAGAGCATGAAAAGGGGGAGGGTCAGAGGGAGAAGCAGACCCTCCGCTGAGCAGGGAGCCCGATGTGGGACTCGATCCTGGGACTCCAGGATCATGACCTGAGCCAAAGGCAGTCGCTTAACCAACTAAGCCACCCAGGCGCCCGAGAAAATATTTTTTTTAAAAAAGATTTTATTTATTTGACCAAGAGAGACATGGTGAAAGAGGGAACATAAGCAGGGGGAGTGGGAGAGGGAGAAGCAGACTTCCCGCAGAGCAGGGAGCCTGATGTGGGGCTCGATCCCAGGACTCTGGGATCATGACCTGAGCCGAAGGCAGATGCTTAACGACTGAGCCACCCAGGCACCCCTCTTTTTTTTTTTTTTAAGATTTATTTATTTTATTTTTATTTTATTTTTTATTTTTATTTTTTTTAAAGATTTTATTTATTTATTTGAGAGACAGAGAATGAGAGACAGAGAGCAGGAGAGGGAGGAGGGTCAGAGGGAGAAGCAGACTCCCTGCTGAGCAGAGAGCCTGATGTGGGACTCGATCCTGGGACTCCAGGACCATGACCTGAGCCGAAGGTAGTCGCTTAACCAACTGAGCCACCCAGGCGCCCAGATTTATTTATTTTAGAGAGTGCAGGAGCAGGGGGCAGGGCAGAGGGAGAAAGAGGGGGGAAGCAGACTCCCCACTGAGCAGGGAGCCAGATGCAGGGCTGGATCTCAGGACCAGAGATCATGACCTGAGCTGAAACCAAGAGTCAGATGCTTAACCGACTGAACTACCCAGGCATCCCGGTTTCAGTAATTCTGAAACACTCAAGAATGTATACTAGTTTGAGGGGCGCCTGGGTGGCTCAGTCGTTAAGCGTCTGCCTTTGGCTCAGGTCATGGTCCCAGGATCCTGGGATCGAGCCCTGCATCAGGCTCCCTGCTCAGGGGGAAGCCTGTTTCTCCCTCTCCCACTCCCCCTGCTTGTGTTCCCTCTCTCACTGTGTCTCTCTCTGTCAAATAAATAAAATTAAAAAAAAAAAAAAAAAGTATACTAGTTTGAAATGGTCTTTTGGACAATATACATAGCAGTCAATGTATAACAATGATTTCTCTATAAATGTAAGATAGTTTTGTTTTCAAAACATCCTCACACATGTTATCTTGTTAAAGGTTAAAAGTGAAAATGAATTTTAACGATTGTAGTTTTGATTTGAAACCCTTGACAAGGACTCCTCATCCTGTTGAATCTCAGCAAGAAAAAGCAGTTATTTACAAGTAAGTCCATTATTCCATAGCTTTGCTTTTTTTCGTTAAAGATGCTTGGCAGTGTTTCCAGCCCCTGCCATCCTTTTAAGTTGCTGGAATAGTGCTGAGGCATACACTGCACTCTGGTGGTGTGACATCAGGCATCTCCCGCCTCTGTGTCTGGGTGAGGTGGCAACTTGCCTCAATTTTGTCTGGTTTTAAAGAACAAATTGCTAATAGATTCAGAAATAACAAGCACAGACAGAAAATAAACTGTTAACAACTCAAAGTTAAAGGTTAGGAGATTTTTAATTGGAATTGGAGCAGTAAAAATGGAATTTTGGACTAGTTTTGGTGGATAGTAGGTACACCCAGTGTGAAGAGATGTTACGAGGAGAGTGGTAGTATGTACGATGGTGTGTGTGACAGAGAGAATCATCTCAATTGCCTACTTACAGGATTAAAGTAAGAGATTTCTCTATATAGTTACATAACATGTTTATCTGATTAAAACTAATGAGATCCCTCAAACGTTGCTGCAGGGAATGTAAAATGGTGCAGCAACTTTGGAAAATAGTTTGGCAGTTTCTCAAAATGTGAGACTTTAAGTGACCATGTGACCCAGCCATTCAACTCCTACCCAGGAGAAATGGAAACATATGTCCACATAAAGACTTAGACATGAGTGATCATGGCAGTATTATTCACAATAGCCAAAAAGTGGAAACAACCCAAATATTCATCAGCTGGTGAATAGATAAAAAAAAAAAGTGCCATATCTATACATGGAGTATTATTTGGTGATTAAAAGGAAGAGAAGTACTGATAACACGTTATGAAACGGATGAACTTCAAAACTGTTCTACTCCGCGAAAGAGGACAGTCTCAAAAGACCACATATTGTATGATTCTATTTATAGGAAGTGTCCAGAAAGGCAGATCTATAGAGGCAGGAAGTAGATTGTTGTTGGCCTAGGCCTAGGGTTGGGAATGGGCAGTGACTGTAAATGAGCATGAGGTTTTTAGACTGACAGAAATGTTCTAAAATTAGATCATGGTGATGGTTAGACAACTCTATACTAAAAATCATTGATTTCTACACTTAAAATGGGCAAATTTTATGGTGTGTAAGTTACACCTCGGTAAAGCTGTTGATGATAATAAAAAATAAAAAAAAAATAACCTAGCAAAGCAGAAGAAAAATGAGCTTGTATGATGTACAATTTTCTGTTCCTAAAAAGCCCCAAAGTAAGCCGCAGTGCCCTTTCCTTTTTCTGAATAGGCTCAGAATTTGATGAATAAATGCAGTGTGGCAGAAGCCAGAGGGCTTTTAGAGAGACTTGATGCTGCCGTGGGCAGGAGAAAGATGATTAATGACTAATTGTAGAAACAGATGACTATTAGAGATGGAGCTGGACATTGTGGTCTTCTCAGTGTACTAGAGGTGTGGTTTAAAAATTGGCTGTTTTGTTTTTAATTTTATTTTATTATGTTGTGTTAACCACCATACATTACATCATTAGTTTTTGATGTAGTATTCCATGATTCATTGTTTATGTATAACACCCAGTGCTCCATTCAGTACGTGCCCTCTTTAATACCCATCACCAGGCTAACCTATCCTCCCACCCCCCTCCCCTCTAGAACCCTCAGTTTGTTTCTCTGCTTTTTGAATGGGAGTTGAAATTGAGGGATAATAGAAATATTGAAACTAAGCCCTATTCACTTGTTAGCTAAAGGCCTTAAAAGATGGAATGAGTCAGAATCACTCTTGCATCCTAGGTTTCAAAAGGGTAAGTTTCTCTACAATCCCTAACTGCCACAGACTCATGGATCTGTTTGGGTCAGGTTTTAGGAAAATAAACATTTAAATCCTGTTTAATTTCTATATATGATATAAAAGGAGGGGTTTGTCCTCAAATATCTCTTCTAGCAGAGTGGGACTCAGATGTGAAGGAGAATATTGCATATTAGAGTACCAGAGGACCTATATTTTAGACTAGAGGCTTAAGTCTCTGAGCTCTGCCCCGCCCCGGAAAAGAGGTGGAAGATTAGATTCCTATCTATGAATTAGGGAAACATCCCAGTTACGGCATCAGGGGTGGAGAAAGCATACTTGTCTTTGGCAGTTAGACTTTCCTTGGGAAGACATAATGGACAACTCTGTGAGGCAGTCATTTACTCTGAAAGAGCCTCACTCAGCTGTTTGATTAAGCTGCAAAGTGATTGCAAATGAAACTACTATTAAAGCCAGGTAATACTATTTATTTGGGTTTCTTTTTTATAAAAATGTATAGATTCATATAAAACTCACCAACTTCAAAGTAAAAAAAAATTAAATGCTACAATTGAGTTTGTATTTAAGAGAATACTTTCCTTTCTGGTTCCTTCTTACAGAAACAAAGGATCATCCTTTCTGGAAAAAGAACCTCTATGTTTTCATGAGAGAAAGAGTCCAAGTCTCAAAGAGGCCAACTCTGAAGGTCACTTCGTTGACCCTCAGCAGGAGATAGAAGGGGATGGGGACCAGGATGCGGTGAGACCTGAGAGAGTCCTATTTTGCCATACACAAGGTAGCACTTGCTGATACCAAAATCTGAACAGCTGGGAGCTTCTCTGTATGACAGGCTTTCAGGAAGAGAGGAGGCAGTGGACTGCACCCCCTTCACCCCAAACAAGGCGAGGGAGAGAGTAGAAGAAACTGAGAAGCAGCTTCCTTTATTCAGAGGGAATGGAGAGAGTTGCCCTGGGAGTTATTACACATGCATATGCCCTCTGGTGGGTGGGTTATCAGATTTTCCTACCTCCTTCTTAGGAATGTTAACCCTTCTGTCTCTCATCCATCTCTATCATCTCTACCATTTACCACTTACCACACTCAAGCCAGGCCCCAAATTTTGTTCCCCTTAATTCAACCAAGACAGGCAGAAAATTTTCAAAAGCATCATATACTAAATTCAATGTAGTAAAATTTAAGAAGTAAAAGCCCCCAAATTTAATGTAAAATATATAGAAATATAGGTGTTCACAGAGCACAGATTTTTCATCCTAAGATAACTACAATTAAACTTGGTGGCCACGTGACTGGTCTCGCTTAGTCTAGTGCTTCCAGGTCTACGTGCCACTTTTCCCCTTCAGATCTCTTCTCTACACCCTTGTGTGTCCCAAGGCCCTGGGGTAGAGCCTCTCTTAGGAGTGGATTAGAAATCATTTTCTGGTTAGAAATCAATATGGGAATGGTACGTTAGTCCAAATATACAGTCTTTCCATCTTTCTTCTGTCTCTCCATTTCCCTACTCCTACCTCCAAAGGATAAGGGAGCTACTTTTTTTGTTCACTCATGGAAGTTTTATTAAAACTTTATTTTGGGGCGCCTGGGTGGCTCAGTTGGTTAAGCAACTGCCTTCGGCTCAGGTCATGATCCTGGAGTCCTGGGATTGAGTCCCATGTCAGGCTCCCTGCTGAGCAGGGAATCTGCTTCTCCCTCTGACCCTCTTCCCTCTCGTGCTCTCTCTCTCATTCTCTCTCTCTCAAGTAAATAAATAAAATCTAAAAAAAACCCACAAAACTTTATTTTGTAGTTTAACTCCTTTTACCGTAATGTTTTAGTATCCTCCCATGTGCTTGCTTGCTTTCTTCCTCAAAAAATTGTTATAAGATTTTGGGGTCCTGGGTGGCTCAGTTGGTTAAACATCTGCCTTCGGCTTAGGTCATGATCTCAGGGTCCTGGGATCGAGCCCTGTATCAGGCTCCCTGCTCAGTGGGGAGCCTGCTTCTCCCTCTCCCTCTGCCCCTCCCCACCACTCATGCATGTTCTCTCAAATAAAATCTTTTTTTTTTTTTTTTTAAAGATTTTATTTATTTGACAGAGAGAGACACAGCGAGAGCAGGAACACAAGCAGTGGGAGTGGGAGAGGGAGAAGCAGGCCTCCCGCGGAGCAGGGAGCCCAGGATCATGACCTGAGCCGAAGGCAGACGCTTAACAACTGAGCCACCCAGGCGCCCCTCTCAAATAAAATCTTAAAAAAAATTTGTTTTAAAGATTTTTTATTTATTTGAGAGAGTGTGAGAGAGAGCATGAGCTGGGGTGGGGAGAGGGAAAAGCAGACTCCCCACTGAGCAGGGACCCCCCCCCACACACACACACATGGGGCTTGATCCCAGGACCTTGGAATCATGACCTGAGCCAAAGGCAGACACTTAACTGACTGAGCCACCCAGGCGCCCTTCTTCCTCAAAATTTTAACAAGCACTTACTCTGAGCCAAGCAGTATTTGAGGGGCATAGTGGTAAACAAAAGAGGTAAATCTCTGATCTTGAGGAGCTTACATTTTGATGGCGGGGGACAGACAATAAATATGTAATATGTGAGCTAGTAATAAGTGCAGTGAGAAAATAAAACAGGTAAAGTGGGGCAGGGAACTACGTCAATAGAACAGGTTTAAATTGATAGCAAGGAAAAAACAAAAACTAAGTCGCTTTATACTGATACCTTACAAATATATGTTATAATGGTTGTGAATATCTTGAATTTAACCAGCCCCCAAAAGGATTATTCTTTACTTTTGTATTTATGTCCCTCTTACTACCAGAAACCTGCTTTGCCTCCAGATTTCCCCTCATTCAAGGGAATAGGATTATAATCCAACCAGGACCCCTCAGGACAAAAGTCTGAGTCGTCTTTGATTTCTTGCTTTTCCCCACTTCCCATGTCTAACAGGTGCCAGCTCTGTTGGCTTATTAACTTTTCGGTTTCTCACTACTCTCACCATTTCAGGCCATTGTGATCCTAACTGGTCTTCCTGCTTCTGTGGTTGCCCCTGTGTAATCTGTTCTCCATGCAGAAGCTATATTTAAAAAATGTTAGATCCGATTTCTCCCCTACTCAAAACCTGTGAATGGCTTCCCTTCACACTTTGGAATTTATTCTAATTCCTTACCATGGTCTAAGTCCCTGGACCATTAGGCGCCTGTCTCCCCTCCAGCCTCATCTCCTGCCTTCTCTCCACATTTGCTATGCTTCAGCCTCACCAGCCTTTTTTTGTTTTCTGAACATACCAACTTTACTCCTCTCTCAGACTTTTGCTTCTGTCATTCCTTCTCCCAGGAACACTCTTTCTCCAGATTTCTCCGTGTCTCGCTCCCTTAGTTCACCCAGACGCCTGCACAAATATCTTCTCAGAGAAGCCTTCTCTGACTTCTCTAGTTAAAATAGTCCCCCTCATCCATTCCCCTATCCTTCCTACCCCCTTTACCTGTAAAGAGGTGGGATTCAGAACTCAGATGGAAGGCACAGTACATGGATGTAGCTTGGTGAATTTTGTGCAGGAACATTGTTTATTTCTGTTTACTTCATTACTCAAGTGAGAAGGTCATCTGTCAGCTGACAGTGAAGGTGGAGGACCAAGATTCAGAGGTTTGAAAAAAGGGAAGAATGGAAGGTAGTGTTTTCTAAATCATAATAATCCTAGTGTAAATTAGTACTCCAGACATCCTGACAGTCTGAAAGCAGGACCATATGGGGTCCCTCAACTCCTATCACACATCAGTGATCTACCCCCCCACCCCCCACCCCGTAATAGGGTTGGTTTATTCCCGAATCTCTGTATGTTTTGAATCCAGAGAGAGTGACAAGAGGCTGAGGTCGCTCAGCTCTGGCAGGACAAGGCTTCGGGGGGTCGGGGGGGTGATCAGCTCAGCTGGGCTGAGGAACTCTTTCTGCTCTTGTAGGCTCCCCATTCCTATATCACACACCATTCTTCTTTTCTGTTACCTTCAAAAGGTTTTAGCAACCAAGGAGCACACACCCCGATCCTTGATTGGTGAGGGACACAAAAGAAGGCTGTTTCCGAGGAAGTCATCTGCCAGCAGGATTCATTCAGGGTGAGGACCAAGGAAGGAGCTCAAGCACCTGCAATAACCACTTTTTGAGTTCAGTGTCTGTATGATAATTAAGAAATCACAATACCATGTATTGACGGTTATTGCCAATGTATTTTCTGCAGAAGTTAAATATTGCCTGAAAGATCCAATAAAAATAATGATGGCTACCTTACTGAGTGCCTATCTCAATTCACTTGATCTTTCCTGAATCAAGGTAGGTGTGTCCTCTTTGGTCAGGTACCCTTAACATCCACTGCCTCATATTCTCCCCTCCCCTCCTGATTTTATTTGTTTATTAGCATGAGCAGTGGGGAGAGTGAGAAGCAGGCTCCCACTGAGCAGGGAGCCCCAGGTGGGACTTGATCCCAGGACCCTGGGATCATGACCTGAGCTGAAGGCTGACCCTTAACTGACTGAGCTATTCAGGCACCCCTTCACAGGTTTTTCTAACAGTCTTCAGAAAATTTAAGAATTCATTTTGAGTATGATTACCTACTTGCTGATTTTGATTCTGCGTGTCACTCTCTGGCTCATGTTGAGTCTGACCCCTAGTCAGGGGAAGACACAGTAAGACCTAGAAGGAGAGCAGGATTTTGTTTTCCTTAGACAAAGGGGACGCTAAAAATCACCCCTCTCCTAATCGTAGCCCTAGATCAACAGGTAAACCGTATATTCTCTGTAGTATTAATTTACAAGACGTCAGCTTATTTGAAACAAAACATAGGGTGGTGTTGGATTAGGCAGTTGAAGGCCCCTCGTGCGCGGGCCTCCTCCCTGACCTCCCCCACCCTTGATGACCCTTGCTGGGACTGGGGCTTCCAGGGAAGCGGGGCTCAGGTTTCAGCCCAGTGCTTCAGTTTGGTTTTTTTTTTTTTTTTTTTTTTTTTTTTTTAAAGATTTTATTTATTTATTTGAGAGAGAGAGAATGAGAGACAGAGAGCATGAGAGGGAGGAGGGTCAGAGGGAGAAGCAGACTCCCTGCTGAGCTGGGAGCCCGATGCGGGACTCGATCCCGGGACTCCAGGATCATGACCTGAGCCGAAGGCAGTCGCTTAACCAACTGAGCCACCCAGGCGCCCCCTTCAGTTTGGTTTTAAAAGGATGCTCCCTTTTCCCTCCCTGCAATCCTCGGTCACCAGTCACCCGCTGGCGGTGGGTTGGCGGGTTAGCCGGCTGGGTCAGGGGTGCCAGGCGCTCCACCAGGGCGGGAAGTCTGCGGGGGGTGGCAGGGATGGGGGTGGCAGTCAGGGACCCTGGCCGACCTCGCAGCCACACGTTGGGGAGGCATAATCACCCCTTTGGAAACTGAAGCTCCAGGGTGCCAAGGATTTCTGTTTTGTTTGTTTTACTCAACGACGACGTGGCAGAGCCGGGATTCAAACTGCTTTCTGCCTTATGAAGTCTCTTGGATTTACTCTCTCCCCTCAGGGATCCTGTTATCTATGGCTTCCAAGAAAGCGTTCACCTATGGCGAACATTTCAGGCCAGAAAGATTTTTTTTTTTTTTAAGATTTTTATTTATTTATTTGAGAGAGAGAGAATGAGAGAGCACATGAGAGGGGGGAGGGTCAGAGGGAGAAGCAGGCTCCCCGCCAAGCAGGGAGCCCGATGTGGGACTCGATCCCTGGACTCCAGGATCATGACCTGAGCTGAAGGCAGTTGCTTAACCAACTGAGCCACCCAGGCACCCCTAGGCCAGAAAGATTAAAAGAATGGCCAGAGCCAGAGTCAGTTGCTTTCATGGAGGTAAAGGAACGTGGGGTTTTGGGATGTTAGTCATTTGGGCGATGGGACATAAATCCCCTGAGAACTATTTTGTCTCAGTCAAATTCAGAAAAAATTCCGTGGATGGGAATGAATGATCCACTATCAAAGGCAGTCAAGAGTGTGGTCCGACTGTCCCCGCCATCTGTGGACTGCGGTCCCCAGTGAATTCTGATACTTAAGGGTCTGGTAAAGCAATGATACCCTCATAAAGTTTCATTATCTTATATGATCCTATAATTTCACTGTAAAGAAAAGATCTTGGATATTTCCTTTCTTTTGCCGTGGTAGCAGTTAAGAGTGGTGAGACCTTTAGTACCCGCACCTGTGTGCACAGAAAACTGGGGGTTTTAAAAGGGCTGCCAGAAATCTTCCTATATTTTCTGGGGATATCACGAAGAAGGAGCTATTGAAGGCAAAAACTGTTTATTTCCTTCAAAAAGGTGGTTCAGAAGTCAGACACGTGATCAATAGTACTTATAACATTTGCTAATATTAATAGGATGGCTAAAAAAAATGTGGTTTTCCAAGATGTTTGTTAAAGTAGATGTTTCTACTTCTCCAAATAAATAGATTGATTTATTTTGAGTTTATAGCATCAGGGGAAAACATTTTATTATTTTACATGATTTTTCAATTGTCTTAAAGTAAGTCTAAGAAGGCTTTAAAGCAAGATTCTGCTTATATTGTCAAGAGAGCTTTATTTTGAAGACCCGAAGAGCTGTTTGAATATTACTTTAGATCTCATTTGAAGCTGTTAAATGTATGGATAAAACTACAACTCTCCTTTTCGAGATCTCTCTCATTCACAGATTTGTTATTTGGTTTGGGGTTTAGTTTGTTTTGATGCATTCACGGTGGCAGAATCAGAGATTGAATAATAAATAATTTTAAGAACCTGGATCTTTTTACACTAGTTCTTTTAGGTAATAGCATTTCTCTTCCAGATACTGGATTTTTATTGTTTTCCCACTTGTTCCTACTTAGTCCTATAAGCATAAAAGCCGGAAGATCAGTTCATAGTGATCCAAATGAAAAGCCCTAAGGTGAGGTTTTAAATGCATCAGCTTTATTCAAACTCATAATGGAAACAGCAAGTCTCTAGATGTAAGACAATCTTGGTCCTTGGCCAGGAGCTGCCACTAACTGGCTCTTTTTTACTTAAAAAGAGGTTTTGACTTATAAAGAGACCTAGCAGAAGCCAGGAACTTCAGGGCCCCTTTAAAACATACCTAGTTAATGCCTGAAAAGAGGATTCATTTTATAGAGGATCCCTTTAATTAGTAAGCTTTCTTAGTACTTCAAAGATATGATTTAATGGTATGATGTGTAAGGGATTTGTTTCAGAATAATCTGGGTGGGAGGGCTGGGGAGAGTGAGTAGGGATTTAGATAAACTTCTATTGACTCTCTCAGTTGATAATCGTTGAACCTGGGTGATGGGTTCACAGAGAATCATGTTTGAAAATTTCCTTAATAAAAAGTTACAAAATATTCTTTGCGGTGACAGGCAGTGGATATACAGTAAGACTATTGGTAAAATACAATGAGTTTTGTCATTCTGGTTGGTTTCTTCAGGATTTACATACTAATATTCAATTCTGTAATTTTAGGCATTAGCTAGAGAAGACATTGATGAAGCTGTACATGCAATATTATTTAGAGAAAATTACGTTGCGAAGGTAAGAGTTGGCTACGGACTGGATTCTAGGTAAGCAAGAGTTGTGCATGGCCAAGAGGATGTTACTGTGTCACAGAGATTCATTTTGCTGGGAGAAGGAGCCTCCTCTGATTCCTTTATTTATACATCATAGATCTGAGATTGCACCACCTCCTTGCAGGATCACTAACAGGTCAGGATTCCTAGATCTGCCCGTAAGGGATCCAAGAGATTGTTCTGCTTCCCCTCTTTGTTCTGGTACTGAATAGAAATTCTTTCTGACTCAAACTTATCTTTCTCATATATTCCCACATCACAATGGGGCTATGTTAAACCACCAGAAATAGTATTTAAGGGTAATGACCAATTAGTACTGAGAGTTACTATGAAATAAATAAACTTAAAGGAGCTTTTTTTCCCCTTCTCTTTCTTTCTTTTTTTTTTTTTTGAGTATGAGGGGGGAGGGGCAAAGAGAAAGGGAGATAATTTTTTTAAGATTTATTTATTTTTGAGAGAGAGAGAGTGTGAGTGGGAGGGGGAAGGGCAGAGGGAGAGAATCTCAAGCAGACTCCCCACTGAACTTGGAGCCTGATGCAGGGCTGGATCTCAGGACCCTAAAATCATGACCTGAGCTGAAATCAAGAGTTGAACACTTAACCAACTAAGCTGCCTAGGCACCCCAATAAACTTAAAGGAGTTTAATTTTAAAGATTGATTGATTTATTTCAGAGAGAGAGTGAATGGGGGGAGGGTAGTAGGAGAGAATCTTTTTTTTTTTTTTAAATGTCCTTTCAGTCTTTTTTTTTTTTTTAAAGATTTTATTTATTTATTTGAGACAGAGAGAATGAGATACAGAGAGCATGAGAGGGAGGAGGGTCAGAGGGAGAAGCAGACTCCCTGCCAAGCAGGGACTCGATCCCGGGACTCCAGGATCATGACCTGAGCCGATGCGGGACTCGATCCCGGGACTCCAGGATCATGACCTGAGCCGAAGGCAGTCGCTTAACCAACTGAGCCACCCAGGCGCCCTATAGGAGAGAATCTTCAAGCAGACTCCCCACAGAGCCCAACAAGGGGCTCCATCTCAGGACCCATGAGATCAGGATCTGAGCTGAAACCAAGAGCCAGATGCTTAACCCACTGAGCCACCCAGGTGCCCCAAAGGAGTTTTAATTTTAATGAGAGAGATTGAAACTTAGTGTTAAAATGGTACTTTAATGTTTGTATTATAATTTATAAAGGAAGTTCACATATAGTCTCGTTTGAGCATCGAAAAGAGGTAGGTAGGATTGGCCTCCTATAGATTCAGAGAGAGGTGCTTCAGCAAGTCTAGCGTACTCTACCAATTTTGTCACAGACTTTACTGAGGATGAAGCCTGGGGACATGCCATGGGTAACAGGAAAGCTTTGAAATCCCTAAAAAGAAGCAAGAGTTTCATGAGTAAGGAATGGTTTGGCTGTGATTTAACCTGAAGGCACACTTCTGGTTTAGAACTTTCCCTGGCTTCCTCCTGCTCAATGCTCTCAGGTTCTCTTCCTGAACTTGATTATGTTCTTCAGTTATCTCATGCTAGAACCTTGCAACCCAAATACGTTGAGAGCTTAGGAGTGGGAGTGAGTGTTTTCCCCCCTTGTTCAAATGACAGTAAGTGAAAAACTTCTTAATAATTTGTTTTCCTTGTTTGTATCATTTCATTAGAGATTGGATACATATTTTCAGCATCTGGATATTTCTAAGGAAAGAAGAAAAGAGATGTTACATAAAAAATGGATTGAAAATGTTGCAGAGCCTCTTCAGCAGAGAATTACAGACAAAGTAATTTCATACAGAGGGTTGGAAAAAATGAAACCAGAGAATTTTGAACAACACACCAATAAAAGGGTACTGTGAGGTTTTTAAAAAATTTTATATATATATATTTATTTATTTAAAGATTTTATTTATTTGACAGAGAGAGACAGGGAGAGAGGGAACATGAGCAGGGGGAGTGGGAGAGGGAGAAGCAGGCTCCCCACTGAGCAGAGACTCCGATGCGGGGCTCGATCCCAGGACCCTGAGATCATGACCTGAGCTGTAGGCAGACGCCTAATGACTGAGCCACCCAGGCACCCCTGTGAGGTTTTTTTTTTTTTTTTAAATATATGGAGCACCTTTTTTTTTTTTTAAGATTTTATTTATTTGAGAGAGAGAGAACATGCAAGAGAGCAGGAGAGAGAGCTCGAGTGGGGATTGGGAGGGGCACAGGGAGTGGGAGAAGCAGTCTCCATCCGAGGGCCCAGGATCATGACCTGAGCCAAAGGCAGACGTTCAACCGACCGAGCTCCCCAGGCACCCATAAGTGTGAGTGGTTTTAAATGACAGTAAAATCAGTGTGGGTCGACTGTGGGAGCTGACTTCTAAGAAAACATCTGAGCTCTTAGGCTGTATGAAGGGAGGTGGTACTTGGAGTGAAGCATCCAAGTCCCCCTCTTACTGTCTTGTCACTCCTCATGCGCACTGTAGAGGGGACCCTCACCAGTTGCAGAACTTTGAGAAGAGGGTGGAGGCTTGACAACACTTAACGGGAGGAAAAGTGGGAAGAAATATGGGGTATTTAGCCCAAGGAGGAGAGGACAGGAGAGGGAATGAAAACTTTAAATATTTAAAAGGCTGGCATGTGGGTGATGGGTAGATAACTTTTGTGTTGCTTCGGGGTAGAGAGCTAGTTTCTCACCCGTCCAGTGACGAGGCAGATTTCAGCTCAGTCTAAGGACAAACTGGTGCTTAGAATGACCAAAGTTCCTGCCTGGTGGAGCAGAAAGTTCTCAGACTGAGGCTGGTTGATTACTTCAGAATAAAGCTTGATGATTACTTCTCCCAGAAGGTGGTGGGCTCTCACTGCAGTCTAAATTACTTCTGAGGTTCCTTGAATAAATAACCCTTTGAATCTATGATTATATATAAAAGCAGAATAAAGCATTTGGCTTTTTTGAATCTCACAAAACACCTCCGTATGCAGTGATTTGCTCTTAGGTGTATTTTTTTTTTCCTAAAGGAAATTGTATTTGGAGACCTTTCTGATCCTGAAGTATGCAATCCTTTTTATATGGCAAAAACGGACCCAAATTATGGAAAGGTAAGTAAGATTCATTCATTCATTCATTCATTCTTGGAAGCTCTGGGGTTGTGGGAAAACCTAGTCATTTTAGAAGCCTTGTAATTACTCTGTATTCATTAAAAAATCTACAGAAGCATTTCCTCTGAGTTTTAGAACAGGAACCTACAGTAATTTCACCCACTGGGGAATATACATGTGTGTGTTCCTTCACTCCCATTCGGCAAACTGGAAGCCCAGGAGGGAGAGGAAGACATGGACAGCGAGTGCAGTGGGGTGTGACAGGTGTCACAGTGCGCGGGCACTGGCCCAAGAGGCAGAACTCCTTTCTGTGGAAAGTGGAAGGAGGGATGCTGGAAAGGCTGCCCAGAGAACCAGTAGTTGGGCTGGTAATAAGTCTTCACATTTCAAATTCACCAATAGAGGAGTTAAAATTTTGAGATGTAGGTTCCAGCATTTTACTCCTGTGTAGCAAAAGTAGCCACCTGGTATTAGAGGTCATTTAAAAAATATGTGTGGCTCTGAAGAGGGAAGTGGTGTTTTGTGTTTTTGTTTTGCTTCTCCCAGAAAACCAAGGCAGATCATTGTTATGAAGATAAGAAGGTTCTTTTGGCTCTGGGAGATTTGCTAGTATGGTGTTGGTCAGTCATTTTGCTGCCTTGCTTATTCAGTAACTGTTTACCTCATACATACTTTGGGGACCAGCATCGGGCTGGGTGTATGGGGGAAAGTGAAGAAGGGGAAAATAGCCCCTAGTCTAAAGCTTATAATCAGGAATGGGGAGGAGAAAACCACCTTTCTCTGCATCCTCTGGTAGCCCAGCCTCTTGACACTCCCCACACTGAGGTTCCCTGCCCTTCTGTTCTCATAGATCCTTAAAGACCGCTTGTCAGGTCTCCTGGGAGCTCTCTTACTGCCAGGCCACCTAGGAGCGCTGCCTTGTGCTCCTAAAGCATCCTGAGCTGATACCTCTCATGACTAGATTGTCACTGTGTATGACTTTCTGTTCCAGACTGAGATCCTTGAGGATAGGAACTCATTGGGATGTGGCACAAAGTGGTGTCAACAAATATTTATTGGCCAATGCAATAGAACTCTGGACACAGTATGTTGCTTCTATCTGGGTGGCCCTCCCTCCAGTCAGCCACTCCCGGATCAGCAAATTTCCTATCGTAAGACAGATGACATTTACCCTTTCCCTGCTCTGTGGATTGACATTATTCATGGGTCCTTATTCTTTGATGTACAGTAAGGTCATACTTGAATGCTTCCGACAGATTTAGAGAGCTTAATACAAACTGTACTAGGATTCTCAAAGTTATTTTTCTTCTGGGTTATGGTCCCTTCATTTTGTGATCCTCTGTTTAGAAGACAGCAAGAGATGGATGAAGAGAAGAGAGCTGTTTTTTTTTTTTTTTTTTTTTTTATTTGAGACAGAGAGAATGAGAGAGAGAGAGAGCACATGAGAGGGGGGAGGGTCAGAGGCAGAAGCAGGCTCCCTGCCAAGCAGGGAGCCCAATGCGGGACTCGATCCAGGGACTCCAGGATCATGACCTGAGCCGAAGGCAGTCGCTTAACCAACTGAGCCACCCAGGCGCCCCGAGAGCTGTTTTTCAATATAAGACAGGTACTTTGTGATCACTGAGCTTTATTTTTAGAGACTTCTAATTGTCCAGTGATTTCCTACCCCAGGAGTGACTAGAATTGACTTTAAGAGTGTTGATTTAGTTTTTTTTTGTTTGTTTGTTTTTTTAATCTTCCTGTAGGAAAAGGATATACCTTAAAAGAATTTAAAGACCTAGAGAAGGCTGGGCTTTATGCCAAATTGCCCCAGTTCACTTTTACTCTACATAGTGTTATTCCAAAAGAGTGGCATAAAACCTCTGCGAGATCTGTGATAAGCAGAACTCATAGTAAATGCAGGTAAGGATGTACTAACTGACTAATGGATCTTTTTACTCTCTCTATAGTTTTGCCTTTTACAGAATGTCATATGGTTAGAATCACACAGTTTATATATAGCCTTTTCCAGATTTTACCTTCATCCTTAATGGATGTTTTCACAGGATTAAGAATGTTAGGTTGACAAATTATTTTCCTTTAGTAGATATCTGCTGTCATTTTTTTTTTATTCTACCCAGAAGATCGTTTTAATCAACATATAGGAACTTGATAAGAAAATCCATTCACACCTGTAGGATAGCACCCCATTTAAAAAAAATTTTTTTTTATAAAGATTTTATTTATTTATTTAATTGACAGAGAGAGAGAGAGAGAGAGACAGTGTGAGAGGGAACACAAGCAGGGGGAGTGGGAGAGGGAGAAGCAGGCTTCCCGCCGAGCAGGGAGCCCGATGTGGGGCTCGATCCCAGGACCCTGGGATCATGACCTGAGCCAAAGGCAGTCGCTCAACCAAGTGAGCCACCCAGGCGCCCCTTAAAATTTTTTTTTAAAAAAGATTTTATTATTAGAGAGCACACAAGTTGGGGGGGGGGGAGGAGCAGAGGGAGAGGGAGAAGCAGACTTCCCGCTGAGCAGGGAGCCCAATGTGGGACTTGATCCCAGGACCCTGGGATCATGACCTGAGCTGAAGGCAGTCGCTTAACTGACTGAGCCAGCACCCCACTTTTAAAAGCTGGGTGCCTGAGTGGCTCAGTCAGTTAACTGTCTGCCTTTGTCTCATGTCATGATCCCAGAGACCGGGGATTGAACCCTGCATTGGGCTCCCTGTTCAGCAGGGGGCCTGTTTCTCCCTCTGCCCCTCATCCTACTCTTGTGCTCTCTCCCACTCTCTCTCAAATAAATAAAATCTTTTAAAAGAATAAATAAAAGATGATCCCAGTGCACTAACCAAATTTTCCAGTAGGTGTTACTAATAGCAGATTTATTTATTTATCTATCTATCTATCTATCTATCTATCTATCTATCTATCTTCTTCTTGTGATAACTACTTCAAACATTTTTTCCCACAGAATTTTTATTTTTTAATAAGTATTTTAATCACGCAGTGCTCATCTTGACAAGTGCACTCCTTAATCCCCATCACCTGTTTAGCCCATCCTCTAATCCACCTCCCCTCTGGTAACTATCAGTTTGTTTCCTATAGTTAAGAGTGTTTCTTGGGTTTGGGTTGTCTCTCTCTCTCTCTCTCTTTTTTCCCCCATTGCTCATTTGCTTCTTAAATTCCACATATAAGGGAAATCATATGGTATTTGTCTTTCTCTGACTTATTTCACTTAGCATTATATTCTCTTGCTCCATCCATGTTATTGCAAATGGCAAGATTTCATTCTTTTTTTTATGGCTGAATAATAATTCCATCACACACACACACACACACACACACACCCCACATCTTCTTTATCCATTCATCTATCAATGGACACTTGAGCTGCTTCCATATCTTGGCTCTAGTAATTAATGCTGCTATAAATCTGTAAATATAGGGGTATATGTATCCCTTTGAATTAGTGTTTTTCTATTCTTTGTGTAAATACCCAGTAGTGCGATTACTGGATCATAGGGTAGTTCTATTTTTAACTTTTTGAGGAACCTCCATACTGTTTTCCAGAGTGGCTGCACCAGTTTGCATTCCCACCAATGGTGTAAGAGGGTTTCCCTTTCTCCACATCCTCGCCAACACCTGTTGTTTCCTGTGTTGTTATAATTTTAGCCATTCTGACAGTTGTGAGGTGACATTTCATTGTAGTTTTGATTTGCATTTCCCTGATGGTAAATGATGGTGAACATCTTCCACATGTCTGTTAGTTCATCTGTATGTCAGGAATAAATCCCACTTGATTGTGATGAATAATTTTTTTTAATGTGTTGTTGGATTTGGTTTGCTAATATTTTGTTGAAGATTTTTGCATCTATGTTCATCAGAGATATTGGCCTATAGTTCTCTTTTTTTTTTGGTGCCTTTATCTGGTTTTGGTGTCAGGGTAATGCAGGCTTCATAGAATGAATTTGGAAGTGCCTTATGTATTTTTTGGAATAGTTTGTCTCCTCCCCATGTCTTAAGTATATGGTGTCATATTTTATACACCTTTTATTTTGTGAGTTCTTTGACTGATTTTTTATGGAAATAATTCATTTTTACTGCTTTTGTGTTTCCTGCCTTTATACTGTCATTTTTGGTCTTTCCACCCAGAGTCCCCTTTAGTATTTCTTGCTGGGTTGGTTTAGTGGCCATGTACTCCTTTGGTTTTTGTTTGTCTGGGAAACTTTTTTTTTTTATAATAAATAAACTCCATGCTCAGCATGGAGCCCAATGCGGGGCTTGAACTCACAACCCTGGGATCAAGACCTGAGTTGATAGGGTTCCTGGGTAGCTCAGTCAGTTAAGTGTCTGCCTTCGGCTCAGGTCATGATCCTGGAGTTCCTGGGATTGAGCCCGCCTTGGGCTTCCTGCTCAGTCGGGAGTCTGCTTTTCCCTCTGCCCCTCACCCCATTCATGCTCTCTCTCTCAAATAAATAAATAAAATCTTAAAAAAAAAAAAAAAGACCTGAGCTGAGATCAAGAGTCAGATGCTTAACCAACTGCACCACCCAGGCACCCCTGTTTGGGTAACTCCTTTTTCTCTCCTCCTAGCCTTGCTGGATAGAGCGTTCTTGGATGCAGGTTTTTCCCATTCAGCACTTTGAATATATCATGCTACTCTTTCTGGTTTGGAAGGTTTCTGCTGAAAAATTCACTGATAGCCTTATGGGGTTTCCTTTGTATGTAACTGTCTCCTTTTGTTTTGCTGCTTTTAATATTTTTTCTTTATTACTATATTTTGCCATTTTATTTATGATATGTCTTAGGGTGGATCTGCTTTTGTTGATTTTTGTTGGGGGTTCTCTGTGCCTCCTGGATCTGGATATCTGTTTCCTTCCCTACATTAGGGAAGTTTTCATCTATTATTTCTTCAAATAAATTTCATGCCCCCTTTTCTCTTTTCTTCTTGTGGAACTCCTGTAATTCAAATGTTACTATGTTTGATGTAGTCACTGAGTTCCCTAAGTCTGTTCTTGTTTTGCCTAATTCTTTTTTCTCTCTTTTGTTCAGCTTGATTACTTTCCATTACTCTGTCTTCTAGGTCATTAATTCATTCCTCTGCATTTCCAGCCTGCTGTTCTTTCCATCAAATGTGTGTTTCATTGTGTTTATTGAGCGCTTTATCTCTGCTATGTTATTCCTTATCTCTGTGTTAATGGTCTCACAGATATCTCCATTGTTTTCTCAAGTCCAGAGTGTATCCTAATGATCATTGCTATAAATTCTCCATCAGCCATGTTACTTATCTCTTTTGCTTAGATCTTTGGTTGTGGTCTTGTCCTGTTCTTTCATTTGGGACAAATTCCTCTGTCTTCTTATTTTGTCTAAGACTCTGTGCTTGTTTTTATGTGTTAGGAAAGTCAACTACATATCCTGTTCTTGAGGGTAATGGTCTTATGAAGAAGAGGTCTATAGTGCCCTGCTTTGTAGTGTCTCCTGTTCCCCAGGGCCTGGCACTTTCGGAAGTGTCTCCAGTGTGTGCTGTGTGTACTCTGCTCTTTTGTCCTGACTACTTTATCCTTCAGGCCAGTCATCTCCAGAGGCTCTCTTTGCCTGTTGTGGGCATGTTTGGTCCCTGGTCTGAATGTGGTATGTTTTAGCTAGGTGGGCTCTGGTCTGCTTGTTAAATGAGACCTGTCACCACTGCCCCTGGAATTGAGGCTCTGCAAAGCTCCCAGGTCAGGCCATGTGGTGTGGGTAGAAGTATATGCCCATCTTGTGGGGGAGGGAGTCTGCTGCACTGGGACTAAGGGAGGCATGACTTTAGAAAGGGCAGTTCCACTGGAGCATGGGGTGGGGCAGGGGTTGGTGTAAGCAAGTTAGGTAGCGAGTGTCACTGCTGCACTGGTTCCCACAGGTGGCTCTGTGCTGATGCTGAGGGGTATGGGAGGGAAATGGTGCCTGCCGGTTCCTTGGTTCCTCGGTTCCTCGAGGCATCTCTCCATGAATGCTGCCCCTCTGGGACACACTCTGAGATGAACAGCTAATCTCCCCACTGTGTTCCTCAGGTGCTCTTCAGATCACTGTTTCCATGCTATGTATCTGCAGGCTGTTTCCCCTGCCTTCTCTCCAAGAGCACCCGCAATGTCCTCCAAGCTCTCCCAGAGCCAAGTATGCTGATTTAGAACTCCAGGCTTCAGGGCACCTGGGTGGCTCAGTCATTAAGCGTCTGCCTTTGGCTCAGGTCATGGTCCCAGGGTCCTGGGATCGAGCCCCGCATCGGGCTCCCTGCTCCACGGGAAGCCTGCTTCTCCCTCTCCCACTCTCCCTGCTTGTGTTCCCTCTCTCGCTGTGTCTCTCTCTGTCAAATAAATAAAATCTTTAAAAAAAAAAGAACTCCAGGCTTCAAGTCCCACTGCTTGTAAGAACTCATGAAATTCAGCCCCTCTTGTTTTCCAAACCAGTTACTATAGGGATTTGTTTCCCCCCTGTTAGTCTGGCTCTCATCCTTCTCCACCACCATAGCTCCCTTCCCACTGGCCACGATCTGTTTCTTTCCCAGACTGCGTCTCTGCACTTCCTACCTTCTTTGATGTGGCCTCTTCTCTACCTTCAGTTGTGGAAGTTGTTCTGTCAGTCTTCAGGTCGATTTTTGGGGTATTTGGGATGATTTGATAGTTATCTAGTTGTATTTGTGGGACAAGGTGAGCCTAGGGTCTTCCTCCACCACCACCTTCCCTTTCCTCCTATCCCACTGTCTTCTGTTCTTTCAGTTGAGAACTCAGCTGCTGGTCTCACTGTTGATCCTTTGAAGAAATTGTCTTTTTCTCTGGGGGCTTTAAACATTTTCTTGTTGTCTGATTCATTCTGTAGTTTTATATGATGTTTCTAAATGTGAATTTCTTTTTATTCATCCTACTTGGAATTCATAGGTTTTCTTGTACCTGTAAATAGATGTCTTTAATCAGTTCTGGGTAGTTCTCATTTTCTCTTTGTCTATTACCTCTGCCATATTCTCTCTCTCCTCTCTTTCTTGTACTCCAGTTAAACATATTTTAGATTTTCTCACTATGTCACTGTATCCTCACTGTTTCTTACCATTTTTTTGTGTGTATTTTCCATCTTTTTTTGTTACTGTATACTTGATTCTAGATATTTTACTAATTATCTCTTCAGTTGTGTCTAATAATCTCTTGTTAAACCCATCACTGTGTTATTTTCAGGTGTTTTATTTTTATAGCTCTAGCATTTTATTTGATTCTTTTTCAGATAGGTTTGGGGAAGGCTGTCTGGACTCAGGGCCTGGAGGGTCTCCATCCCCCACGGGGACCCTATCGCAATGCACTGCTTGACGTGCCTACCACTGGGAGGAAGATGTTGAGAACAAGGTTAACTACCTACCTGCCAAGATAGCAACCAGACCTGGGAGAAAAAATACACCAAAGATATGCTGGGACCATGCAGGAATCAGTCCATACCTTGCTACCCGAGGTTGGCAAATTCCCTCAGCAGAGAAAATAGACAGGGATGGCTAGCTCATTCTGAAAGAGTTCTCTCCTCTCTGAAATTGTCCAATGACTTTAAAATTAGGAATTTTTTTTCTAGGGGTAGTGGTAAATATCTGTTTTTCTAGTTGTTGCAGCAGGAGTATTGGCCCGTGCAAACTTGTAAGTTCTACACAAAAAAATAGAAGTCCTGTCATGCTCTCTTGATATTTCCTTTTTGTCTCTCACTCTGAGTTTTGCTGGACTGAACAGTGCTGCTTTCTGTTTCCCCTTCTGATTTGGAAATTTTATGTTTTGTTTCTGTTTTCTTGGCTTCTTTATAAATTTTAACAATTTTAATTTAAACATTAATAATTATATAACTCCCTACCCCCCCAGTGAGACAAAGCCTTTATTTCCTCATTCCCCCACTTTCTTGCTCCTCAGCTCCTTTAGTCTGGTGTCCTCTAGTGAATACTCCACCTTGCAGCTGGAGAAATCTCTCTGAAATGATCAACCCTCTCCAACTGAAAACCCTTCAGTAGTTTTCCATAACCCTTACAATAACGTCCAGGCTCTTAACATAGCACATTAGATGCTGTCTGGACCCTGCCACCCTTTCTGTCTTCATCTACAAAATCCCTTTCCCTTAAAGAAAAGACATATGAATAAACTACAAAAATATCTGGGTCAAGTCAGCACCATTATAACTGCCTGAACTGCCACATTGGTTCATGCCTTTGCCCCTTCTTTTCATTGCTGGCCATCCCAATCCAGGCAAGAGAGGGAAGTATCATGTGGGGATATGCCACCACACCCTCCATCTGCCTTTTCTTACCCCAACAAGCCCATTGAGGGAAGAGACTGTGTTGTCTTTATCTTGGTGTTCCCAGCACTTAGCTGGAATGCAGTAGAGGATGAGTAAATGCTTGTGGAAGGAAGGAAGGAAGGAAGGAAAGAAGGAAGGAATGGAGAAGTGTATGGAGGAATGGAGAAGAAGGCTTATATGCCTAGATAGGCCTCGGCTTCCCAGGGCAGGAATGGGGGCAGCCCTAGGAAGATCCTCTGGGAGGACACACCCGGAGGTGCCTCCACATGGCTGCTCAGTAAGGTAAGAAAAGGACTTAAAGACAAGGTGGCTATGTTAGTCAGAGATAGTTTGATTACAAAAAGCAGAATCCTTCTTAAGTTTAAAAAAGAAAAAAAAAGGCAGGGGGAGTGGGAGGAGCCTTTGTAGGTTAGAGAGCAGTGGTCTGTTACGAAGCTACGGTCAGTGTCTCAGCCCATTTGGCTGCTATAACAGAATACCAGAGATTGGGGGCCTTATAAACAACAGAAATTTATTTCTCACAGTTCTGGAGGCTGGGAAGTCCAAGATCAAGGTGCTGGCAGATTCGGTATCTGGCGGGGACCCCCTTCTTGGTTCTTAGATGGCACTTCTTGCTGTGTTCTCACATGGTAGGGGGGCAAGGGAGCTTACTAGGGCCTCTTTTATAGGGGCACTCATTCATGAGAGCTCTGTCCTTGTGACCTAATCACCCCCCAAAGGCCCCACGTCCTAATCCCATCACATTGGGGGTTAGGTTTCAACATACGAATTTTGGGGGGACACATTCAGACCATAGCAGTCATGAGGACAGCCAGGCTACGTAAGGACTAAGAGCCATGTCCTTTCCTCTTTGGGACTTTGTGGCTTTCATCAGAGCTTCTTTGTGAACCTGCTTCCTTTCTCTGCACACTGGCTTTCTCTGCTTTCTTGTGCATGTGCTGGGAAATGGATGCCTTGGGCCTGCCTGAGTTTCTGGTTTGGGCTCTTGAGGACTGCCTGAAAGCCGTCCTGTCCCACTTATAACTGTAGGGACTGAAGCCCTGGACCGGGTACCTCAGCCACAGGCAGACAAGGGTCACGCGACTGTCTGATGGTTGTGCTAGCAGAGGTGGGGGTGGGGCAGACTGATTGATGGGCAGCCACCAAGTGATGTCCACTCAGTCCTTCCTTTTCAATAAGTGAGTACTGAGTTTGCAAAATTAATTTTCAGACAATTATTGAACAATACAATTCTGTATGGAGTTGAGATACCTTTTTGTTTGTTTGTTTGTTTTTTGCAGTTCTGAAAAACTTACCTATTCAGAAAAGAAATGTCTACCTGATAAAGAGAACAAGACTACTGACCTAAGTCAGATTATTTATTTTTTTTTAAGATTTTATTTATTTATTTGACAGAGAGAGACATAGTGAGAGCAGGAACACAAGCAGGGGGAGTGGGAGAGGGAGAAGCAGGCTTCCCGCAGAGCAGGGAGCCCGACGTGGGGCTCGATCCCAGGACGCTGGGATCATGACCTGAGCCGAAGGCAGACGCTTAACGACTGAGCCACCCAGGCGCCATAAGTCAGATTATTTTTGAAAGGAAGTTTCATTCCTCGAAGCTCAGCCAGGAGAATAAAAGGGACGAGAATTGTGTGGTGAGTGGATGAGATCTGGGGGGAGCAGGGCTGGGATGGCGTAAGTTTGCAGCATGCACAAGATAGCAGACGTTGATTGTGGAATCCGAGCCATTGACAGATCCCTCCTTCTCACATGGGTTCCCCAGGGCAGAGAAGGCAGGAGCCAAGGAAGGGAGTGAAAAAGAGGATGCAGAAGAGGCTTTATTTAATGCACAAGAGCTGATGGGTTTGTGTCTGGGCTTGGTGCTGCTGCATAGATGGGACAGCTTTTGGCAGGGAGCCTGGGGTCTGGAGATCAGAAAAGGAGCCATACTGGGGAATCCTGGAGCCTGCTTTTGGGGGACAGATTGTGCCCTTACAAGATGAGAGAAACCCTGGCCACGGAGTTCTGCCCTCTAAAATCTCCTTTTTCCTGGAATTTTTGCTCTTCTGCCATTTTTCTACCATTTAGACATCCAACCCAGACCAAAAAAATTTGTTCTCCTTAGTGTAGTCACAATAGGTGGGAACATTCTGAAATGAAATTTATACTAAAAATTAGGCCACATGATGGCTTAGATACATGAAAGTTATTTTATATGTAAGCATTTTCCATGCACAGGTTTTTTACCGTGAGCTCACAATCTGATTGGCACATCTTCCCTTCCATCCTCTCCCACATCCTGTATCCTAATGCCTGAGGGTGAGGACGCTTCCAGAGAAGCCTCCAGGTGCCTGGGAACTCTAAGGGGTTCATGACTGACTGGAGTGCAGTGGGTCTTTGTGTTCACCAAATGCCCCACTCTCGCCTCCAGCACAAGGCGAGAGTCCCTCCAGATGACGAAGGACTAGTTCTCTGTAGCACGAAAATCTTGTTAGATATTTTGTGACCCAGGTCCTACCCAATCCCATGTTTTCCCCAGTCTCTCAGAGAGAAACAGATTTTCCTTATGTGGTTAAGTTTCCATACCACTTTCCTCAGCAATTAAAAAAAAATTTTTTTTTGAAAGATTTTATTTATTAGAGAGAGAGAGAGGAGAGAGAGAGCGCACAAGCAGGGGGAGTGGGAGAGGGAGAAGCAGACTTCCCGCTGAGCAGGGAGCCCGATGGGGGGCTCGATCCCAGGACCCTGGGATCATGACCAGAGCAGAAGGCAGCCGCTTAACCAACTGAGCCGCCCAGGCGCCCCCTTCAGCACTTTCTTCTGGGAATAATTCTGAGAGCCAAGTCCCTTGGTCAGTTCTGAACGGGACAATGTCAGCTCTGCCCTTCTGGCAGGGGAGCCTGACTGCTGTTGCCACGTGAGGCAAAAAATGGAGTGTGTTTTACACACGACAGAAATTTATTTCTTGCTCAGGTGTCAGAACAGGGTAGGTTGGCAGGCTGTCTCTCTTCTATGCAGTCTTTGGGAGTCTAGCTGAGGGAATCTTTGTCATCTTTACTGCCCAGATTCCAAGGTTGCTCTGGGGAACTCATTCCTGTCCACCTGAAGAGGGAAGAGGTCGTGGAGGAGTGCTGCCCTGGCAGGGTGGGTGGGCCAGGTCTCGCATGTTCCAACCGGCGAGGACCAGTCACATGGCTGTCCCTAACCGTGGGGTGGGCGTGGGGGGAGTGTGCTGGGAAAAGTAGCCCCTCGCCACTCTGAGCACAATGGCAGAGAGAGCAAGTGTTTTGTGGACAGCTGGTCATCTCTGTCCCACCATAGAAAGGTTAGTACCATGTGGAGTCCAAAGACATAGGACTTGAGCGTCACAGAAGCCAGAGAGCAGGGGAGAGGTGAGGAGAGGGCTGCCTGGAAGGTCTCAGCTCAGGCAGGAGGGTCGAGTGTTGGGTGGGATCCTCCGAGGCCTTCCTCCCTGCCCCTATCAGCCCCTCTTCCCTACCCGACACTCAGCGCTTCCCTCTGTTCATAGGTTGGAGGAACCAGACAGCACAGACCGCGATCCTGGGTGGCTGGGGACGGCCAGCATGGGTGGGGGGCACGGCCCGTGGAAAGGACAGTGACGACGGCAGAGGCCCTGGGGCGGCACTGGGCCTCCCTGTAGCTGGGGTGCGGCTGCCAGGAACCGGGCCATCTGCAGGGAGGCCACTGGCAATAAAGCTTCGCTGAGCTTTGGTTTGTAGTGTCTGCGCCACAGTTAAAATGCTGCCGGCAGGTTTTTCTGTCTCCGGACGTGTAAGATATTGCAAGAGATAACCACATCATAACAGTTACCGTTTATTGCGCTCCTGTTGTGAACTAGGTGAGGTATTTTATTCACGTAAAAGTCTTCACAGCAAGATAGTAGTAGTATCTCCCGTTACGTGAAACTCAGAGGGGTTCAGTAACTTGTTAAGGTCGGCTGCATCGTTGAAAGTGGCAGTGTTCTCGATTCCAAGTCCAGGCCCTCCAGTGCCAAAGTACTGGTCTGATCACCAGAGCACACTCCCTCCTCACCCCTGTAATGTGAGTCAAACTGCTCAGGATTTGGGTCCCTTTCAGAGGGTGGTTATCCTGCTGGTGTGCCACAGCGTCCTGATCCTGAAGAGCTCGGGGGTGGGGGTGGGGGTGGGGGTTGCTGGGCATCCCTCGGGTCTGCTCAGCCCTTCCCCGGGGGATGCAAGTAGTCTAAAGGCATACTCCGTTCCCTCACCCTTCAGAAAATCAAGCTCAGTTTCAGTCAGGAGAGAACTTGATTTCTCCAGGGGCAGAGCTGCGTTCCCAGGTCAAAGCAGGTGACTGGCGTTGCTGGGAGCACAGACATTGAATGTCCTCTGAGGTTTCAGAGAAGTTGTCTGACTCACATCCTCCAGGCTCCTCTGTCCTGAATCTGAAGAGAACCCTGACATATGTAGACATGGAGAAATGGCTCTAGCCACAGTTCATCCCAGTGAGAATTCAAGTCCTCACCGTCTTGAGAAAAGGATTATTCTGTAGCTCGGGTCACAAGTAACCCCAGAACTGGTTTTAAACCGGCCTGACCCATCGGTGACAGTCTCGGGCTTTGGAAGACCAGTCAGAGGTAGACTTGGACATCAGCCCATACCTGCCTCCAAAACCAACACACAACTTGCTTCAAGACCCTATGGGAGACCCTCTAGGAGATCAGTGAGGCTGTGTGCCTGACCGGCCAAACTTTTCCTTAATTAATGTATCCAGTTGTTTTGGTTTCACATGCTGAGTGGTGTCTCTTCTGTTGACACTTTTACATCTAAGTTTTAACAAGTCAGCGTCCAGGATTAATACCTGGAATTATGATTTTTTTTTGCTTGAATATTCTGAATTATGTTTTCCAGCCTTTCTTTGCCCAGTGATTATGTTTAGACAGAAATGGGGGCCGGGGTGGAGGGACATCTGAATGTTTCTTGTTCTTCCAGCTCCCTGAGAAGATGTGCTCCCTGAAAATCAGGGCACCTGCAGCCTGTGTGGTTCTTTCCAAAAGACCACTCTTTCCAGCTGCACTCATTAACCCAGGGATTTAGTGGGTAAGACCTTATTTTTGTCAATGTTCAAAACAAATTGCATACTTCAAAATCCAGAGCCCAAACAAGCAGCTCCGACGGTGTAGATGTGGCTCTGACAGGACAGGGGACGGGGAGAGAGAGGTGCTGCTGGAGCTGGAGGCTGAGGGCCTGCTGAGGATGTGTAATGTCTGTTCTAAGTTACCTCTCAGGTTGCTGCTCACCTGGCAAGCACAAGGACTCAAAGGGTGTTGCTCCCACAGAGGTCAGCAGTCTCACCACCAAAGATAACCAAGCCCCAGAAACAGTAGGTAAATGTACCAGAGTCCTAGAGCAAGTGAGAGTCAAGACGAGGCTGCAGGGTCTCCTAGGCACTCCCCCTCCCCAAGCTGCCCTTGGTTTTTGCCGCCCTCGCAGAAAGGAAATTTGGTTTCATTACCAGCAACCCCTGAACTTACCTCTTATTTTTATATTTTTTAAAGATTTTATTTATTTATTAGAGAGAGAGCAAGCGAGAGAGCACAAGCAGGGGGAGCAGGAGAAGCAGGCTCCCTGCTTAGCAGGGCTCGTTCCCAGGACCCCGGGATCATGACCGGAGCCGAAGGCAGACGCTTAAAGACTGAGCCACCCAAGCATCCTGAACTTACCTTTTAAGAGCCTTTCAGGTGGAACGTAAATCAGTCAAACTTTGAAAGAAGTTACATTCATAAACTTATATTTTTATTCTCTTTCTGTACATATTGGCAATGATAAAGCTTAAAGATGCATGTCCTATGAAATAGGCAAAACAAGGAATTTACATAAATAATTTATACTTCAGAAAACTAAAGTTGAAAAATATTTCCATATTATTAGAGTTCACAGTATTTAAAGTAAATCAAGCTTTCCCCTTTATATTTCAAACTCTATTGTCTCAGCAGAGATGATAAAATCTAATCGGGAATAAAATGATCAAGTCTGTTTTTGTTCAGTGCACAGAGTAGACAGACTTCAGCCTGAGGCTGCGCCCGCACTCCCCAGTCCTCCACCTCCTGAGCACCCGTGGCCCGGCACAGGCCCCCGGCACGGGGTAGCTACAGCATCACCAGAACCACCCGCCTTGGGCACGTTCAACCACAGGTAGCATCTGGTGTTCTGATGCCTCATTTCCACTTAATACTTTTTGTAGCCCTGAAAATGGAAACCCTGGCATCTAAAAACAACCAAAGATGTTAACACTAATACAAGGCACTGTGCTATGGGTTTGGTTTATTTATAGGAAAGACCATGTTTGCATAGATTGCTAGCAATTTGGTGTGCAAGAAAATAGCCCCGCTGCGCGTGGCCCGCGATGGATGAAGCTGGCGGTGCTCTTTGGGCCCAGGTGCAGCACCGTCCATCTGGCTCTAGCCCAGCCTTTTGGGCAGATCCCTGAGGCCCCTACAGGAGAGTTTTTTGCTCAAAAAGCTGTAGGTCAAAGCGGACCCAGACCTCCCCCGTGGGGACCTCGTGCAGCAGGAGTCGGCGGGTTGTGGGGCCTTTGCTTTCCTGTTCTGTGCGAATTTTTGCCACTGGAACCTCAGTACGACCCAGGAAATCTGGTGAACAGACATGCGAGAGTCAAAGTTTCTTCTTTATAAAAGTCATTAAAGAAAACTACCCCAGGAGGAGTGTCTGAAGACATTCTTAAAACTTTCAGATCCAGCTTAGTGGCTGTTACTGTGACTGGATGCATGCAGAACGAGGGGTGTGTGGGAAGGAAGCTACCTCATTGGGCTCCAGAGAATGGGTCAGCCATTCAGGAGGTGCTGGGAGGGACTGGGGTCCATAATGGAAACACCCTGGAGGCCACCCTTTGCCCCTGAGAGGACCCCCCCCCCAACCTTGCTTCCCATGGGAGCTGCGGGTGCCCACAGGCCCGTGCCCTTTTCCTTAGGTGTCACGGGGTAAAACTAAAGCCAAGTACCCTGGACCTAGACCCCAAATTCTAGAGTACTGGGGAAACTTCGGATTCCCTGGTCGAGTTATACTTTACCATCTGGTGAGAACTGGTCTCTGTCAAACATGGTGAGACACAGCACGTCTTGGTAGAGATCCTTAATAAAGAACTGGCAGTTAAAATTCCACTTGGGATTGAGTGTGTCCGGGAGGGTCCTGGTCGTATAGCTCTGGGAGCCCATGCTGATTTCACAGTATGGATTGCTCTTTCCTGAACAAAAACAAACCAAAGACGCACGTGGCATGTGTAAGTAAAATAAATGACAACAGCACCTTCCTTGAGCAGAAGCAGGATCCAAACCACAAGAGCAGGAGCCACTGTGTGGGGGCCCAAATGTGACTGGTGCTCTCCGTGTCCCCAGTGCTGACAGCACCGTAAGCCTGGGAGCAACCGTGCGGGCTCCAGGGCCCCAACTGTTCCCCACGAGCTTGGGCAAGTGTCAGTGTGGCTTCGACTCTGACGTGCTGAGGAGGGAGGCACTGGAACTTACTGGGAAAACACACTATGATAACATTGGTCCAACAACCATTTTAGTGGCACTGGAAACACTGATTTTTCTAAGTGTCCCGTTATTCAATGTTCAGAAGAGTCATCAGCAAAGAACAGGGCAGTTACCACATCTGTTGAATGAAAGAAGCATTTACCATTCGGTTTACAGGCTTTTAATTCTGTAGCTTCGATGACCTGCACCATCAGACGCCCGATGCCTGAAGTCTTTTGAGAGCGAGCTGCAAGAGAGGAAGACAAGCCCCGGTAAGTTCTTCCCTGAGCCTGCAGGTAGTGCACTGGACACTGAGCTGTAGATACAGTCTGTCTAACCGACCCTAACACTCCCAGTGTCCCCTGCCACAGCACTGGGCCTGGCCGACCAGCATCTGGCTGCTCTGCCTTTGCCCAGGCTGTGTCACTTGCTGGGACACCTTGTCCACTATCTCTGCTTGTCTGCGTCCTACCCAGCCTTGGACATACACGCCCAGCTTTGCTCCCATCTCTGCCCTCCTCTGCGCATCCACCATCCCAGGCTCTGGAGCGTCCTCGAGTCTCCTCTGCCAGCAGAGGCTGCTGCAGAGCTGGTGTTTACTCAGCCTTGCATTTACCCTCAGTCGCCTAGCAACTGGTAACAGTAACAAAATAAGACATTATATCCATTAGGCACTTAAAAGCAGCTAACATTTATTGAATACTTTGTGTTGGGCACGGTGCTAGACCTCTACAAAAGTCTTATTTAAACTGTACAGTTACGCTATAGGGTGGGTGGCTGTTGGGAACTGCCATCTCCACACAGGGCAGAACTGAGTCTGAGAAAGGACCGTCACTGGCAAGGTAAAAATTCACCGTCCAGGACCAACGTCTATTAGCCGCCCACCATCATTCCAGTTACATGGAAACACTTCAGCTTATTAAGCAGTTTCACTTAAGACCTTATTCTATTTGAGGATGTACTCAAAATGAGTCTGTGAACTCAGATTATCTTGGCAAATAGGAAGTTAAGCAGGTTTTGCCCTCAAGGGTTTAAAAACAAACAAAAGGCTGCTTGGTGAGCTACTGATTTTTCAAAACTTAGGGCACATAAAACTTTATGAGACGTGCCCCCCCCCCCCCCCTTGTTCTTGCCAACCCTTCCAGCGCGGCCCTTACACTCAGTTCCCCTCAAAGGCAGGGCTGGGCCATATTCATCTTTGAAGGCCCGGTTAGGACTAGCACAGGGCTTGGCACAGAGTAAGTAATAAGTGTCTAAAGAATTGAACATCTAGAAAATGCACAACAATATGTATAGATATTGATATTAAGCAAAACGAATATAAAAACTTTGATTTATGTCTTTTACCAATTAAGAGATTGTTATATGCTTTACAAATCATTCAGTCGTTGATTTTCAATAGCAAGCATTTGAAGTACCATTAAAATAAGATTCAATCAGCAAAAGCCAATTTACACATAACTTTCAAGAGTATATAACAAAATAAGGGAAACCTGAATTAAAAAAACAGAGTTGCAGCTACAGAGTGGAACATAAGGGGGAGGACTGGACAGGGAAGGCTTGGGGGGGTGTAATCTGAGGTGGTTTGTTTAATCAGGCAGTGGTGTGGGCGAGGCAGAGGGAAAGGGGAGAAGTGGGGCTGCGCCCTGAGTCTGGGGTAAGAATTTGTCCTTAATTTGGGAGGCAACAGGGAAGATGCTTAAGCAAGGAGATTCAGCCCTGTAAGAAGAATACTCTGGGGATGACGAGGATGGGCGATGGGGGGCCTTGTGCCAGGGTGGAAGTTGTTAACTGGGTCTTAACTGGGCTGTGCCACCGGGAAAGGACCAGGACAAGGGAAGAGAATGACAGAAGATGTGTGACTCGGCCCATGAGTAGAGGAGCATGAGGACCGAGAGCATGCTTGCAGTCCAGGTGGCAAGGACAACACTGCGTCCACACAGCTTCCCAGGAGGAGATGCCAAGGTGCAAAGGCCAGCAGGTGGCCGGGAGAAGTCCAGGTGTGTCTGGATGTGGGCTCAGGGAAGCAGCCCAGCATGACTTTCATGAAATTGAGAGAGCAGAGGGACAGAGAGGCTTAGGCGAGGGCGGAGCTCCAGGTACAAGCGGAGGAGGAGCCGTGACTTCCTGCCATTGGTGCCGGGGGGGGGGGGGGGGGGGGGGGGGGGGGGGAGGGGGGGCTCAGGAGGGAGAGTGAGTGGCTCCGTGGGTTCGGTCACTGGTGTCAAGTGAGGGAGCCGTCTGCACAGGATGGGGACCGCAAGTGCGGTGAAGGGCAGGTGAGGAGGAGGAAAACCTTGAGATTCAGGCCCCGGTGTCCAGGGAGGAGGATGGGTAGACGTGGGGGAGGCCTGGGGCAGGGGCCCGGGTGGCAGAGGAGGAGCAGAGCTGAAGGCAAATAGGCACAGAAGTGAAGCTGGGTGAAGTAAAATGGACCAAGCAGAAGTGGGCTTGCCACAGAGAGAAGGAAGGTCCCAGGGCTGGCACTGGATGCCCCCATCTGTGTAGTGGGTAGGGGTTCAGGGAGGCCCTGAGGGCAGCAGCAGCGAGGAGGGATTCTGCTGGCTGATCCCCCAGCAAGTGTGGTCCTTCCAGCTGTCCCTGTTTAGCCCCCGCCTTGCAGGAGCAGCAGCTTGCGTCCTGAGGGTGGGACCGCTCCCCCTCCCCCTCCCCGGGGTCCCCTGGCAGCTGCTTCCAACCCTCCAGGGCACCACCCACTACCTTGATAAGCTTTCTCCCGTTTCTTCTTTTCCGTGTCGATGTACTGCTCAGACGCGGCCTTGATCTTCTGGACCCAGGCAGTCCTGGAGAAGAACACAGCCATGGGGCGGCTTCCCCACACAGCTCCCAGGCTCAACCAGGAGCTCCAGAGCTCTGCACTCGCTCTTCACTTCTGTGCTAACCTTGGCTTCGACAAGTTTCCAATCACAGACCCAATATTAGTTCAACTGGAAGACTTGTTTGCTGTTTGAAGATCAAGCTGGGAATTTCTAGACAGTCACTGACTGCTTATAGAACACCAGGTACGGGCAAGGTACCGGCACCAGGGGAGAGCAGTGCACCACGGCTGGAGCAATTCAGCACCACAGAGGGACACTCGACCTGAGACTGGGCCAAGAAGCAGGCACGCAGAGGGGGAGGCGCGTCCCCAGCCTGCCATCACAGCATGGCTGGCCAGGCAGAGAGAGGAGCGCAGCGCTCCACACGAGGAGGGCAGATGTGCCGGCTGGAGTACAGGTCCTGGGGGTGGAGGGATGGCGCTGGGGCCGAGAGACACACACACACACACACACACACAGCCTCGGCGACCGGGCGGAGGAGCCTGGACTGCTGCATGGGGGATTTTAGTAGGAAGCAAGGTGCTGGATCTCCCATTTTGGAAGATCCTGAGGAGAGACTGGAGGCAGGGACACACACTGAGGTGATCGCAATAACCCGGCACATCCACACCAAGGCTGACCAGTGGGACTGGGGTGAACAGGACTGGTTAGGAGAGCCTGGGGTGCAGAATGAGTGGGACTTGACCATGGACTGGAGGTGGCTTATGGGAGGGAGCCTTCCAGGCTTCAAGGCAGGTCACATGTGGTCAGGACTGACCTCTCGTTAATGTTGTCTGTTCGGAGGGTGTAGACCCGGTCAATGTGAGAAATGTGGAAGACAGGCTCATCGCTGGAAGGGTCTGTGGGCAGTTTCACCAAGACTTCATTCAGGAAAATGGGCTGAAAGAGTTAGGGCCAAAACACAGGCTGTGAGATGGGCCAGAACCCTCCACCTGCCTACATCTCGGGAGAGCTTGGTTCTGAAGAGCCTTGTTGAGAAGCAGAGAAGGGTCTTTTACTTTGGGAAAAAGAGACTGTGTCCATTTTGTGGAAGAAAACATCTTGGGCAGATCAGAGGTTCCTGAACTGGGGACAGGAGCTCTGAGTGTCCATGACTGCTCATGGGACAGGGTCTCTCCTCCACATTCCTACACAGAGCACTCTGCTCCAGCTTCAGTTTCACAGAGACCTGATGCTGAATGTGGGATCACACGGCACATTTGCCAGGGAGGAGGCCAGAATCCACAGCTGGAATCCAGTCGTCAGCTGCAAGAGGGCAGTGAGAGCCCAGCCACACTGGGGCCTCCTCCCTGGGACCTGAGGAAGGGGGAGTGACCCGTCTGGAGACAGGTGTAGAGAGTCCCACGAGGACAAGAAAGGCTCAGGTTGGGAAGGAGGTCCTCAAGGTGACAGAAACACCTCGTTACACTCCTGATGCCATGGCCAGGAATGCAACACTTACCGTTTTATACATTTTGAACTGGGCATTGGACTTAGAGCTGAAAAGCTTCTCAGAGCCTGAGGAAACAGCAAACTGCTTGACCATGTAGGTCAGGAGCAGAAAGTCGTTGAAGAGGAATCCATGTAGCTCCTTATTGCTCTTGGTCTTATATAGTTTCCCACTGTGCAGAAGCTTCCGGGGTCCCAGGCAGTTGGTGAGGGAGTTGAAGATAAGTTGCTTAAAGAGAAATTGTTGCTTTGTAAGTCCCGGCACAAACCATCCCCTTGCCCCTCGAGAGGCCAGTGCCCTGGACCTGAGGGTGCGGTGGTAGAATCTTCTAGTTGGGAATGTGGCTGTAATCATTCATCTTGACACAAAAGGTCCTTGCATTTATTTTTCTTCAGAGTTCAAACTGGCATCATAAAAATGATTACTTATATCCACAGAATATGGATTTACCAGCTGAATTCAAAGAATTCAAAAATACCCAATTTCTCTTTATAAGAAAGGGAAATGACGCCCCAAGAAGAGGCAGGATGGTGAGTCCAACAGGGGCTGGGCTGAGGCATATACTGTTCACAGTAGGGGAGGCCTGAACCCAGCTCCCCACCCAGAGCCTCCCTAGTGGCACCCAGCCCAGCCGCACAGGCCTCACCTCTGTGAGACCTTCACACTGAACGTGCGCCTGGATCCACTCCAGCCGGTCTGAATTTTCTTTTTCCCGAACTCCTTCATTAACTTGGGAACAAAGCTCCTCTGCCCGCTCAAGAGCCAACTTTAGGGAGGAATGGTCTACGTGATTCTCCAGGGTGTTCTCCAGAATCTGGAAGAGAGTGGGAAGCAGAGTGTCAGCCACCCACCCAGACGTCCTCCTGGCCGCTGTATGTGCTGTGTGCTGGGCACCGGCTCTACAACAAAGATAATTGTTTGCCCTCGACGAGCTCATGGCTCCGGAGTTCCTGGGCGGGCAGGGGACTCGGGTACAGAGGGTGTGCCAAGTGCTACTTGGATCAAGTGCCCTGAAACGTGTGCATGGCTGGTGGCTCTCTGGCAGGGTCTTGGTAAGAGTACCCGTGTTGAAGGGTACTCTTCAACAAAGGCCCTACGGCCCCCCGGCACTGAAGCCACGCTGTGCACTTAACCTGGCAGCAGGCCTGGCCGCAGCCCCCGCAGCCTGTGCGCTTGCTGCAGAGTGAGGGCTCCTAACATTCTGGGGGCCGCTGGGCCTTTTTAAGAATCTGAAGAAAGGAATGAATCCTCTGCTACGGGAAAAATGCAATAAAATCATGTCATCAGCTTGTAGGAAAACACGCTGAGTTCACTCCGAAGTGACTTCAAACTAATGTTACAAATGCAAAAGAAGAGAGGCTGGCACACAGCTGTGTGGCCCGCTGGGCAATGAGCGGCCCCATCAGCACACGGCTCCTGCCTGAACTCTGGCCATGTTGGGGCCACAGTCCTTTGTTCATGGGACAAAGCCCTGGAAGTCTAAAGTGTTTTTAATACTCATTTGGTGGCAAAACCTGACCCAAACTGAAGAGAGGTATTTATTTATTCTATTTAAAAGTGATTATTCATGTATTTCACTGTAGGAATATTACTGTTTGGTTACAGGTGACGTCCAGGCTTTGTTGTGATGTCAGATAGAATACAGTATTTGAATCACATTCTGAATTTTGAAACATATCTGGCTCAAAATATTTCAAGTAAGGGGCTGTGGATTACTCTGTACTAGTGGGTCAGTTTGGTATCATAACTGTAACATAAGGTCCATACTGAGTTAACGTGGCTTAGAGACCAACGGTCAAGGGATGATCAATAAAAGTAACAGTCTTATATTATTTTTGCTGTTTTTCTTTGTAAGATGATTAAAATCGTATCCGTGATAACTTGTGGAAAAATGCTTTGTAAGGTGCGCCGGCTCCTTAGAAGGCATGTTGGCTCAAGAGGCCCACATAGCTGATGTTAACAGATGGATGGTATTTTAGGACTGTTGAGTTAGCAAGCTGAGGTGGGTAAGGCGAGGGGCTGGTGATGAGCTCTGGTTAGGACATGCTGAGTCAGGACTCCTGAGATAATCTAGGTAAAGGGGATTAGCTGGTAGGTGAATTCAGATCTCAGGCAGGAAGACTGGAGTCCAGGCTTGTGCTAACAGTGGACTCCGGGCTCAAGCCAGGCTCCACAGCCGCAGACCTAGAGGGCGACGGCCCTGCCCAGAAAAACACACTCCTGACTCTGAGGCCAGGGGAGTTTCCTGGGGGAGGGGAGGATGGGTCACCAAGTGACACTGGATGGCTTTTATTTGCCTACTCCGGACTGCATGTTCGCGTGCACACACACGGCGCCTGGTCCCTGGGGCTCCGCTCTGTCCCAGCCAGGGCACTCACACTTCTGATGAGGAGAGGGTAGCGGGTGATCCTCTGCATGGGCTTCAGCAGGAAGCTGGAAAGGGGCATTCCTTTACATCGAGGGTCAGACGCCAACTTCTGCAAATAACCGAGAGGCTCATGAGGAAATCACAGCTTCAAGGAAAACAAAGGGACACTGACTGTACTCCTGATGTTGACCACCTTTTAGATTTCTCATTTCTCTAAGAACTCAGGATTCAAGGGTGCCTGGGTGGCTCAGTCATTAAGCGTCTGCCTTCGGCTCAGGTCATGATCCCAGGGTCCTGGGATCGAGCCCCGCATCGGGCTCCCTGATCAGTCGGAAGCCTGCTTCTTTCTCTCCCACTCCCCCTGCTTGTGCTCTCTCTCCTTTCTCTCTGATGAATGAAAAATGAATTCTTAAACAACAACAACTCAGGATTCAAAATGAGACGTATCAGATTAACAGCAGGGGTATCTCCCCTCATTTGGTCAAGTCAGCAGATGCTTTGCAGCTCTTTCTTTCTCACGTGGATTTGTGTCTGTGCCATCACTCTCTCCTTTGCTTCCAGAACCACTGACAGCTCTCTTCCCAGCCGGCTCCTTGCTGATCCTCACTTCTTTCTCCCCTACCAGCTAGTAACCGTAGGTGCTGCCCAAGACCCCGTGCAGCTGAGTCCCGGAGTGTCACCCAGACCCTCTCTGGAGCTCCATGCTTGCCGCGTTACTCTCCCCCCGACCCGGATCTCCGACTCAGTACCCCAGTATACCCCAAAGTCCTCCTCTTCCTTCACGAAAGCCTTCTCTTCCACCTCCATCCCTGAGTTGGTAGCACCATTCTGCCCCCACCCACCTTCCCTCCACACACCCGGGAGTCACCTTCCACACCAATCTGTCTTCTATTTTTTTTTTTTTTAAGATTTTATTTATTCATTTGAGACACAGAGATACGGGGAGAGAGAGAGCATGAGCGGGGGGGAGACAGAGGGAGAGGGAGAAGCAGGCTCCCTGCTGAGCCAGGAGTGCGATGTGGGGCTCGATCCCAGGACCCTGGAATCAAGGCCTGAGCCGAAGGCAGACGCCTAACCATCTGAGCCCCCCAGGTGCCCCCCCAATCTGTCTTCTAAACAGCTCTTGATTTCCCCTGCCTCTGCCTGCCCGTTGTCTCTGCTTTATCAGAAACAATCACTGCCATTTACTGAGCACCCACAATGTGCCAGTCACGAATGCATTAGCCTTGGCTACTGTTCCTTCTGCTCTCTCATCACTTAATTCATACTCATTTCTGAAGACTTACATTATGCCTCCTCTTGGCTAGCCTCTCCCCTTCCTTGATGCCTTCCCCGCTTTTCAGTGATCCTTCTTGAGCCCCCACAATAACCCGTGGACACCTTTATTGTAACACCACCTCCAGACTGGGTAAGACAGGTAGAGGGATCATACCGGAGATGTCTCCATGACCTTGCAGACTGTTAGCTCCAGGAGACTAAGGACCACAACTTACTTGCTTCTACTCCTATTATTAATATAGTACCTGAATAAAGTAGCTAGTATTCTTGGATGACCATTTTTTATTTTTATTTTTTGATGACCATTTGTAATGACTTTGAAAAGCATATTTACTATAATTTACCTATTTCCTACTATGAGATATTAAAACTGCTCCTTCCTTTTGTTTTTGGATATATCTATATATGTTGCTATAACAAGACTCTCCATGCTTTTTATTTCTGTATTTTCTGAGACTTTTTAAAAAGTTACATTTCGGGGCACCTGGGTGGCTCAGTCAGTTAAGCATCTGCCTTCGGTTCAGGTCATGATCCTGAGGTCCTGGGATTGAGTCCTGCATTGGGCTCCCTGCTCAGTGGGGAGCCTGCTCCTCCCTCTGTCTCTGCCGCAGGGCCCTCCCCCGTCCCCCGCTCATGTGCACGCGCTCGCTCTCTCTCTCGCTCTCCCTCTATCTCAAATAAAAAAAAATCTTTAAAAAAATAGTTACATTTAGAACAAAGCTTATTGCTAGATTTTGTTTTTAATATAATGTAATCAACACAATGCCTTTCATTATGAGACTATAAACTTATTTATTCTTACCATTGTTACAGTTGTGATGACACTGATACCCTATTTACGTTGCTATTGTTATTACTATTTGGAAAATTTAAAAAGTCTTTTACTTATGCTTTAGAAGGTAAACATCCAATTATTTTTTAAAAAGATTTTATTTTTAAGTAATCTTTACACCCAATGTGGGGCCTGAACCTACAACCCCGAAATCAAGAGTCACATGCTCTACCAATTGAGCCAGCCAGGCACCCCTAAATATCCTATTTTTAATTCTACTATTCCTTATTTTAAAACATTTGCATGCACTCACAATCCCATATTTATCAACTTATTCTGACCAGCGTTTGTGTGTCTGTGATCTTGGTTCCCTTGTATGTTTCTTCTAGTTCATTTCTAAGCAAGCCCGTGCCTCCCTCCCTTTACTGCCAATTGAAGAGTCAGTCCTCAGGGCCTTACTTATATCAAATAATTTTTGCATCCCAATAATTTTTGCATCCCTGAAATCATAATAAGGAAGGTAAATATAATTAACATTTATTGAATGCTTATTATGTGCTGGTCTCTGTGCTAAAAAGTACTTTAAAAGTAGTATCTGACTATCTCTGGGTTACACACTGGAGAATGAAGGCACCAAACGTTAAGTAGCTTGCCTTGGTCCCACACCCCGCAGGCTGATTCTGAAGCCTGTCTTATTCTAAGATGATACTATGTTGCCTCCTGGGATGATCCTGTTTGGTTATGACAGAGTCTTCTTTTCGTGTAAGGCTTAATTTTATTCACTGATATATTTTTTTTTTTAAAGATCTTATTTATTTATTTGATAGAGAGAGACACGGCGAGAGAGGGAACGCAAGCAGGGGGAGTGGGAGAGGGAGAAGCAGGCTCCCCGCGGAGCAGGGAGCCCAACGCGGGGCTCGATCCCAGGACCCCGGGATCATGACCTGAGCCGAAGGCAGACGCTTAACGACTGAGCCATCCAGGCGACCCTCACTGATATTTTAATTAAGATTTTTAACAACTATATTTATAAGAGATATTGGGTTATAACTTCTTTTTTTTCATTTTTGTAATTAAATACAAATTCGTAATTAAATACAAATACTTCGGGGTCAGGAACACTTTTGCCTTATACAGTGAATTAGATGGGTTTTTCTTTCTTTTTCTTTTTTTTTAAAGGTTTTATTTATTTATTTGAGAGAGAGATAATCAATGCTGGGAAGGGGCAGAGGGAGTCAGAGAAGCAGACTCCCCCCTGAGCGGGGAGCCCGACGCGGGGCTCGATCCCAGGACCCTGGGACCATGACCCGAGCCGAAGGCAGACGCTTAACCCAGGCGCCCCTAGTGCTACTTCTTACCAAGGGCTGGTTTTTAATTTGCGGCCACGGCATCATGGAGCCGGCTGTGTCCTCTTCTCCTTGGTTTCTGGACGCTTCGGGGATACCGGGGCGCACTTGGAGCACATGGACAGTTACACATGTGCGTTTATGTAGCGTCCTAAGTCCCAATGTTACCCGTCTCTCATTTCCTTTTGTCCCACTGTATTCATCCACTGACAACATTTTATTTTATCTTGTTGCTTTTTATGTATTCGAGTAAGCTATTTTATACTCTTTCTGGAATGAGATAGATACAATTTACAAATTTAATATATTTTACAAATTTAATAAAGTGACATTCTGGATATTTTTAGAGTATAAAGTAGCTGATTTTTAATAGGCTTTACTCCTACTCTCCTAATAGATGGGCAAAATCATGGTCCCAGTGCCATCTCCCACTGGACATGGAAGGTAACTCAAACACTCAGAAAAGTCTTTGCCATATTGGTGTTTCCTGTGGAAAGTGGTGGGATACCCTTCCCCGTGCCGAGCGTCCTGACGGTGCAGCTGTCCATCTCCACCTCCAGGCTCGGAACGGGGCTGGCCTACCCACCATCCCAGAATGGAGTTACCTTTAAAAATTCCTTGAAATCCGTGTCTTCATCTGTCTTCTGCTGTAACAGAGCTGCTCCATTAAGCTGACAGCTACAGAACCGGATGTAAGCCTGCATGTGGGACAGCTCAGCGGCCAGGATGTCCCCGATCATCTGCACGGGCATCTTCTCTCCTCCAGTTTTCTTCCGGACCCGCAAGGCCCTGCAACCAACATACTCTCACTGTCTGTTTCTAGTGAATGTCGTTAGTAAACAAAGGATGAATATCATGGGAGACTAAAGGTAATGAGAACCAGTGAGTTACCTAAAAACCTGGCACTGTGAGGGGAGAGTCAGAAGGAGGAGGCAGCTGGGGCCTACGTTCTGCTGGCCAAGCCAACCTGGGTGAAATGTTAGTAAAGAAGAGTAAGAAAATGAACTCTATACACTTGGGTATTTCAAGGTCCTTGGAATTGTTTTGGATTCATCTTTGTTTCTTATCAAAGTTCCTTTAGAAAAATTCTAACTTGTTCTCAGCTGAACCAAGAAGAAAGGAATTTTCTACACTCGGTAGGGGAAGAAGGGAGCAGAGCAGGAGCCCACAGAGGCCAGGTGTGGAGGCAGAGGTGAGTGCTGTCCTCAGGAGAGCTTCTGTGCCCCAAGGAGGGCAGAGACTCAGGACCCACTGGGTGTGCTGATGCCCCCCCACCGCCCCGGAGTCTGCCCTCACAGGCACGGGGGATGGGAAATCACCCCAAGGAACGGGATTTCACACAGGGACTTAGGAGACTGCCAGACTAGCCAGTGTGTCTGGGGCACGCGTTACAGCTTCTCTCCTATTCCAACTACCTGCTACAGTCAAGTATATTTTGAAATCCTATGTTAATATACTGTTTATTTTATGATTTAATTTTTCTTTGTTTAATCAAAGAATCAAATTTTCTTTGTTATATTTCTCGACTTCAGTAATTACGTATTTTACAGTTACAGGGCATTTCATAAAATGACAATAAAATAAAAAGCTTGAGGGAGCAGAGAACAGTTGAAAGTTCCTTTGCTAAACAGCCCTGCCGGGAGTTCTGTGGGGAAGTCCTAGTCCTGGGGGCTGGGGGTGTCCCCTGCAGGGGCAGGCGCTGCTCACAACTCACTTCAGTAGCTTCGTGTTAGCCATGATGAGCTCCTTCCAGTTTACAAAGATCAAGGCCATTTCCCCTTCAGTGAGAAAGCCTGACTCCACCATCCGTTTCTGAAAAACCTAAGTTCAAGACACAAAAGAAATAAGTTAGCTTAGGTGTGAATACATAGGCTATGTGGTCTGAATCAAACAATATCTTCATATACTGAAACTAATATGATCATGATGTTTTTAAATAAGCCTACTTATGATTGCTAAACATCCCCCCCCCAATTTTTATTTAAATTCTAGTTAGTTAATATATAGTGTAATATTGGTTTCAGGAGTAAAATTTAGTGATTCGTCACTTACATATTGTTGATTGCTAAATTAAATTAAATTAAATTAAATTAAATTAATTTATTTGAGAGAAAGAGTGCAAGCATGGGGGGTTGAGGGGCAAAGGGAGAGGGAGAGAAAGAATTTCAAGCAGACTCCCCGCTGAGCATGGAGCCTGACACAGGGCTCAATCCCGTAACCCTGAGATCATGACCTGAGCTGAAATGAAGTGTCAGATGCCCAACCGACTGAGCCACCCATGCACCCTGATTGCTAAATTTTAAATTGCATAATTTCCCTACTGCTTGCTATTTGGGTTCTTATTAGGGCTAATTCTTTTTTTTTTTTTTTTTTAAGGTAGGCTCCATGCCCAACATGGGACTTGCACTCACAACCCTAAGATCAAGAATCCCATGCTCCACCAACTGAGCCAGCCATTATTAGGACTAATTCTAAGGACCAAGTCCAGTAGCCTCATCAATAAGAGGAGATTCTCATACCTACCTCCTAGGGAGATGAAGCAGGTTAAATGAAACCGTGTGCATAAAGCACCCGCACCCCGTAAAAACTGCAGAATTGAGGGGCTGGGCACCCGAGTCCTGGAAGCAGTTTGTGAGAGGTTCAGCAATAGAAAAAGTGATGACTTATATGGCCCCCAAGCAGATGTGGATTTCAGAGGCTGGCTAACTGAGGGGAAATGATACCCTAACATCTATATTCCACAACACTGAAGGATTTACAAAGCTGATATGTATATATTTGCACATGCCTGTGTGTGTGTGTGCACACGGGTGTGGGTGGGTTCTGAATGAACTTCATAGATTATGCAGGTCAAGTGGAATTAGCTACTATTATTATTATTATTGGTTTTTAAATATTTATTTATTTATATTTTAGAGATGGGGGGAAGAAGCAGAGCAAGAGAATCCTAGGCAGACTCCACACTGAGTGCAGAGCCTGAGGCAGGGATTGATCTCATGACCCTGAGATCATGACCTAAGTGGAAATCAAGAGTCGGCCCCTCAGCTGACTGAGCCAGTCAGGCGCCCCTCAGCTATTATCATTCCAAGGGCACTCATGAAGAAATAAAGGCTGAGAGAGTGATTTGCTCAAGGTCACAAACCTAGAACATGGAGGAGCCAAAAAGAAAACGCCAGTCTTTTTGATTCTAATTGGTTTCCACTAAACAACTGGGATTTCTAGCAAATGACTTTAAAAGCCTTTAAGGAAACTGTGAAGTTATCTGAGACAACCCTAATCATGTGTGATCTTTCTGAGATACACACGACACGACAGCCTATTAAAGTCGTTCGCTGGCCCTGTGATAAGACGCAGACTCCTTCTCGAGGTTCACCACGCCTGTGTGGTCTGCCCTGCCAACTTCACCAGCCTGGCCCTGAGTACTTCACCCTCCAGCCACATGGGACTACCCGCAGGACCCTAACTCCCTGGCACATGCCTTCCCACTTCTATTTCCTCTTCCGGGCATAGAAAATTCATCCTTGTCCTTCTGGTTTGTCCTGACTCTCCTTTGTGGCAGGGGTGGTCGGCCCTCTCTGGGCCCCCACCTCACCGTTCTGTAGCTGTCTGTCTGTCTCTCCACATGACTGTGAACTCCTTGAGGGCAGGAACTTTCTCTTTGCCCTCTGCTCTCCAGCACAGTGCTTTTTGCACATGATAGGTCTTCAATAACTGCTTATTTACTGAGTTGTGTTGAACACGGATTCAAAGAATTCAGCTAACAGTGTTAAGAACTGGACATCTCTAAACCTTCACAGTTCCAAAATCAGAACGAAGATGTCAGGATCCTCTGACAGGAGCGAGCCTGGAAAGGTGATGGATCTGCTCCGAGGGGCCTGGGAAGGACAGGGAAAGCACCTGGTGGTCTTTCACCTGCCAATGAACGGACGTTCCTTTGTTTATTCATTCCATTCACTTGCCTCAGGGAGGTTAAGCAGAGGAGGATGGTCCGGCCCTCTGGGAACCTCCATGGGGATGGTGATGAGAATGGCTGGCCAGGAACAGTGCTTTTGCCCTAAGTCCCTGGCCCTGACATGACCCCTTGCTCCTCAGGCAAGGGCAGGTGGGCAGGGTGGGAATAGCCAAGGTGCAAGTGGCGAAGTGACTGGTGTGAGTGGGGCAGGCATGCGGCCCCTGTTCACGCTCTGCGCTGGAGTCCGCCAGGTACTTCCACAGCCATTTACAACCTTTTAGCACTGTAATCTGACCAGCAGCAGGGCTGATACCCGGAGGGGTTAATAATAAGACAGGCTTTTCTTCTAGGCCACTTTCCAGGTCAGAGAAGTGCGGACATAAACACACATAATTCAGTCAGTGCTAATGGGAAGGCCTGCAAAGGGCCAGACTGAGTTTTGGGGATGGTGGCTGAAGGATACACGTCCCTGCTGTCAGGAACTCACAGCCTTGCGGGGAAGAGAGACATCACCAACTGTGAAGTGCGCCAGAGTGTACTTGTGAGCAGGACAAGTGTGCCGGGTCTAGAGGTCCCAGCTTGCGCATCGGGTGGGCAGGCCTTGCTGGCGGCGGATGGAGAAGGATGCAGCCTCCACTCCACGCCTCCAGCGAGGTCCCGGCCAGGCCCTATGCTGCACCTGCTGGGCCTGCTGGGGACACGTGTTCTCTTCGGGTGGCTTATTTATTTAACTAGGCTTCTCATCAGAGGGCCTTGACACATTTAGTGGGAACTAGGAGCCATGGAAACAAGTCTTATTTTGTTTACTAAAACACAAACCATTTTTAAGTGCTACTCACAGCCATTACTGGCTCAGAGGTCACTGGGAACATTAATCGGCACCACTGGTAAATACATTGCAACTGGGAGATATCTGACAATGTGGTCCGATTCGGTTTTCTAAACTGATACAAACATTAGATGAACACTCCCACTGTTTCACAATCCCTTTGGAAATTGCAGGGTTTATGAAGATGCCTGGTGTTAGAAGAGCACAGTAAACACAGGCGAAAATGTGAGGTAGATAGTTTGCTTTCGTGCCTTCCCCCCGACTTTGTCCTTCCTGGATGGGGCCTCTATCACATCCAGCTGAGATGTCTCTTGTTCTCTCCACTCTGAATGACCTAATCTGGGGGAGGAGTTTGACATCTTCAGGCACCCTCCCATGGGCACAGAAAGCGCTTTGAGGGCCTGGGAGCTCCTGCCACTACTCGCGAATTCACACATCAAAGGCGACACCTGAGAGCAAGGCCCACCGGCCCTGCAGGCTCGGCCCTCACCTCCACGACGAGCTGAAGGTCGTTCACGTACCGCTCTTCAGTCTGAATCAGCTCGTGAATATAGCCCTGCCTCTTCCTCTCCACTGGCTGCATGGTGTCCAGGCTCTGGAGATCAGCACACCCTACGGAAAGACAGGGTACAGGTTCAAAACAGTCTTTTCGTCTTTGTAGGAAATGGACATTTATCAGCAGATGTGCTGGGTGCCTTGAAAAAGCCGCGCAGCTTTCCAAAGAATGCGCGATGGGTCGCAGAGCGGCACACGCCTGCAGAAAGCCGCCCGAGCCCCCCGGGCAGCAGACAGCAATGCCTGGAACATCTCAATGCCGTCCATCTTCTTTTCCAAATAAATGACAGAATTAAGGATTTTTAGACATGGCCTCAGAGAGATCAGAACTGTATTGAACTCGCGAAGAATCTATGCAATTCTCATCACTTCAGGACATTTTCGAAGAGATTGACATGATTAAATCAATCAAATGCTTGAGACCAGCGTTTTCCAAATTGCAGGTCATAAGCCATCCGTGGAATCTTCTATCAATTTTGTTTTTAAAAAATGTGGGTTAGGCTCTCTCTCTCTCACATAAAATCTTAAAAAAAACAGGGCGGCTCCTGGTGGCTCAGTTGGTTAAGCGTCTGCCTTCGGCTCAGGTCATGATTTCTGGGGTCCTGGGCTGGAGCCCAGCATCGTGCTCCCTGCTCAGTGGGGAGGGAGCTTCTTCCTCTCCCTCTGCCCCAATTCCTGGCTTGTGCTCTCTCTCTCTAATAAACAAATAAAATCTTAAAAAGAAATGTGGGTTAGGGGACCCCAGGTGGCTCAGCTGGTTGAGCTTCCAACTCTGGATTTCAGTTCAGGCCATGAACTCAGGGTCATGAGACTGGGCCCTGAGCTGGGCTCCACCCTCAGTGAGGAGTCTGCTTGAGAGTCTCTCTTTCCCTCTCCCCCTCTCCCTTCTCTCTCTCTCTCAAATAAATAAATCTTTAAAACTGTGGGTCAGGCTTAGCATTAAAACAAACAAACAAACAAATACAAACTATCTTGAGCACAGTATTGGTAAGTATTGTTCTATGAACACTTTTAGTTAGATATGTAGAATATATTTCTGACTGTTAAAAAATGTTTGAGGAACATTTCTCTAGATTTCTCAAGGTAAAGTGTTACAGTTAGGAAGCCTGAAATCCCCAGGATCCAGCAGTTCCCAACAAGACCACTGCCTTAACCCACTAGAACAAAGAACTGGTTCTGGGACACCACGGCTGTAAGACCTTGAGGGGAGTCCCTAGCAGCCTCGTATCAGGGTGAGCGGTACTGCATTCACTTTGGATCAATTTACAGGCACGTGGGAGCTGAACTGAATGTCAGTCTGTGAAGGGACATCATTCCAGAATTGCTTGGTACGTAGCGGAGGGCTTGCTTTATGCACAGTGACAGGGGACTACCTCAGGTAGCCCTTCCTCAGACCAAAAGAAAAAGCAGGTAGGTACCCAGCAAGCTACAACATGAAGGAGACAGAAAGCTGAGTGAGGTGTGGATGACCCTCGAGGCTGAGGTAACCACGAAGGGCAGCAGGTGGAGGGTGTAACTCTGTCCCGGCCTTCATCATGGGGCGGGTGGGGACTGATGCAGAGGCACCACTCGGGGACGTGCTTATGTGGCACTGGGAACAAACACATAAAGCCACAGAGGCAGAAAATGCAAGGATCAGACTGGACTTTTCAGGGCGGTTTCTCTTTCTGCTTGCCTTTGAGGTTTTATATATTTTGTATAGACTTGGGCTAATGGTTCTAAGGACGACAACTGGTCTATTTTCTGTATATGTTGCCAACAGCTTTAAAAAAATTCTCACAGGGGGCGCCTGGGTGGCTCAGTTGGTTAAGCAACTGCTTTCGGCTCAGGTCATGATCCTGGAGTCCCGGGATCGAGTCCCACGTCGGGCTCCCTGCTCAGCAGGGAGTCTGCCTCTCTCTCTGACCCTCCCCCCTCTCATGCTCTCTATCTCATTCTCTCTCTCAAAAAAAAAAAAAAAAAAAAATCTTAAAAAAAAAATTCTCACAGGAGAACAGAAATAGAATAAGACAGGTTGTGTTTGGTGCTTTCAAGAAGACATCATGGGGCCACTGTCATGTTCAAAATTACCCAGCTTTTCTGGGGATTGGATTGGTCTGTTCTGCCGGGGGGAAGACCAGGTGTTCTGACCCCGTAAAGCTAATACTGACGCCTGTCTGACTAGGTTGTGTGTAGCAGGGGGGCCGGAGGGGAAATGTTGATGGTGATGCAACCTAGGATCACGGGTCAGAGTTACCAGCTGACTGGGATGGAAGCCATTGGAAGCGGTTCTAAGTTTCTGAGGTGACTGCACCTCTTACACTCGTGTTTATAGATTTCAGCCATTCACCTTCTGCCACATCCACATTCCACCTCTGCTTTCCATAATGCTTCTCTGTAAATTTACTCATGTTGGACTTAAATATGTAGGAATCATGGGTTTTATGTACTGATTATGTTTCTTCTAATACTAAGATAAATACATAACCATTAGAATAAAACAAGTCCTCCTATGCGGCGCCTGAGTGGCTCAGTCATTTAAGCATCTGATTCTTGATCTCAGCTCAGGTCTTGATCTCAGGGTCATGAGTTCAAGCCCTGCATTGGGGTCTGCACTAAGCGTGGAGCCTGCTTAAAAAACCAACCAACCAATCAACCAACAAGTCCTCCCAGGTACTATTTTGTGTGCCATCATGTTGTATACCATGGGGATATGTGTATCACACTTTGGGAAACGATTTACGGTAAAACCCGCAAGCATCAGCCTATCTGCTCTGTACCTTGGAATAATAGGAAAAGTCTCAGATATTTTATCATTTTTTAAAATTAATTAATTTATTTTAGAGGGAGGGGAGGGGCAGAGGGAGAATGAGAGAGAAACCCAAGCAGACTCTGTGCTGAGCGCAGAGCCTGATGTGGGGCTTGATCTCACAATCCTGAGATCATGACTTGAGCTGAAATCAAGAGTCAGAAGCTCAACTGACTATGCCACCCAGGCACCCCTATTTTATCATTTCTAGCAAGAACATACATGACATTAGTTTTATCAGGATGAATATAGGGACCATCCTTATACTTCACTTCTAACATACCCCTTTGCATTTCATTACAATGGTTCTTAAACTTTTATTCTCTTCAAGTTTCCAACCCGACCCCAACCCTCACTTTCAGATGTTATTACCTCTGATGTCAGGGAAAAGAAATAAAGGCATGGCAGCCCTTTTACTTCTGCCCTTCATCTCCCTGCTCACTCACCCCTGTACTTCCTTCCTATGTCAGGGGACGAGGGGATCCTGTTTCTTCCTGAAGCTGGCATCCTTAACCAACCCCCTCCTTTGGACTCCTTGCTGTCCTCTCCCCCACACTGTCCAACATGTTAGCTGTTAGCAACACAACTGCTCCTGAGCATCTGAACCGTGGCCAGTCCAAACCAGATGTCAAAGACCTAGTACAAAAAAACCCAGAACATAAAATGATGCATTAATAATTCTTGTGTTGACTGCATATTAAAATGGCAATATTTTGGATAATACTGAGCTAATCCATCAGTTTTGGAATTCTTTTACTCCAAATTTATGTGAGATGTACATCTTGAGTTATTTTAAATATAGATATAGAATAATATAGATATATATAATATAAATATAGAATAAAAGATTATTCAAATTAATTTCATGTTTTACTTTTTAAAATGTGGCTTTTGGAAAATTTTAAATTACATATGGGCTGCATTTGTGACTTTACATTATTTTTCTATTGAACAGCTCAAGCCAGCTGGAACATTCTTTATGTTCCTTCCCTAACAGAATGTTTTAGTCGCTTCTGCTCTTTGCAGAATAAAGTCTTAGCTCAGTAGTGCAGGGCTCCAGAGTCTCCATAATCCACCCATGGCCTACATTTACAGCCTCACCTTTGACCACATGGCCTGCCTGTTAGCCACCCTGGCCCGGGCTCAGTCCTCATAATGTGCTGTACACGCTGTATTCACTGCCCATGACCCTCTTATCCACACAGAGCCATCTTACTAACCCGTACAGCTCAGGTGATCCTACTCTGGGGAACCTTTCCCATCCCTGTCCCACTTACCCCCAAACTGCCTCTTTTTTGTGCTTCCAGGCTAGTTTGCATCTGTATTTAACATTTTACATACCGTAACCAGTGGTGTAGTTCATCTCTATATAGTTAGTATGTCTGTCTCTCCTACTGGAGGTCAGGGACTGTATCTCCTACAGTTCTATAATATCAAATTTAACACAGTGTTCTGACCAGGAAATATTTGTCAAATGGTAGACTATTGGGTTGGTCCCCAGACCTGTTTCTCATCTTTCCTCTGCTCTATACTGCAGGAAAGCCAACCCCACAGGCTGCTTGTATACGCTCTTATTGCAGTTGGCTTCTGCCAGGTTTGGCCAGTGAGAGAAGGCTCTGGAAGGAGACTACAGGGCTAACTGGGAAAACAATCCTTCTGCTAGAAAAGTGAGAGGACTGGAGAGCTTTTAAGTCTTCTGGGTAAAGAAGCGAAGAATTGCTGGGTTTTCATCTCACATAAATTTGGAGTAAAAGAATTCCAAAACTGATGGATTAACAGAAAAATTGTACCTGGCTGGTGATTCCCTTAGGGTGCTTGGCCAAAGAAAATGTACAACTATCCAGAGGGTCTCTCTCACAACCTTGGTTCCAAAGGATTTCCATGGGAAAACCATCTCACTAAAGATGAGCTCAAAGTAAAAAATTACAAAAAATAAGGAATGATCCACCAAAAATAAAAAATGATGACTAGAAAGAACCCTAAGAGGGGCACCTGGCTGGCTCTGTTGGTAAAGCGTGCAAATCTTGATCTTGGGGTTGTGAGTTCGAGCCCCATGTTGGGTGTAGAGATTACTTAAAATAAAATCTTGGGAAAAAAAAAAAAAAGAAGAGGGGTGCCTGGGTGGCTCAGTCGGTTAAGTGTCTGCCTTCAGTTCAGGTCATGATCCCAGGGTCCTGGGATTGAGCCCCGTATTGGGCTCCCTGCTTAGCGGGGAACCTGCTTCTCCCTCTCCCACTCCCCCTGCTTGTGTTCCCTCTCTCACTGTGTC